TTGCATGATTTAGTGTAGAGTAAAGCTTTGGTGATGGATTTCCGTGTGTGTCATCCTGCCCGCTCCCTCCGCTCAACAGGCTTTGGCCTGCCCACCATTGGCAGTGGGGGCAGCCTACTCTGCTACTCTGCCCCCACCTTCAAGACCCGTCTCAAGACCCTCCTCTTCAAACATGCTTTCGATCACCCTGTTTCTTCCCCTGCCTTCCACCCTCCCCAATCCTGACCCCCAGCTCTAGTCCAAATCCCTGACTGTCCAGCCCCTTGGGACGTCCTCCTGATGTGAAAGGCGCTATACAAATGTAATTTTGTTGTTGTTGCTGTCAGACACCTGGCTGACCAAAACAAAAATGATTTTGCTGCATGTGCTTGCATCTTTTCCAGCAACCCCGGTGGCAACTTTTGCAGAATTGCGGCCAGTTTATTTCAACCTGGACAATTTAAGGAACAATCTGAAGCTATAAGGTGTTGGTATTTGAGAAGGATGAGATCAAATGAGCCATAGGACTTCATCTGAACCTCTTTTGTTTGCATCAATAGTGGTAATGAGACTGGTCTTAAACACAGAGTCCAGAGGTGAAAGAATAGTAGGCTAACTTTGTGCATCACAATTGTATAGTCACTCGTGAACCTGGGCAAAACAAGTGGCAATGGGCGGAGTCAAGGCACATACTATTACCATTACTACCAATAATCCTTGCATTTGATATAACAACTATAACATTGGATTAGTCTCAAAATGCTTGGAGCTTCTGTACAATGGTGAGGGGGTGTGGGGTCTTGTCACAGGCTTGATCCCTAACACTGGCAAATCTTTCACACGTTCGTGGCCGAGTTTGTCAGTGTTAGGGTCTGGTACACAATGGATGTAAACGTTCACACCATTTCCACACAAGTTGAAAGGAGCCGTTAGGTGTACAGTGAATTGAACTTAAAACGATTTAGGTAAAATGCAGCGCACAAGTTACGGCCAATCTAAACATGTTGGATTTGTCAAGTTTAAAGAAAGGGCTCGGTTGGTAGCTGAAGAATACATAGAATTATTTATAACACAAAATGTCACAACAGCACACTGGAATGCTACAATAGATATTCAGAGCTCTAACCGTAATGACACGAGTCTTTGTGTGAGCTTTGAATGGAATGCCTGTTTCTCTCCAAACCACTGACTCCTGCCGATTCCACAGCTCACAGACTCTGCTCTGAATTTATTGGGTAATTGAAACCAGGACGAGGGTCTGGACGAAGATTTCTCGAACACTCGGAGGCCTTTTAAAAACACAGCCCTCGTCCTTAGTGTTTTAAACCAACATACTTGAGGTTCCCCGGCCCAGCCGGTTCTAATGTGAAAGCCATTTTGTTTTTTTTAAAAGAACGGACTGCATAGTCCACGCCACTTCATGTGAAGTCATCTTCAACAGAGGGAGGCATCAGGCTCCTCTGCCAAAGATTTACTCCCGTAAAAACGCAGAAGCAGGAGAGGCAAGGAAACAGTTAACTGCACCAAAGTGAAACGTAGTATAACCTGGTTGTCCATGTCAATTTTAAGAGACTAAACTCCCCAGTGAGGGCTCACATTACACCTCCATGTGACCTAACAGCGATTACATCATATAACCCACATTGGTGGGTACATTGCATGCACTGACATGTGCATCCTTGCATTTGATACATCTTGCACTTCAACAAAGCTCTTCACAGGATGTATTATAAACTGGAGTGACTGTGTGTTTTGCAGGCAAATGCGGCAGCCAATTTGCACACACAGCAATGTCCCACAAACAGCCATGACGTGAGTGACCAATTGATCGAGGGGCTTGTTGGGCAGGACACCAGGAGGGATTCTCTTCTCTTCTCAAATAGCGCTGTGGGATCTTTCACAATCACCTGAACAGGCAGACGGGATCTTGGTTTAACGTCTCATCTGAAGGACGCAGCTTGGTTTAATGTTTCATCTGCAGCGCTTCTCCAGGACTGCACTGGAGCATTATTCTGGACTATGAACTCAAATCTCAAAGTGGGGTTTGAACCCAACACCTGCTTATTGGCGAGAATGCTACCGACTGAGTCAGGCAGACACACTCAACCATTTAGAGTTGAAGTGTATTGTTGGGAGGGGGGAGAAGCTGTACTTTTCTGTGCTTAATTTGGAGTAGTTGACAGTGAAACTGGGCACAAATTTCCCAGCTTTAACATCAGTCATTGAATGACCGTTAAAAGAGTATAAATTCAAGGATTACAGTGTTATTTAAACGCAGGGTGTGTAGTCAGGAAAAATAATAGGAAACTGCACTTTTAAAAAGGAGTTGCCTTGGACAAAGCCTCACAATTTTTCCTGTTGCACACAGAAATGGGATTTGTTGTATGTTTCCTTGCAAGAACCCAGCATTCACATACAGGAAGCTGATGGTTCTAATTCAGTGACGAATGCCTCAGATGCTTTTCTTCATTCATGCTCAATATGTTTTCTGTTAAAAAGATGTTTGTTTGGATGTGGGATGCAGCATCTTCCTGTTAGTGTTGGACAACCGTGGCAGAGGGCAAACATTTCGGCCCAAAACAGGGAAGGGGTCTGTAATTGAATGTTACTTCCACTGTACAGGCTTTATATGGGATAATAATAATAATAATAATAATAATTGCATTGGATATAGCACCTTATCACGTCTTCGAGAATATACTATAAAGTGAATTGACTGTATATTTTTGTGGGCGAAACACGATAGCCAATTGCACACAGCAGTGTCCCACAAACAGTCGTGGATTGAGTGACCAAATTATTATGACCTTTTTTGTGAAGGGATTATTATCCCCGGAAAGCGATCCGCCGATCAACTAACAACCGGGTACTTACTTCCTGCCAAATAAAGAGAGGCGTGTGGAATAAGGAAACTTGCATAAGGTTTTGCCCCATCTGGGAATGGAACCTGGGTCTTCTCTCTTGAGAGGCGCGCACGCTAACCACAATGCTACAGGACTCCGCTATATTTTTGCTGCACTTTATTGCGACGGTCCTGACTGCAGAGGGGTTATGCGTTTCCGGATAAGCGCACTGCACTGCATAGCTGCACCGTGCGAGAGCAGAACATCTGCTTGATGTCCAGCTGAAGAGACTTTTTGTTGACTGTCCAGGAACCGAAGCAACATCCTGGTTGAACGGATGCACAGTTGTTGGATGTGCAGGCTGCTCTCTGACTTCAGCACTGATCCACATTAACATGTTATTCTGGGAACTTGATTTCATTACGTGACCTCCAAGAAAAGGGAAGGAATTCGAAGAATGCAGAGTTTCTATCAGATCGTTGTATGGTATTTTGGGTAGTCATAAACCGGACTTCCAAGTTCTTTAACTAGAATTAGTATTCAGCGGTGCCAAGCGCAGAGTCACTCCATGCTGTTAACTTGTTAAAAAGAAAATTACGAGAGGCTAAAGGGCGGAGTGAGTGGGACTGAACAAGAGCCTGCTCAGGCACGATGGGCTGATCGTCTGTCTCCCTGTGTTTGATCATCTGTGTGACCGGCAAGCAAAATGAGTTATCCTCCAAATGAACCAACATACAACATGGGGGAGGGGGGGAAAGAGCACATCACTCATAGGAGCGATAAGCGAGAAAACTCATGCAGCAAAAAAAATTCTCCTGTACTTATTGTTATTCAAAATAACAGGTCACACACCTTAAATATTTAAGGCTGTAATCTTGATGATTTATAAGATGACACATAAAAGCCAGACTAAACTTCACACAAACTCTACAGCTTGTGACATCACCTGAACCAACCGCTGGGTGACTGAATTACAACTGTGTGACTCACCACTCACAGGAATTCACGAAACATAAACCTCTGTTCATTATAGCCTCAGCAGTGAGCAGCGGCTTAGCTCAGCCTGTCTGACGCACCAGACATTACCTGTTTATCCTCAGATACTATCTGCTGAACAGCTATGTCGCCATTGTAGCTAGTTCATCACAATCACTGTAAAGATTTTTGCATCCAATTACCCTATAAAATACACAGGCATCGCACTGCAAGGTACACCCTATCAAGCACTTTGATATATTCTCCTGACACGAAAGGCGCTATGCCAAATTTCAATTCTGTTTTGGTGCCCTCCACTAAAGTATATAGTAAACAGACTCTCTATGACACAACCTATGGCTCAATTCAGTACAACCTCACAATGCCATTCTGACACTGATTAAATATCACTGTGTTAAAGTTATTGAAAGTCATGAAAAGCAAAGACTTCTATAAAAACTGGACTCTCAAACCAAAGAGTGGAAAACTAGTATTCCTATTCTTTTATTTTGCCCACAAAATACACAGTCAATTCATTTTGCAGTGCATCCTGTGAAGCTATTTTGAGACCTCTCAATGACATGATAAGTAGCTACATCAAATGCAAGAATTATTATCATTAGTATTACAGAGGATGGAAAGAGCAGATGAATGGTTCTGAACAGATTGCTCTTAAACCAATCAGCATGGACATGATGGGCCAAATGGCCTTCTCCTGTGCTGTAAATTTCTAGGGTTCTATAGCCATTTCAGCATATCTCCGAAAATCTTTAGCCATCTGTGTAGGTCTCTCTTGAAGGTTAATATAGATCCTGCCTTGACCACCCAAAATTGTATTGCAGCTCAACTCATCAAAGATTGGCTTTCATACTGCAAATCCCCCCCAAAATAGTCTGGAAGTATATCCTCTGATCAGCCACTGCTCTAACTAACTCAGAGACCCTTGGCTTCTGACAGTGGTTTGCTAGACTTGAACATCTGCATGCAGTTTCACCATTTTCCATCAGGCTGGAAAGCCTTGGGATGTCCTCCTGATGTGAAAGGCGTAATACAAATGTAATTTGTTGTTGTTGTTTGTCTGACTGCCTGGAAATGATGTGTTCCCATGTGGATAATCAGTGTTCATATCTATTAGGATGCTCCAGGATGCTGCTGTGGGAGGATGGGGGAGGTTTAGGCAAGTGTTTTTGTTAAGTTTGTTACCTGAGAGTCTGAAATCTCCGACGGTTTCTCGGTCAGGCTGCTGCTCTCTGCTGGGATCAGGTCGTTGTATTTCGTGCTGACGTCCTCATCAGAGTAGTTGAGGCTGCCAGGACTTGGCCGTGGAGGTGATCTGCAGAAACAAGATACCTGTGAGAGACCATGGTAATAAACTTCCATAACGAGGTGTGTGACAGATTTATTCGGTTATCAGTCATCCTGCACTGTGATGTGCACCAGAAACTATCTGCAAATCAGACGTACCCAACTCGGCCAAGAGCAATGAACCAAGAAAAGTACCTGGCAAATATACACATCAAGACTTCGTCAGCTTCATTCGAATGTCACTGAAATTGGGTTTTGTGAGCTTAGTTTTGCACTACATTAAGCGCAGAGACATACAATTACTAGGTCAGCATTCAGGGCAAATACAATGGCAGCAACTTGAGGTCGAGACTTGGAATAGGTATCAGATAATAACCTTTATGATTGTTTCAGGCTATTTAATACCATCCTTTTATTTCATTCCAAATAATGGCCCTCCCTAGCATTAAAGACACGTGTTCCCAGAGAAACCAGAGAAGTGTTTAACCCGTACTCTGTGTCCGAGGCGTCAAAGATTAACAAAAACAAGCTGTGAATGAAAATAAGCAACAAAGGAACTTTCTTTGGGAACACGTCACAATGCGGCTATCTCAGGTACAATTTGTGCTAAATCCTACACTTGCACAATCACTGTGTTTCCTTCACCACCCATCTGTAATTTGCATTAATTTTACGGTTTAATAACCAAAGCAGGAACACCTGGAATATTGTTGATCTGGTCTATTTTGATCTACACAAAAGGTTACTAATAACCGCGGTTAGAGCCCTACAAGTCCTAACCGGTGTAATGTTATACTGGCAAGCTCAGGCTTGGAATAATATGTGCATCTTTTGTGCACCCGTACCTTCAACAGGATATGTTAGAGAGGGTTCGGGGATGGATGATTCTGGGACTTAGCTAAGAGACCCAGAGAAAATGGACTTTAATGAGAGGGTTGAGAGGGAACATGAAATGTTAAGCACTGAGAGGAAAGATTCCCGCAGATGTAAAGCAGGCTATTTAACACAAACTGCAAACACAAGGCTAGAGGAAACATGAAAAATGTAAGAATGTTATTCATGACTTCCTTGAAACATTTACAATTCAAGTTCCAGTTTCTAATCTCTCAGATAAACAGATTGCCATCGGAAATCAAATCACGATTCAATCAGGATTTGCTAACCGGCATCTAGAAGACTATTTATTGAGAACCACCTATACTTACGCTGTGCTCGAAGGAAATTCAGAAGTGGTAAAAAGATCCCAACAATGAAACACTTTTAGATCACTCTGAAAACACCACAGCTTTCCATTATCACATTAAATTTAACAACCTTTCATTCATTCTCTTGCTTCCATATACTTATTTTGCCACCAGTTTTGCATGAAGTAAACAGGATGCGGAAATTATCCCACTAATGGTCTGACTATTATTTATGAGCTTTTGTAGTTTTTCTTATTTGGGAAATAAATCGCCAATCCCGCTGTGCCTGTCCATTTGTCGCCACAGACATCTTCATGGAACCCACGGTATATAATTTTACATTACCTCGCAATAGACAAGGATAACAATCCATAGCAACTTACAAACTGACCCTGCAAAAAAAGAAAACATTTTCATACAATAACAGGTTGAAACTGCTAATGTCTCGCAATGTCTTGTTCCTAAAAAAACAAGTAACTTATGAGCAACCTTTTGCTGAGGTTTCACATTTCCACTGGAAACAGTTGGGTCGATTTATTCTCAACCCTACCAGAAGTTTATCTGTCTCAACCTTGAGATTTGCAGAAGTCCCAACCAACTCTGCACACGTCAGCATATGACAGGGCCACACATGGGGACTGGCAGTGCAGTATTGTTTGTCCTGTAAACAAAACCTTGAACGTCTTCCCTGCAGCCCTAACGCAGTGACGATGGAGTATTCAATAATGGCACAGAACTGTGTTTTTCAGGGCTCGCAGATTCTATTGTGACTAAACAAAGAACCTGAATGTATTGATGGTCCGTGCTGACACTGTGGATACAGCAGCCACACCACTTTGATTGACCAAAGCACTCAGCAGACGGGAACAAAGTGCATAAAACCGACTGTCACAGATTTGGAGCTTGGTGACCCAATTATTAGACCATCTGCTCAGAAGGTCAGTGCCTGACGATTTAAATAATAAGGATAATAATTTGCATGTGGGTATATCACATTTCATGTTGGGAGGACAACTCCAAGCCCTTCACACAACATACTGTAAAGTGTAGTGGCTGTGTATTTGTAGGTGAAAGAGGCAGGCAATTTGTGCACAGCAACTTCTCACTAGCAGCCTATGAAGTGAACGCCCCATTTTATTTGGGGGGAATTGTTGGTCAGGACATCAGGAGTAACTCCTTTCACTTTTCAATAAGATCTCGAATCTAGATCAAGTACCACTTTTAGCTGCTAGTAACAACGTAGCCCAATGAGCACAATTTTCTCAAACCTACTGATGTCACATATGTATGTCAGAAAATAAGTAGACTGGGTCACTGGCACAAATCTACGTTTCTACCCTATTTCTCCCTGTCATGTCTGATCAATTTTGAACTCTTAATTCTTAAACTGGGTCAAATTTATCACTTCCGCTGCTAATACTCCCCTCACGTACATTTGCCTAAAGTAAATCCTGTGTGAAGCACTTTGAGATGTCCTTCTGATGTGAAAGATACTATAGCAAATGCAAGGATTATCATGATTATGCTCCAAAAATGCAAACTAATGTCCCTATCTTAAGATGAGTCCTAATCTGTTGCATTAAACAAAATCGGCCGTTGATGTTGATATTTGAAATGACAAAAATAGGAATCTTTTAACACTAAAATTTAATCCAGACTTTGACTAATTTTTGTTGGGTTTATTCCTGCGATCGCCCAGGGTCATCCCTTTGCTCTGCGATATTTAGAATCAGACACAAATGTGGATTGTCACAAAAATAAAGAACATTCGAAAGAACATTCAGTGCTCAGGGGGGGAATGCAAGAGAAACGGAGGAATTGTATGCAAAGTCCAAAGACTGTCTGTGAATACACTGAGATAGTCAATTGTGTGCTTTCACCTCAGTACATTGAGACACAATAGCAATAGCTTCTTCCCACAGAATTGATAATGTTAACTCATTCGTGATACTGATTAATGTAGTTATTTATTAGATTCTTTTAATATTATTTTGGTCAGTTGGGTGTCTGACACACGTGGAAACCCATCACCGGGCTTAAGAGCATCCAAACCAGACAGATTTCTACATAGGTATGTCACAACACATGGAGATTTCCCTACGTATGGAATAGAATGCGCATTCAATCTCTCTCCCCAGACGCAGATTCCCTAATTAAGAACCAAAGCATAGAGACTGCAGAGTGTGGGTTGGGGAACTGGAGTTTAACCAGTTAAACCACACATTCTTTCGATAAACTGAAACATTGCATTGCATATGAATACCTAAACATCCTCAAAATTAATTTAAATACGTGCTAGAAACCAACACCAATTTTCTATTTAAACTACAGCTGACTGCAGACATATTGCGGGGGGAAAAAAAAGCCCCGGGATATATTTCACAATATAATAAATGTCAATTGAAAAATCAAATCAACGTATCGGGCCATAATACTGAATTGCAGCATCACAAGATCCTGGAAGGAGACAAGGTTTCATTCAAAGAGGGTGATGATAGAAATAAACAGCTTCTCAAAAAGGCCCTGGTCTCAACCTCAGGGCGAATCAAAAGGAAAATATGCTTATTGGAATAATATAGAAATCGCACAAACCTAACAGCTCATCAGTTCGGTGGCTCCACTTTTATTCCATTTACCCCTTCCGGGCACTGAATCTTCTTTCGCAAATTTACTTCTGTGATAATGTGACTGATACTAAATATTGTGAAACCAGTTGCTCTGTGTGACTGATCAAATATAGAGGATAAGAGACAAAAGAGAGGTTTGATTAAGCCAAAGACTTTGCTTGCAACACATTTGCATGACGTGGATAGATCAGAGGATATAGACATGCTAATGTCATACAGTATTCAGCCTGGTTTGTGCCTCCGAGTCAGAAGGTTGTGGATTCAAGGCAGTGCACCGTGACACTATTCAAAAAGAGAAGTTTCCTTCTCCTGGTTTGCTGGCCCAAAACTCCCCGAATACTATTGGTCACTCACTTCATGGCTGTTTGTGGCACAATGTCTTGCCTAAATTGGCTTCTCCATTTCACTGACAAACACACAGTCGCAACCCTTCACAGTAAAATCCTGTGAAGCACTTTGAGACGTCTCGGCGATGGGATGAGGTGCTATATCATAGGGAAGGATTACTATTACATAATATATATAAAATTAGTTGTACAAACTCGCTTTGTGTTTGAAAGTAGTACATAGGAGACTGCACTTTAACTTGCAAATCTAAGGAAATGAAACACTTTGCTGGTGCTAGCAATATAGCAGCTCACAGTAGCAGCATCACCACAAAAGACACGCTGGACAGGAGACAGACTCGCTGGACCTTATCTCCTAATCGTAACATTTGGTTAATGGAAATTAAGTTAGTCGTTAATCTGACGAACATGCATATATCCGTTTCTTGTCTCTTAAGAGACAGGATAAATCCTTTTATTTTCTGGAGGAGCATTCAATTAATTGGCCATTGAAATACATTTACTATTTGTCCACAGCTGCTATTCGCGTGCATATTTTTACAAGAATGGGAACAGGAGAGGCAAGCGGAACAGAAGGTAAAAACAGTTGTAAAATGTAAAACAGTAATTGGATTATATAAAAGATTTAAGTCTCCCCCTCCCCCGCACCCACCCACCTCATGTTATCTGCCACACATTGTGGTAGAGATTTTGATCAGTCCCTCCCAATCCTCTGGCCCCCTATCGCCAATTGGCTACCGCATTTCGCTAACAAAATATACAGTCAATTCACTTTATTACAATATAACCTATGAAGCGCTGTGAGACGTCTCAATGATGTGATAAGGCTCTATATCAAATACAAGGCTTATTATTACACCACTGTGTTTCGTTCCTTTCTTACACTCCACATTCTCAGACAGCTCAGCTTTCAATGTCCTTCCTTCACATCTCTTATCGCCATACAGACAAAACAGGTCTGACATCAACACCTGAATATGTTACAGCTGGAAGGTTTTTGTGCCCCACTTTCTGCTGTTAGAGGTCAGCGCAAGACTCGCAAACAACAACAGAGTATCGCGGACACACCCATACCACTTTACCTTCAGAAGTCCTCAGTGTTAAAATGACACTAAATATTCAGAGAACCTGTAAATCCCACTGTCAGTCACCGGTCTGGCATTACAAGGGCTGGTTTACATACAGATAGGTCGGCAAAGGTTGATTTGGAGCAGGATTGTTTCTGAAACACTCACTTCATCACATCACCACAGTCACATTTGGCCAATAAACCCCTCTCATGGCATCAGTTAGCAGTGAGGTGACAGCTTGACTTACAGAAGTACGTGAAGTCGTCCACGCCAAGAGCCACTCGCACTTTTGCATCACAAGCACTGTATCTACAGTAAACCATCTGATAACTTGTCACTCCAAGGAAAATGGCTCAGTGATGAGGTATCTGGAGTGGCGAGTTAGGCACACGTATAAATATCTGTACATAAATAAATGCAGACGGGACATTGACAGCATGATGACTTAAAGTGGTCGTGGCAAGTTACGCCAAGGTCGAGTTGACTGTATTTTCATTTTGCTTCTCATTAGCTCTGCACTCTTCATCCGTGCACAATTTTGAAGTCTTTGTGCAAACCTCACCAAAAGGAGCAAAAGTTTAGATATTATATTTGTATGGTAATGCCAAACTTGCAGTTATAGGGTATAACCCGTGTAGGAAAATGTCTGAAAAGGGCTTTAGAGGTTGAGTGGGAGACTGAGCAGGGTGGTACATAGAGCAGGGAGGGTGTGTGGCCGAGGGATTCAGGGATTCAGTCCCACAGAGCGGGGACAAAGTGATTAAAAACCCGACGGAAAAAACAAAGTTGGAGCAGGGAGTGTCCAGCCCAAAACATGTCCTTGTGGAGTCCTGTAGCTCAGTGGTTAGAGCACTCGCTTTGCAAGCGAGAGACCTGAGTTCAATTCCAGGCACAGGGCGAAACCTTGGGCAAGTTTCCTTACTCAACACAGAGCCTAATAATAATCCCTCCAAAACCAAAAACAATAATATATTGGTCATTTTCAATCTACGACTGTCTGTGGGACATTGCTGTGCGCAATTGGCTGCCGCGTTCGCCCACAAATATACAGTCAATTCACTTTACAGTGCGTTCTGTGAAGCGCTTTGGGACGTCCCCCCGACGTGAAAAGCGCTATATCAAATGCAAGGATTAAATTAAATTAAATTACTGATGTTGCAAGACAGAAATTAACGATGAAAGCTAACTCTCCTCATAATAGAATATAACCTGTGAAATGCTTTGAGACATCCTGCCAATGAGAAAAGCACTATATCAGATCTAAGGATTATTATTATTATTACTCTATGTCCTCCTTGGATGAATTTTTCTCTCCCTAGTCCAGTCCAGTGGCCCCTCTCGTGTCTCAAATCAGATAAGCCTGGGATTGAACCTGGGACTTTCTGGGGCTCTGTCAACACAGCTGGTGTGCAACATACTAATCAGCTGAAGAGGACGAGGTTTCGGGAGATGGTGCTTCCTACACATTTCAGTGCCTATCGAGTGCAATGGAAATGAACTTCCAGAATTTCCAGCATGGACGTCCCACAGAACTGTCACAGACATTTCCAATTACGTAGTGATGTGGGCTATGAGGATTTTTTTTTGGTCAGCTGGGTGTCTGACACACGCAGAAACTCTTCACCAATGCTTAAGAGTATCCAAACCAAACAGAGTTCCATGTATCCCACCTACACATGGAAATTCCAGAGATATTTATTGGAATGGAATGTGCACTCTCTCCGAGGGACACATCCTGCTTACCCAATACTGGAAAGTATTAGGCGCTGGTTGGCAAGAGCCAAGGCTGGGGGACCCCAGAGTATTCATTGGGGTAACTGCTGGAGTCTACCCAGCTAATACCGCATAGCTTTCCATTGGTAGCACTGTCTGGCAAGCTTACCCACTGCTTGTCCAGCTAGGACCACCCTACCCGCTAGGGCTTTGGCATAATAATAATAGTCCTCGCATTTGATATAGTGCTTTTCACGTCTTCCAGACGTCTCAAAGCGCTTCACAGAATAGACTATAAAGTGAATTGACTGTATATTTTCCAAGGTTAACAGGAGCTGAGTGGGATGATTCTCTGGCCCCAGTAACTGGTCTGCCCTTCCAAGTCCATGAGGAATCACTGGCGCTTTGAGCTGCACCGCAAGATTTGTATTTTTTCCCTTCATTCCCTCCCCGTCCTCCACCCCCTCCCCCCACAGGGAATAAAGCCCCTGTGCTCCTGCGATGAGCAGCAGTGTTTGATGTAAATGAGCAGATTTTGCTCTCCGGGGTTTTGATGATAACAAAGCTCTCTCCTTTTTTTTGCGCATTAATGCAGATGGATTCTTCTTCTCAGACGGATAGTGCTTACCCGCCATGGATGTGATGAGAAAGGAAAAAATAAAGAAAGACAGACAGAAAAAAAGAAAGAATGAAAGACAGAAAGACGGAGAGAAAGAAAGAAAAAGATCTTAAACCGAACTACTATTGGCAGCTTTTCTGTTGAAACAGCTGTTGGCAAGACTGCATTTAAACTGTAAAAAGAGTGCCTTTCTCCAGATACCCTCACCTCTTGTGCTCTGGTGCCTTTCAACATTATCACTGCAAAAGGGTCTGGTTCGGTGACTGTCACTTTCAATTCTCTACTCAAAAGGTGACAAAAAACAGCTGCTACGTTGTTTTTTTTTAAAACTCTGATTTAATTTGTTTTACCTCGGAAAAAAAATTGTAAGAGATACTCCTCAAGTCTCAGCAGAATACTCGACGAATTCCCTAAAGAGAGGGTGAAAGTGATAACTCATTCAGTGACTGACACCTTGTGTATTTTCAGAGGCTGAGTTGTAGCCAGGATTCAAACGCTCACAGAGAGAGGCCCGTTCTGCTCCTGCTCTTGACGCTGGCCTGCTTGCACAGCGGGGAGGGCGCTTATATGAACTGGGGTGAAAGAGAAATAGTCATTGTAGTGAAAGGCACGGATTTCAGCAGCAGCTGTGTCTGTTCTCTCCCTCTCTACCTCCTTCCCCTCCAAACACACACACACACACTCTCCCATCTGCTCTCTTCACTGTAATAGTAGTACCTCCGTTCCCTGCTCTTTCTCCTTTGTACAATTATTGTGGGTGAGAGAGGGAGAAACATGGAAATGCATTTCCACCGCTTGCATTTTTTCCCCTAATTCACACCCCTACCTCTGTGACTTTCACACAACCTCCCCCCTGGATGTACCTGGCCTGTCACTGGATTGACAAGTTCCAACACTGCTGACGGAATCAATAAAACTCTCCTCCGCCCGCTTGACTCTCAACACCTGAGATGAGAAGCGGAGAGGAGTGAAGATTGATATGAAATCAATAAACCTGGATGTCAAGACTCCATACATTCCTACTCGGGGGGCAAGAAAAAGCACAATCCCCTATGTTATGTGTCTGGAAGATTGACGAACCTTCACAGAATTGATGAACATAAACCCACATTTGACAGTGGAGCACTTTTGGAGTAACACTGGGGTGGACATATCCACTATCGGTTACTGAAGTTAACAAACTTTTTCATCAGTTTGCAGTTGAAGTAGTATTTCCTTATTATAGCCACACCCTAATAGAGCTGCTAACCTTATCAACCCTGTCCTCCTCACGTTGCAGCCTATTTCTGAATTCAGTCCAGCGTCCAGGCTTCTACCACCTTCGCTGGTGTGTAAAGACCTACCTCTGAGCAACAAGGGTCAGTTACTCCAGCAGAACTCACAATATATATTTAATAACATTGATGATTAATGCAATACAAATTTACATCTACAGAGTGTCGTTCACATGGGTAGGCCATCCCGAAGCTCTTAACAGTACTGGCTGGTCACTTGAGTTGGGGGCGGGAGCCGGGGTGGGGGGGAAAGGAAAGATGACAAACTTAAGTGCGGTAAAGGTGGTAGGTATTGAACAGATTTTGAATGAAGTGAGGGAGACGGGGAGGGAGGGAGAGAGTAAGTTGGAGGGATCCAGCATGGAGTTCCAGAGAGTGGGGGCAGAAAGCCTGACCATATATAAGATATACAATCAATTCACTTTGCAGTTTATTCTATGAGACGCTCTGAGACGTCTCGAAGATGTGATGAGGCGCTATATCAAATGCAAGGATTATTGTTATAAACTCAAACAACTACAGGGCTCGACAATCCACTTGTATATATACATAATCTTATAACTGAAGTGCAAACATCTGCCTAATATTCAACTTAAGTAGTTTCCTTGAAAGCCAACATAGGTTGCTGAAAGCTCGACTTACTTTTCAGCTCAGTGTTAAAATGCCCCAATATAGAGAAAGGAAGGAAAAAAAAGTTCTTGTCGGGTGCAGGAGGAATTTTGTTTATCCCCCCACCCCACCCCACCCCCAAAAAAAAAAGAAAGATCCTCACTTGAAACACAAAGGTCCTTTGAGACGAGAGAGAGAGAGAGAAAGATGAAAAAAGGAGAACGTTAAGAATCAGAAGCTTTTCACCACAGCCTCCATGTTTTCCCTGCTTTCAGGCCAATTGTATCAATCCCTTCCCCCACTCTGCGTTGGCGGCTGTCCAGTTTAATTTGGCTACAACCTTGCCGTTAACCACAAAGCCTTCTCCACCAGCCTGTGACACAGTAGGGCCCCATCTCGGAGAGAGGGAGCACACATAAGACAGAGCAGGCTTTGTCACACACAGTCAGCGGAGGGCATGAATACTCTTCCACCCGGAGGCACTTTAACAGGGACATGCTTTACATAGTCCATTAAGTCCCTTCCTCTGATATCTCGTCGGCCTGACGTGAACTGAATTCAACCCGAATAATGCGCTGATCTTTGCTCCTAAACCTAGTGGGACCACATCACATCACATCACAGATCCCCCCCCCCGATCACGTGAGTGCCATCAAGGGTAAATAAGCCACGGATTTACGATAAAGCTATTCACTGGAGGATCTGAAGATGCTCAATTTCTAAAGGGCCACGAGCAATGGGAGTTTTTCTTTCAAGCTTGTATTGGATTATTAATTACTGTATAATAATAATTAGTATTATTCTAATAATAATAATAATAACGGAGTCCTGTAGCTCAGTGGTTAGAGGACTCGCCTTGCAAGCGAGACACCTGGGTTCAATTCCAGACAGGGCGAAACCTTGGGCAAGTTTCCTTACTCCACACGCCTAATAATAATCCCTCCAAAGCAAAACAATAATAAATTGGTCATTTTCAACCCCCCTGTTTGTGGGACACTGCTGTGCGCAATTGGCTGCCGCGTTTTGCCCACAAATATTCAGTCAATTCACTTTACAGCATATTCTGTGAAGCGCTTTGAAACGTCTAGAAGGAGTGAAAAGCGCTGTATGAAATGCAAGGATTATTATTATTATGATGATTACTGTATTATTATTAATACAAATCATTTCAGATGTTCGGAATCGGCTTTGCTACAGTAACGGCACTTTACAGCAAATCCTGGGAAGTGCTTTGGGATGTCTCAAGACGCTGTATCAAATGCATGGATTATCGTTGCTTACTTTTGGGTCAAACAGCACAAATATGTGATGCAAAGCTTTTTGGTTCAATATTAGTGATAGTGAGTTTGAGCTACAGTGGTGGTCTGAAATTGTCAGTCATGGCAGCATTTGGAGTCAATACCCAGTAAAGCCACGTGGGAGGTTTTTAGAATCAAAAGCTTTTTTTGTCTTAAAAGCAGAATTTTTCTGGCTTGCTGCTCGACCAGCAACCACCCATCCACCCAGTGAATAATATGTATTTATGTTGGCTGAGGAGAGGGGTGGGAAGGGGATGTATGTGCGCTGTGAGAAGAGGACTGGGACATCGTAAGATATCTATTCTCTCCTAGTGTCCTGGCCAACAATCCGCCAGATAGAGTTAGTCGTCAATTCATGGGTATTTATGCGTGCAATTTGGGAGGTGCATCTGCCGACAAATACACAGTCACTACACTTTACAGTAAATCTTGTGAAGCATTTTCATGGTGGACCTGATAAGGCGCTATATCAATTGCAAGGATAAATAATATTATTATAGCTTCAGGCCTGCTGAATTTGTCTCAGTCACTGAGGAGTTAACTGTCTCACACATTGTCCCGACTCCATATTTGTGCTATGCTCCATGATGTTATCATATGTGAAAGGACTCTACAGCAATACAAGTTGTTGCTGTTTTCGTTAAAACCTCAATTTGGATTTGTTTGCACACAATCAGTTCAGCACTTAATTGTACAGTCAGAATTATCCAACTGGGAAGTAGGGGAAAAAACAGCTCAAAAATAATGTTGGCAAGCGATGACTGAACCGGGCAGTGTGATTCTAGCCACAGAGAGAACAAACAGCAAGCTCACAATCTGAAGACTAAACACTGGGGTTTGAGACACTGGGTTCCAAACTAGTTAGATAAATGTGAATGTTGATCGTTGCTAGAATGCTAACTAGGGATTGTCGGGAAATCGAGCCCTGTGGTTGTTTGAGCTTACAATAATAATCCTTGCATTTCAATTAGCGCCTTTCCACATCTTTGAGACGTCTCAAAGCGCTTCACAGAACATACTGTAAAGTTTAGTGACTGTGTGTTTTGTGGGCGAAACGCGGTAGCCAATCGACCACAGCAGTGTCCCACAAACAGTCGTCAAGGGGTCATCAGGACTCAAAGCATTATAATACCCCAGGGATTTGGGTGCTGAAGGACTGGACCCCAAAGGAGGTCTGTGGAGTGTGCACAAACCAGCTGAGGCACATAGTCTGAGCTGCTCCACATCATCTAAGGTTGAGCCAACCTGCCCCTCTACCTTCCTCGCTGAAGAGCAATCCTGCTCCCTTACCTCCGACCTGCCCATCCGCTTTGTTAGCTGAACAAAGAAAGGTGCACTTAGGGATAAGTGTGTCAGCCTGGCTCAGTAGTAGCACTCTTGCCGCTGAGTCAGAAGGTTGTGGGTTCAAGCCCTAAGTCGGGACCTGGAATCACATAGTGCAAGCTGACACTCAAATGCAGTGTTGCACTGTTGGAGGTACTGTCCTTCAGAAGAGACATTAAACCGAGGTCCTGTCTGCCTGTTTAGATGCACATTAAAGATACCATGGCACTATTTAAAAAGAGAAGGGAGTTTCTCCAGGTGTCATGGCCAACAAATCCCCCAAATAGAATTGGTCACTCACTCCATGGCTCTTTGTGGGACACTGCTGTGTGGAAACGGACTACTGTGTTTTGCCCACAAAATACACAGTCAATCCAATTCACAGTATAACATGTTAATCAGTTTGAGACGTCTCGATGACATAAGGCGCTGTATCAAATGCAAAGCTTATTATTCTATAAATGGAAGCAAAACATGAATGGAACACATATGGTAACAAGTAAATAGCCCAGGAATTGCTCCTGTCTATTCTTTAGACAGAAATCACAATAACTAAACTGTCGTTTTAACTTTCTTCATAAAACATTTGCCCATATACAGGTATTGAATGAATAACTGGGATTAAAATGTTCAAGGCCACGTACATTTCTCAGAAGTACAAGGCTTCTGAACATTTCTTAACCCCAATATTTTTTCAATTCACCACCACTGAAACCTTATTTTTGTGCTTTGGTGAAACAAAACATCAGAATTGCCCTTGAAAGATTGTCTTACAATCAATGCCACAATTTCCAATTCCCTACAATTTTTTCCACGATTTAGGATGATTCCAAATGATCTTCCACAGAGACAAATGCAACGAATGACAGACGTGTGCAGAATATTGTTTCCTTCACGAAGAGCAATTGGGGGAAAGGAACAAAATAGTAACCTTTTATGATTTGGTCCTAGCTCGATAGGATCGCCCTCACAACAGGCCACTTGCTTTGCAGTTGATGGAACTAATATGCTGCACATTTAACCTTAAAAACTGTTAGAGGCTGAATAAAGAGATGGCTCTTTTCTCCTATTCCCTGGCATCAGTGGCAATCTTAACAGACTGGCGCTATTGCCCCCTGGAGCGTGTGTGGTCCATTATGAGTCTCCCAGGTGACCCACCCAGCCCTTCTTCTCATTCCCCCTCCCCAGTGGCATCATAAGTGGGAAAACATTCAAAGGTGTGTCTGGCTGTCAGTGAGCTGAGAGGCTTTGCTCTGCCTGTACAGGAGCGAAGCAGTTTTGCACGCACAGGCTTGAATATCTCTTCCCCAACCCACTGTTCCCATGGCACGCTGTAAACAGGGCAGTTTCAAAAGCACCGAGTCAGTGCCCTGAGCCACTACTACAGATCCAATTCCCCAGGTTGTTCTGCAACATAAATAACACCATAAACTGTTCTGAAATCCCATCGGAGGGAATAAGGGCACGATTAAACATGCTGCACGGACAGTTACTGCTTTGGGACATCCTCCCGACGTGAAAGGCGCTTTACAAATGTAATTTGTTGTTGTGTTTGCTAATTTGCCACACACGTAGTGTGGCAGCACGGACACAAGTGAAGTAAAAGGTGGGCTGGGGCTGAGCTTCCTCAGAGTCAAACCACTTCATCAAGAGTGTGATTTAGTGGAGTTATTAAGTGACCTCTCTCCAACTCCTTGAAATGTTCCTTTAACTAAAGGAGATCGAAAGCTGAACAAGTTACCTCATGACTGCTTATCAGGCGGGGAGTTGAAGGCGTTTTAAGCACATCTCTGGACCGGATTCAAGTGCAGGCTCCCAGAAGTGACGGGGATTAAGTTTTTGTCTCATCCCGTGGTAAAATAAAGCGAATCACAGTCAGGATAGTCTGTTCTTTTAGTTTGTTTATTCCGGATGTTTTATTTCACCGTGAATTCAGCGGTACAAGGGTTTGCATTTTATTGTTTAAGTGAAACCTACGCTATACAGTCACATTCAAATTTTGCTGTGGGGGGCAATCAAAACTCCCCACCCCACCCGACCTACTCCAGCACCCCCCACCACACACTCCTGCTCCTGAAATCGCTCTATCAACATTGTCTCGAGTGGTTTCGCCAACAGGAGGCAGTAAAATGTGGAGCTGGCAGCAAACCCCACACATTCACTGCCAGTGTGAACTCCTGCTTCCACCTCATTGACCTCCAAATGGCCTTCGAGCGACCCACATGAGGTCTGTGGCACTCTCGCGCTTAAAGGAAGCATTTAAAATAAGCTAAAAGTAAGCCTGTCTGTTCCTCTCTACCTCACCCCCCACCACCCACCGCCCCCCACTCCCCCCCCTCCTCACACACACATACAAGCAACCTCCCAATGGCTGAGCTTGGAACTGAGCCCCATCGACCAGAGAGGTCCATGGTTCCATTCTCTGTTGAGTTGGCTGGGAGGGGGTAGGCAGCGGGTCAAGGGAAGATGTAAAGGGAGGTACACAATGGTCTCAATCTCCCATGGAGATGTCCATGGAGGGTGTGTGTGTGTAGGGAAAGGTAACCTGGAGCTCCACAGAGGGACAAGCCAAGTCCCCAGGTAGATTCCATGAAATCCGGGCAAATGGGGATCGGGGTGGGGGGGAGAAGGGCGGGAAGGGTGCAGTCAGTCACCATCACAGCAAATTCACATTTGGAGACAGCCAGTGTTTAGAGGAGTGGGAACTCATTAGTAAGTTCAGCGCAAGAAAACAAAAAAAACATTAGAAGATAGATTTTATTTCTCTAAACATGGCAAATGACAGCTAAACCAGTCAAGTCATTTGCATTGGTCCATCTCCCGTTTCCGACACTGGCCTCTGCTCAGTGAGTAAAACCAGAGGCAGAAAGGGCTGCAGTATCAACCTCCATTACATTACATCTCAGCCTCACTTCCTGAAACCCACTTGAGGTGGATGGTCAAGAAAATATACTCAGACACTTAGTAATTATAGGGTGGGTGGGTTGGGGGGGGAATTGTGAGCGATGGTGGCTACCTGTTGTAGATGCCGTTCTTTCTACAGAAGGAGTTCTTCACGGAGAGCCGTCTGTTGTTGAGTTCCAGTGCTGGGAATCGACCATCATCTAGGCTCATAATCTCCTCATGGCCCAGCCCGCTGGTCTTTGTGTTATTCCCTGAGGATGGAAAAGAGCAACATTGGGTCAGTTCAATGGACCAAATACCAGGCCTTTTTGCCACATAAGGGTGATTACAACCTTTCGTCCAGCAAACATCTAATAATAATCCCTCCATTTGATATAGTGCCTTATCACGTCATTGAGACGCCTCAAAGTGTTTCACAGAATAGATTGTAAAGTGGATTGACTGTGTATTATGTGGGCGAAGCTACTACGGTCACAAAACACCACAATTCTGAATTCTTATTTCTGAAGGAAATCCGATTCGAACTCACTGGGGAAAGCAGTCGACTTTTCCATTCTAACGCATTCCTGTGTTACAAGTGATGTACGATTCAATCTCAACAGCTCTCCCGGGTTTTTCAATGGAAGTAAAAATGAATGGAAAAAAAACTGCAGTTTTCTTGGGATAGAAAGCTACATTTTTTGCATCTGACTTACTGCGGCTCATCTTAAAAGCACGTGACAACTGTTCAGTTCTAATGAGATGACTGCGCAAATGGGCACTAACAGCTCGGTGGAGAGTATAGATTAATAGAAAGTTTCCAGAACAGGAGGAGGCAGTCAAGGAAGCAATTTTCCCAAATCTGCTCTGCTGAATTCAGAAATTCCTGTGTTTTCCTTAAGGAATGGTGGTAGATTGAGCTTAAATATGAAAATATGCACATATACTGAGGCTTACAGCGTTACAGCCACCTCTGTTAACTGGGACATTTTGGGTCACTCACTCCACGAATGATTGTGGGATACTGCTGTGCGCAATTGGCTGCCGCGTTTGCCCACAAAATACAGTCAATCCATTTCGCAATATATTCGGTGAAGCCCTTTGAGATGTCTCAACGATGGGTTAAGGAGCTATAACAAATGCAAGGATTATTATTATAATAAACAGATGATAGCACAAGCGGCTGCAGCCTGTCTCACTGAGGGCTCTCTCCAAACGGACTCAAGAGATGTCCAATCTGGTTTCAGAATGGCACAAAGCCCAGGGAACCTCTCCAGCAATCAGCGCAGGATAAAACTGGCTTCTAGCATGGAACCAAAGGTGGAGGGGGGGTGGGGTGGGAAACAGTTGGTTACTGTCACTGTGACCATTGGCCTCTGCCCTGTGTATGAATCATCCTGACAACACTTCACTAACAAAGATGCAAAATCCTGTATTGACCACGAACAAGTAATGTAAAATAGTTGCAACACTGCTCCCAATTATTGCGACCAAGGAATACCATTGCCAGTTAAGACCTTAACTAATTAAAGCACAGAGAGAACCTTTTTTTTCCTTTAAATAAAACTCGTCAGTTAGAAACATAAACGAGCTGGTTTGTAGTCTCGAGGATTCAATGATAGAATTAATTACTGTGGAGCGCGGGGTGAAGGATTGAGAAGCAGCTCTGAACTCTCATGATAGGACATTTGCTCTTCCTCAGTGAACTGGCGTGAGTGTTGTTTTACATTCCAACGAATGGAAAGGCTCCAGTGATAAACATCATGCTTGAGAGCTGACCTCGAGCGGGCTCTGTTTTATCTGGGAGCTACCCAAGCAGGCGATATCCAAGCTCAAATAACAATCTCCTGGATAAGGCAATAATCTCAGTTTAAAAAAGTTCAGGGAGCATAAAAACTCTTTTGTTTAATGTGGCCAGTTGGATAATTCATCATGCAATATAATTAGTGAACTTCAGTTTATGACCGTGGGTGCCTGTTGTGATGTGCCTCTCATTTGTGTCGAGGTAACTACAACTATTCATTCATTAGCAAATGAATTTGCTCCCTGGAACTCCATTTCCAGGTCCCTAAGACTTGCTCCCTCCTCCTCCCCTCTTTCAAGGGACGTCTCAAAACTTATCCATGGATAAATAAAGTGTAGAAAAGACTGAAAAGCTAAGAAATAAAACACAATGTGACCTTCCTCGAGAGGTTGGGTTCAGACAGACTGAAGCTATTTGGAAAACAAGCGTAAACTGTGTTTGTCAGCTAGAAAGAACACAGCGATTTTGATTTCACTTGATAACATGAACAACTTACAATGGGAGGAATAGAAATGCTGCAGAGAAACCACAAACGGCAAAGTTTTATGACTGGTTGATGGAACTTTTAACCCACTGAACGGAACTGAGCTCTGGAAAAGGTACCACGAGCGTTCCGGGTTCAATCTCGGTGTGGTTTAAACCGAGTGAACAGGTTGCTGCAGTTCGATTCAAGGAGAAAGTCAAAGGAACACAGGAATGTGAAACATCACCAGTGTAATGTGCAGTGCAGACACTGGGTAATCCACTGAATAAAGGAGAAGGCAAGGAACAAGATGCTGACTTTTGACCCTCTGTTGAGCAATAATAGATAGCGTTAATTTGTGCAAAAAACAAATCCATTCGACCCTGTTTTTCATGAGTTGGTTAATGCATGTTGAGTACGCAATGCTTGAAAGTGTTTAGGATTCCTGACTGAGCTTCGACGATGCTTGTTGCAAAAAAAGGTTTCACCTCTGGTTTGACCTAACGAGTTTGTGAGCAACCCCCTCTCCCAACACCATGCAAAGAGGATTACTCCTCTTAATGAATCTCAGACCCTCTGAGACCTTGCAGGTTGCCTGCTGCAGTATTTGACATCAGGTTGGTGTAACAAGGTAGGACAAGGTAGAGGTAGGACTGTAATTCTAACTTGTCCAAAAATCAGTGGTCCGTTTTATTAGGTTGCTGCGCTGGTGCAAATCTCGAGTCAAAATATGCCCATCACACGCCCTGCTGACTGTCCTGTCATCCTCAGCCAGGAGAGAAAGGCTAGAAATTTGAGTTTTTCACCAGAAAGCTCCATTAATTTAACGCAATGGTATCACGCTCTGCTTGGTTCTGCTTAATCACAACATGTGCTAAGTTGTGCTTTGCGTCGTACATTCCTTCAGCTCTGTCAGTGAGTGAGTAAGATGCCCTGCAGTTATGTACATTGAGACCTATCAGATTGCAAAGCTCAGGCAAGGTTGACCTGTTCACCTTTCCTCTGAACCACCTTTCAGGCCAGCGCTCGATTCCTTGGCTGAGCGACTTCCCTTTCAGAAGCGCACACGAGAATCTAATGATACCCCGGCCTGTCTTGAGTGATTGTGTCTGCAACTGATGCTGACGTTAGTGACCTTGGTGATGTGGGCCCACTTCAGTTTCTTGGAATATTTGAGGGAACCTTCAAATAAATCTATTGCAAATGTAACGAGAGCTGCCCTGCGGAATACTGTGGATAGAATCTTCACGGTGGAATTCGCCAATGTCAAGCGCAAAATGCGAACTGTGGATTATTACCCGGAACACGACAAATGTGGTCATGGCGAGGCAGCAATTGAGGTCAGACACTTTCCCTCATAGAGAAGTAATGGTTCGTAAAAGCTTAGGCATCTTTGGTACTGATCGATACGTTTCAAATGTTTGATTCTTTCAAATAATACCTTCAAAATAATAGAGTGCAACATCTGCAAATTGCTTGAATGATGAGTTCTGTAGGAATAGGGAATTGCTAATTAGTATCCGAGGAATAAACTCTAAAACAATTAAAATCTCGCTGAAGTTCTGCCTAAGCAGAAGTGAAGCCCACAGAGTTTCAATTGCCCCAGCGCTGTGTGGTTTGCTTTCGATGCAGCTTCCTCACTACTGACGGAATACAAGAATCAACTTTTGCCACAGCTGCTAACAGAAATGATTATCTTCTCAAAGCGACAGGTGTTTCCTGTTGCAGAATCCTTCGAGGCATTCCGGGGCAGCGGGGTTAGGTGGGGGGGGGGGGGGTGGGAGAAGAGAAGGGGGCTTAACCCTCATCTTGACCCCATTCACTATCCGCACCACTACCAACAATGACCCATTTCACCAATGGGAACCAGGCTTAACCCGAAACAAAGTGGCAGCTGAAAAGCTCAACCTACTGTCTCAGTGATTCAGTGAAATGTTGCTGCCTCTGAGGGTGAAATAAGACAAACCCCAATATATCGGTCAATGGACGTGGTGGGTGGAAGCCAAGTGGGAGGAGGGGCAGGGCAAAAATTAGCAGAAGAGAGGTCGATCGGTGCCTCTACTGCATACAGCGCAACTATCAGGATATCTTTTTCCACTGAATGATTTCCTATCCAACACTATGATATGCACCAGGGAACTAGGCATCAGGGAATTTGATACGACTGCAACTGAGTTTGTTCCGCCTGATTCAGGCACTCTGCGTCACTACACTGGCGGAATCGTTGGACAGAACTGCACAAGTCAGTCAGATGCACGGCTACCATAGGGGTAATTTTGACACCGGAAAGCCAGCTCTGTGAATCCGCAGTCTCTCCAGGGATATGGAAACAGCAGCAGGCGAGTCTGCTGGAGAGGCTGGACACAAACCGTTAGGAGACCAGGAGGGAATGTGAAGCACACTCACACTGAATCCCCAGGGAACTGGAAGCAGACACACACTGTCATGGAAATGGGCTTTTGACCCATGTATGTCTCCAGTAATACAATAGTGAATCCATGTTAATTCAGCAAGAAAGTCACGAACGTGAAGTGAAGCAGCCCTGAGGATGCTATCATTGCAACATGAGCTCCATGAGAACTGCACGTTGGATCATCAAAACAACATGGGTCAAAGAGGGGGGAACAGTAAGAAAATAGAAGAATCTTAAAATACAGGAAATGAAAATAGGAAATTACTTAAAACTGCTGCCCTCGCTGTACCTTACCTCGAGACATTGGGTAAGGAGGGATTGGGCTGGATTCAACCTTTGTTCACACACTCCCTTTCGAAATGTTTCAAGTTAAGAAGCAATAGTTTGCTTTTAACTTTCATTATAACCTCACAAGAACGGATACTAATCTGAGCTTTTAACTACATCACGGTGCTCATAATCATAGGCTGACATTTGAGTGCAGAGCTGGAATTAAGTTGCATTGACGGAGATGCCGTACATGGATTAGGACATTAAACTGAGGTTCCTTCTGTCTGTTCAGGTGGATGTTAAAAATCCCCTGCAGCTATTCGAAAAGAGAAGTGAGTTTTCCCCGATATCCTGGCCACAAATCCCCCAAATAAAATCGGTCGCTTACTATTTGTGGGGCATTGCAGTGCACATATTGGCTGCTGGGTTTGCTTACAAAATACAATCACTACAGAATACAGTAAATCATGTGAAATTCCTTGACTATTTAGATGATGTGACAAGGCACTATATCAAATGCAAAGTTCATTATTAGGAGTGGCATAATAACGTCCAAAGATCTGCTTTGCTTTGCGTTGATTTGTTTAAATTCAATTGGAAAAAAAATTCAATTAAAGATTTAATAATTTCCCAAGTCCCATTTAATAGGAGGTATTTGCCAATTTTAACTGTCGACTCAAACAAACATGAGGGCTCTTGGGAATGTCCCTTGAAACCACAGCAGTCATAGAAAAGCTGTCCGAGAAGGCTAATTTGCTGATTTGCCACAGGGAGTACAAAGCCATTTACAACTGTTACAACAATGTATTAATGGCACACAAGGCCAGCTCTCTCTCAAGCACTTGTGCATTTCCTTATTATCTCAGCTTCTTGGAGTCAAGGTTAGACTCCCTTTTGCTGGCGAAATGCCATCTGTGCACTCATTGATCCAGAAAACACCCTGTGTCTCACAGGTGAAATGAACAATCAATCTGACAATAATAATCCTTGCATTTGATAAAGCACCTTATCACATCGTTGAGACGTCTCAAAGCGCTTCGCAGAATATACCGTAGAGTGAATTACCTGTATATTTTGTGGGTGAAACATGGCAGTCAGTTGCTGCGCACGGCAGTGTCCCACCGTGCACAGTGTGACTTTCCATCAGCAAAACATTAACGCATTTCAGAATTCATTTGCTCTCTGCAGTTCAGTTTAAAGATCTCAATAAACTGCTGTGGCCTTGCTTTGTTTAACACTGCTAATCTGAAAGCAGAGGGCCACTGCGATTTAGTGTGGAGAATTGCCGCTCTGGTGCACATTCTGGTGCACACTTGCTGCAATCTAAAAGCTCTCTTAATTCAAATAACAACAATGGAAGAGCCTTGGAATGGCACGTGGGGACCATAAACCATTCCTGTGGTTATTACTGCAGGATTCATTGACTACCTATTACCCACTGAGCACGACGCACAAAACGGACATTTTTAATTACCGGCGACTGGAAAAGCGATGGAGAATGAATTACTGAGAATAAAGGAAGGTTAAAGAATCCCAGCAAATGCTGCCGGGGAGTTTCCAGGTGAGACTAAGTACCTGCAATGAACGGTTGCTATGGAGACTCAGTGAAACAGCATCTGTCCGTGTCTATCTCGTGTCTGAGCTCAAGGAAGTTGCAGTTTTAATTTCACTCTCCAGAGGGTTCCATTCACTGCGCAAAGCATTTCGATGGACCCACCTGAGTCTGTTTTCTTTGTGTATTTTTTGCTCTGTCCCCGGATTATCAGGATGAACACCAGGAGGAGAATAAAGATGAGGCCGACCAAGGCAATGACCACCAGGAACCACCACTCCTCGTAAAACGGGGCTGCGTTCTGGCCTGAAAGATTGCAAAAGCAGAAAGAAATCTGAGGAAATAAACAAATGTTGTTGGGGGGAGGGGAGGGGAGGGGAGGGAAGAAGGAGGAAGTGCAGGTGCAGTGAGGGAGCGAGGGTCAACTGTGGGGATTTCCTCAATTAGGATTTCTGAGTGAGGGTTCCTTAGATTGTTCCTTGAATTTGATACAGCGCCTTACCACGCCATTGAGACGTCTCAAAGCGCTTCACAGTCTACACTGTAAAGTGGATTGCCTGCGTATTTTGCCTCACCGTGGGAATATTTCTCAAAGTAAATCAAATTGGAGCGGCGTTCCTGTGAGTCTGTTTGACGTAGTGCGTGCGGATTCCCGAAGTGAGGCGCCCCATTTGACAAGGCCACCTTTCAGACCCCAATGTTACCAACAAGTTCTGTCAAGCTGCTATGTTGGTGCAGGTGACTTGCAGGTGTGGAGAAGTTACGATAGTGCGTGCTGTGTTGTCTGTCTCCTACATCTGAGCTTTTCCCTGCCAGCCCTGGCAACGGTCCCACTCATCAAACCTCATTATGTGCAACACAGTGAGGATTGAATTGAGTAACACACAAACAGACAAAGACACGCACCTGCTACTGTTTGCCAACTGCTCAGTGCTTGGCAGGGCGTTATTCTGTACAATCACAAATTATCTTATCTGCGCAGCGACAAATTTTTGCCGTTGACTTATCGTCTTGGCCATAAATACTATTTTGCTGGAGAATGGTGACAAGTTCGCTCATTGTTCAGCCTCTAAGCCTAGGAATCGTTTGAAGGGCGTGATCCTGAAACCGTACTGCCAACTATCTTTTGTTCTGCTTTTTATCTGCCAGTTTTTCTTCTCCTCTCCTCTCCGTCACCCTCTCCTGAAAGTGTGAAAGATCAGCTGGCTCGGCACTGACTCTGTGAGGCCAAGCCCCTGGTCAGGCCTGGCCTGTGCTGTCAGCGGGAGTGAGAAAAAGGAGAGGTTGCTTCCTGTGTCTGTTCTCAAAGACATCTATTTTTTCACCCACAGAAAACACACAGTCAATTCACTTTACTACATATCCTGTGAAGCGCTTTGAGATGTCTCAATAAAGTGATAAGGTTCTTTATCAAACCCAAGGATTATTATTGTTATAATAATCCTTGCATTATTATTATAATAATCATCATCTAGAGTCTGGCCCGAATTGCAGAGATCTCCATTTGGACATGTGAGGGGCTAAGTGTAGCGTTGTGTTAGGACTATGAACAAGTTTTTTTTAAGAGGAAATAAGTTGGTTAAATGCTTTATCTGAAGCGGGGTGTGCTTGGCTCACGAGTGCACATCCCTTCACAGCTAACATTGTTCAGATCACAATGTCATTATAGGCTTTCCTGTATTACAAAGTTATTAATGGCAACGGAATCGCATTATAAGCACAGAGCAAGGGTGTTGTCACTGGCATTAGATACCTACGTAGCTGCTGCGTATTATCAGTGACCTGGATCTCAATTTCAAGTCTAGGATTTAAAAAACATGCTAAGAAAGAACATGCTGAGTTTGAACGTTAATTTGTTGTTTGACTTAATCATTCGGTAACAGATCAAATCACACGACTCATCATAATAATAATAATTGTTTCGCCCACAAAATACACAGTCAATCCACTTTACAATACATTCTGTCAAGCACTTTGAGACAACAACAAGATTACACTTGTATAGCGCCTTTCATGTCGGGAGGACGTCTCAACAACATGATAAGATGCTATATCAAATGCAAACATTATACTATAATGTATACAATACAATTCAAACTTCTATAGCACCTTTCACCTTGGGAGAATATCTCAAATGTCCGATCAAATCTACTTAAATTGGTAAATGCAATGCATGGAGTAGTATTGAGCCATACAGACTGGAAAGGTCTCAAATCTTTCTTCTGTGTTTAGTTAGTTAGGTCATCCCAGAGCAGGCAATGGGGTGCGACAACTATCCTCAGTGTCCCCAGGATAAGAAAGACAAAACACCGCAGATTCCAATTCCTGAACACTATCCAACAATGTAGGAATACACACACACACACTTACATACTATGGCCCCCACACTCGAACAGCCTGTCAGTACTCACTGCCCGAACCCTCACTTGGTGAAGGCAAGATGCAGAGGCTGCCAGGTTTAGAAGGAATATTGTAGGAAGGGAATGCTTATTTAAATAAGGTGAACAGAGACTGCATTGTCAGTTTAATCGTAACATCTTAAAAATTAATTAAATAAAAATCAAATTTGTGACTTCAATTTACCATCGCTATTGCTGACTGAGCAGAAACTCCGCGGAGAGTGGACAGTGAAGGGCAGTGAAGAGCTTAACTGAAGGGCATTAAGCTTTTACAGTAACGAATAATAATCCTTGCATTTGAAATGATTCAGAAACACGTCACGTACCTGAAACTGAGGGGGAGGGGGAGCTGGGCGTCCCATAGCCGTAATCGTTGACTGCGATCACTCGAAAGTCGTAGCTCACGCCTTGCTTCAGGATGTCCATGCTGAAGGTGTACGATGTCACTTCCTTCGGGATATCCTTGATCAAGATATCCCACAATCCTTCGTCTGGCAAAAAAAAAAACAGTCTCTTCGTGAAATACATACACTCGGCGGCTGTGTGTTTTTGTCTCTCTCCCGACGCGCTGTTAGGAGACGGAACCACTTTTGGCATTTCACCAAATTGCACTTTTTTAAAAATAAAAATGTATTTAATTCACCAGCGTCAACATGACTAGCCACTAAGCCACAGTGTTCCCCATAAAACACACGGTCACTGCTCTCTAGAGTTATAATAACAATCCTTGCATTTGATATAGCGCCTTATCACGTCTTCAAGGCGTCTCAGAGCGCTTCACAGAATATACTAGTGACTGAATTTAATTTATCCTGTGAGGTGCTTTGGGAGATCCTCCCGACCTGAAAGGCGCTGCATCAAATGCAAGGATTGTTGTTATTGTTATTGATAATTATTATAATTCAGAGGTGCTGGTAGTGCTTTATAAAAAAGCTAGCCACGTTGACAACAGCATCTTGCATTTATATAGCACCCCTCACACAGGCTCATGACCCAGATAACATCTTGACTTGCGAAGAAAAAGATTTGAGGCTCCTCAGCTGCAATTTCTGATTCGACTGGGAGAGCCCGACATCACAGCACGGGGATGTTATTGATTTTAAAAACAAAAAATTGACTTGTGAGGTTTTTTTTTATTCTTAATCGCTCAAAGTCATTGACATTTACAGTACACACTGAAATTGACTGGCTTATCAGGTTTGGCAGGATATGTTAACCACATTTGTTCAGTATTGATGTCTTGCGGGCAGTCTCCACATGGAACCAATTTTATTTCCCTCGGAGGGGGTGGGAGAAGGGGGTTTGGCGGTGGTGTGGGGGGTGGGGAGATGAAGAGGAGAAACAAGAAAATAAGAACAAAATGTACGCGATGGTCTTAAACATCGACATGTGAAAGAGAAACGATAGCCAAAGTGACATTTGTGCAATATTTTCTTTTTCAAAAAAATTCCTTTCAAGCTCCAATTAGCCACAAACATGAGAGAGTGAGAGAGGATCTCAAGGATCTCGATTGTGACTTATTCACAGCTACCAAATGGCCTGTTTGTATCCCGAGTAAGTCACAGCTGGTTCAGGTGAAAAAGATAAATAATATTCTAATTTGATGAAGTGCCTTCTCAGATCCAATGCCTCAAGGTGCCTCACCCGACGAGATATTTCTGATTGTAGTGATTGACAGTTGTGGCTGACTGCTTCTATGTCGGCAAAGGCAACAGCTAATCTGCACCCGCATCACGTTGCATAACAGCAATGAAATGAATGGCTAATTAGAACAGAACACAACAGAACAATCACTGCGTCTCACGCACCACATGAGTTATAAGAAAACAGCAACAATTTCTCTTGAAAACTGCGATCTGCCCGTTTCAATACTACACTTTGTGAAGGAGAAGCTTTTGCGTAAGTTATTTTCATAGAGATGAAGGCAAATGCTCTAGTATAGCAGGATCTTATAACCCCCCTCCCCACAGATTTATCCCTATCCTTTGTACTGGCAATAATTATAATGGCAGATTATCTCATTTAATTCCACATAGGGAGTGGAGGATGGGAGACGTTTGGCACGTATTTCGCAGTCCATAAAAAAATTGGCATCAATTATTACTTCTAAATTGCAATGGAGTGAATAATGGCAGTGCTGAGGGAAAGATATAAAAGGAACAGAATGTACCAACACCATGTGTCACGCAGACCTCTCCAAGGAAAAGAATCCCAAATGGTCGAGAGGAGCACAAAAAAACAAAAATGGCATTTCCTCAGCATGTCCCAGTGTCTATAGATAACTATATACAATAACAATTATAATTTGGTCATTCAATCCACAACTGTTTGTGGGATATAGCGCCTTATCATCTCGTTGAGATGTCTCAAAATGCTCCACAGAATATATTGTAAAGTGGATTGGCTATGTATTTTGTGGACGAAACGCGGTAGCCAATTGCGCACAGCGGTGTCCTACAAACACTCAAGGATTGCGTGACACTTTTTTGAGAAATTATTACCCCCCGGAAAGTGATCCGCCAATTGAATAACAACCGGGTCCCTACTAACTGTTTGGTAAACATTAGTTAATCAATATAGGCTTCCATGCACAATAAAACTGCAAGAGCTCAGCAGATCTGAATGAACGAATAAAAACTGGAACATGTCTGACCAGCAGTGAGGCTCAATACAATCTGTGGGTCTCCCAACAAAGGAGCACATGGATGCATTTCTGGAAAACTCTCGCTGTCTCATTGTCTGGTGCTCCAGGGCAAAACAAACAAAAAATATTTACTGTTGAGTTGTTGATTTAATATCTTGCAATCTCTGCTGCTACCACCTGCCCACCCTCCCACCCATCCTTCCAGTTCCAGGATGTCAACGTCTTCTTGTCTGTGGCAATGGTGATTAAGACAGATCATTCACTTGTGCAACGAGGAGCAGCCACAGCCAAAGTTCTTACTGGATGATTAAGGATGCAAGGGGTTGATCGGTGCTGACGCTGATTTTGCCACATGGAGAGCCACACGTGCGGCTGACTGTTTCTGGCTCTTCACGTGCTCTTCAGTTGCCAATGTTTCCGGCCTGCTTTCCGGAAGAATTTACTCTCAATTGTTTCTCTTTAACAAAGGAATTGGAGCTCATCAATTCAATTCACTCTCACTGCTCACTCTCTTCAACAAACCAATACAAAACGAATCCTTGCATTTGACACAGCACCTTGCCACATCGTTGAAACGCCTCAAAGCGCTTCACAGGATTAACTACAAAATGTAGTGACTGTATTTTTGGAGGCAACCGATTTGTGCACAGCAATGTCCTATAAACAGCCGCAAAGTGAGTGACTTGGTTGTTCCAAGATGAGAAAAGTCGCAAAGTGTGAAAGAACGATTAAGAGGGGATTGCTGGTGAGTGGAAGGCAAGAGACTGAAGTCAATAGGGAGTTGGTGGGTCTACAGCCTGCTTTTGGTTGGGGTAGGGGAGGGGTGAGAGAGGGCAGATTGAACTGTTGGAAAGAGAAAAGAAGTGAAAGGCATTGGGCATCAATGGACAATGTAAGAATAACAATCACCTGATGGCCTGGCCTCGATGACGTATCTGCTGATGGGTGCTTTACCCGTATCTCCGTTGGACCAGTGAATGGTGATGGCTGACCCATATCTGTAGATCAGAGGTTCACCTGGAGCCCCGGGAGCACCTGTATTGAGGAACGGATACAATGATCACAAACTCATCATGAGGCACAGTGCCAAAGACTGGAGCACGTTTCCGTTTCCAGCACTGCGTCAGAAACCAAGTGAAGCTCCCTGAAAATTCAGCCCAACATCGTACCCTAAACCCCAACCATTCCTACTGTATGACCAGGGTGACTTTTTCCCACACCTTCCCAAGCAGGACTTGAGCATTCTACGGCTGTTAATATTTAAATATTGGTACAGACACAGAATGGCCTTCTTCTGAGCTGTAAATATCTATGGCATTGTGATTCTATTCTGGCCTTTTTTTATCCGAATTACAAACTGAAAGAGAGATACCTCTACAGTTCTGGCTTACAGGAGGTGCTGTGCCTTAACCCAGCGATCACACCCAAAAACACTGAAGATCTTAGTAAGACAATCTTTGTCAGTTACCTTCTCCTGGTCCAGTGGTGATATTTGCCTCAATTTCTGGTCCATATGTGAACGTTTTTGCTTTAATTCGGTAGGTGTACGTAACACCATCTGACAGGTCTTTGATTTTCATCCATCGTGGACTGTTTCCCTTCACATCCACCGTTACAATCTTACTGACTCCTACACGGAAAGAGAGCTATTGAAACTAACCGGAACAGGCATTACAGATCACAGACACTACAGCACGTCGAAGGCAATTAGAACAGATTTTGAATTAATTATGATTTATGTGATAATAATCCTCGCATTTCATCCGGGACCCCATAATGTCAAAATGTCTCAAAGTGCTTCAAAAGTGATTGCTGTCAAGTGTAGTGACTTTGCAGTACATTGATAGCCAAGCTCAACCGCCAATTTGCACGCAGCAGGGTTCCACAAACAACCATGACCAATTTATCTGAAGGATTATGGGACCCAGGACACTGGAGAACCCCCTTTCTCTTTTCAAATACTGTCACAGCATTCATTTAATGTTCATCTGAACAGGAAGGTGTGACCTCAGCTTCATCTTCTCATCCGAAAAACAGCATCTCCGACAATGCGACCCTTCTCCCTGTACTGCAATGGGGTGTCAGCCTAGACCAGTGGCAGCCAAACTGTGGCTCGTGGGCTGGATGTGACCTGCAGAGCAGTCAAGAAACGTCCCCCTTAACTTTCTCACGAGTCCAGGTAAAATCCGTGTTCAATCGGTAGTGTGCTTTCAGCTTTTTCTTGATTGAATATTTCTTGATTTACAGGGTAAATCAAGAAATATTGAATGGAGAAAAATTATTTTGTTGAGCTCAAATCCCGAGTTGAAACTGGTCACGTCGGGTGGACTAATCCTCCTTGTAATCCAGACACCGATAGAAACGCTGATTTCTGCTGCAAGTTTGCAAGCTCCACGTGCTTACCATCAACGGGGGTGCAGGGCTCGTAGACCAGCCGATACCCTTCAAGGATTCCGTTTGGATACTTTGGCTCCCCCCAGGACACGTTCACTGAGGTCGTGGTCAGCTCATTGAATCGAATGTAGCTGGGAACACTTGGAGCTGCGGATGGAAAAACATAGCGGATAGTTGACTTAACATAGCTGACTTGTTGTACAGCGAGGGGGAAACTGGCACTGGAGGAACTGGGGAACAGTTGTAGGAAATTGTGACTATAATAAATTATAATAATGATAATATTAATAATAATCCTTGTATTTGATATAGTGTCGGGAGTACTTCACAAAACGCTTCACAGAATATATTCCGAAGTGTAGAAACCGTGTACTGTATTTTGTAGGTGGAAAGAATCTCCCCAATGCCGTTTCCATGTAAGAATTTTTTCATAATCGTTTGAAATTTCACTGCTCATTCATTCCACAGCTGTTGCTCAATCCCCCAGTTGGAGCGCCCTGTTTAACATGGAATACCTGGAGTATCGCGGTATCTGGTGGAGCTAGGAGTGAATGATGGTCATGCATACCAAGCACTTTTTTCAGGCATGACATTCTTTGGGACCTTAGCCTTACGATCCATGCCTGACAATCCACAATTTACAATCGTGCAGAGAAAATATTCCAAAAACCCCAGAATGTTTTCCAAGGTCTGTCTGCACAACCTTACTTCAATGTTTTAAGGATATGACCGAAGGATATTTTGAACCTCGTATTCTTGCTGCTTGGCCCGATCTGAAAGTACTGTTTTGAGGTTTGCCTCCTCTAATCCCATTTCACATCTCATATCCGTCTGTAAAGTCCACTCCACGACATCCCTATACAGCGCTGGAGAGCCCCAGATTATTCAGTTGCTCCCAATAGCTCATCCCTCTACAACAACACCAACTTGGATTTATGTAGTGCCCCTCGACCCAGAGGACTTAAACACCAAAACAAACGAGATCCAGGAATCAGAGTGTCTGACATGCAGGTCTGTCTCATCGTACAAGCGTTTGTACTTTTCGTTGATATTTCTAGGCTTTTTCAGAAGGCAGAAACTGTTTAAAGAATAATATTTGAGATTGTGCTTCAAGCTGTGGGAGCTGTTTTGGTCAGTTGAGTCCTGAATTCACACAAGTTTGATTCAATGCTGCATATTTGTTCTGCGTTTATACTCTGAAGCAATAAAACATTCAGGAAATTCCTTTCCTTTATTGCTTTTCTTTTGTATATCTTTTTTACTCGTTTTCTGGTATTTTTCCTTAAGCTTCTTAAACAGCTGTGCGATTATTTTTTTTGGGGGGTTGGGAATGATGGTGGTGGGAGGGGGGAGAACTCCCTGCGGTTTCCAGTGAATGCCAAAGCTGCTTTGCCGCAAAAGACTGTTTCTTCGAAAATATAACATTTCTCGGGCACTTCCCAGGGTTTTCACACTGTTAAGCACGAGGTGGGTTCTGCTGCCGGCTGGATCAGATAGTGAATACAGAGGGTGGCTTCTCTTGCAGAGCCGGCAGGTTCTCAGCTATGCAGCACATGCTCTCGTCTCCCTGGCAACTCCATGTCACGAATGCCGTGGAGATTTCGGCGATGAAATATGGATAGCTTCCGCTCGGAGTATTTTCTCACGGCCAGAACACAATCTGAGACAGATGAAGAGATTGCCTTGTTTGCCTTTCGGGAAATAGGTTTTGCTTGTCACCTGTGTTTTCACAACCTTCTCATACCCTCCCCCCTCCCGTTTCTCCACTCTTTCCCAGCGTGACGTGCGCTGAATGCATCCCACTGCTTTCAAGTGCAGCCCCGTAAAGTACGAGAAACATTTTTGCGCGACAAAAGAGAACGGACACCGGGGCTCCTGCCTCAAGACACGTTTACGGGGGGAAATAATAATCCCTCCATTTGTTGAGACGTCTCAAAGCGCTTCACTGAATACATTGTGAAAGGAATAGACTGTGTATTTTGTGGCCGAAATAATGGCAAACGCTCTGTCGCTGGCTTAGAATGGAATTTGCTGGCTAATTTGAGATACAGGTTGCCTAAGATCCACACACAATCAATATCTCACTGCTAAATGCCTATGTTGTTGGATGTGGGGGCTGGAAGCTCATTTCTAGTTCCTCCACTTCGCTTTCTCTCTCTCTCAGTCTGCCTTGCTGCACACTACACTCCCAGGCATCTGTCAGCCCTGCTCTGTAACCAGCCATTGGAATGGTGTGACAATAGCCTGGGGTAAATTCCCATCATGTTTGCTTCGCTCGTGGTGGGGAAGCATATGAAATCTCCTCTGCACCTCCTCCGGCCTTCTCGTAAGCATCCACATCACAGGGTTTGCACGCACACACTCTGCGTTCTGCTGGCCTGCCTTCTGCTGGTGCACAGAGCAGGTTTCGCTTCCGCTTACTGAACAATAATGATCCTTGCATTTGATAAAAGTGTCTCATCGAGGCGTCTCAAAGCGCTTCGCAGAATATACTGCAGGGCGAATCGACTGTGCATTTTGTGGGCAAAGCGCTCAAACATTTTCAAACATCCCCGTAAAAAAAATATGAGCAAGGCGCTGTTAAATTACAGACACATTTTTCTCAAAAATCCAGATAGGCTTGTGAGCGGAGTTTATGGTGTTGAGGGATCTGCGGGCCAATTAAACAGCACCCGCGGGACATCCACAAGTTGCTCATACTACAGCTACGGATCCAGATGTGGGGAACTCGTTATATTATCCCATCACAATCCGATGGGCTGGCGAGAGAATCGGCAGAGCTTTTTGGCTGAATCGCGTGGGTCTCCACTGCTCCCTTTTTGCGAGAGAACCTGTGAAAAATGACTTTCTTTGCGTCTCGTCAAAGTAAGCTCATGAAAACACACTCCACTCATAACACTGCTTTGTTAGAAATTATTAATCCAGCATTCCACACACTGCAAGTCTCCTGATATCCACGCTTGCCTAACGACCCAGTCAAACCAAGTCTGTTACTCTCATTGATTCTTTTGGTGGGGATCATTTGGTGGCAAATTGGGTTCTTGCAAACGGTTGTAAACGGACGTCCTCCCGACGTGAAGGCGCTCTATAAATGTAATTTTGTTGTTGTTGTTGTTGTAAAGGAGAGAGAGTGATTGACACTGAATGTCTACATGTTCTTCAACAACATGTTGCTCACATCAGGGCATCTCAAAGCTCTTCACGGAGCCAACTGGGAGCTGGGGTCGGGTGACTGAGGAACGGGGTGGGGAGGGGGTTGGTGGGGGAGGGAATTGATAGATGAAGGTGACTAAAAGCGCAGTCAAAAAGAAAGGTCTTTAGCTCATGTTAAAGCTACGGATCTAAATGCAGGGAACTGTCACTCCATTGCTTTAAAAATTCCATGAGATCTCCTTGAGGATGAAACTCCTCCCACTTTAAGCCCCCGAGATCCTGCCCCATGTGAGGGTGCTATATAAATGCAAGTTGTTGTTGTCGTTGCAATTTAATGCCTGCGTCAAATGACCAATTTAGATGCACTGTTTATTTGTTTGTTTGTTTGTTTGTTTGTTTGTTTGTATGAATGGTTTGGTGGATAAGTTTGCATTACCCAATGTAGCACTGAGCTGCATCAATCATTCTCTCTCCTTTTACAACTGTTTTCAAGAAGCCAAATTGCCACCAAATGACCCCCACCAAATCAATCACTGACCAGCCTTGGGCTGACTCCATGGCTCTTAACATTCATGTGCACGTGTTCCCTTTATCTACTGTTCTGATGGAAGACAGAGGGCAATGTGGAGGGGAGGCAGTCACTGACCTGGACAATGCTTTTGCACTGGGAAAATGGGGAGAGAGGGGACAGGAGTATGAACTGTGTTTTGTGGAGGGAGCGAAGAACAGAGAGACAGAGAGAGCAACTAAAGTGTTGTCTTTGCTCCAGAATTTGAGCAGGTCGGTGGCTCCGTGGACCAGAAGAAGCCCACGCCCACTGCTGAGCCTGGATTAACACTTCAGGGCTTGGCAAATCAGAAGGTTTGAGTGACGGTTTACCTTACAGCCCACTCGCGCAGGAGAAAGTAAGAGGTTTGTGACAATCCTTCGTCAGGGCTCGGTCTCTGAGCGCTCGCAGCCCTGCGTCATGTACGATCGGGTTACGGTTTCGGCATGCAATATCTTGTTGCCTTTGTTACCATGATAATGGCCTCAATTGCATCCAGGTGGCTTCAAAACTGCACTCGGGCCATCAGTGGTGAGTGGCCTTAATCCCTCTCGCCCTAAAGCCCCATTCGCTTCTTCCCCTTTCTCTCCCTGCCTTTAAAGACCTTCCTCCTTGACCACGCCATTGCTTGTTTCTCCCTGCTTGGCCCACACTATCGTCTTTGTGAAGCATTTTAGGACATTTCATAATAATAATAATAATATTGCTTGCGTTTGATTCAACGCCTTTCACACTGGAAGGACGTCTCAAGGCGCTTCACCTGATTCACTGTAAAGTGCAGTGACTGTGTATTTTGTATGTGGTGGCAGCAACCAATTTGCGGACAGCAATGTCTCACAATTAGCCATGAAGGGAATGAATAATTTTTACCTGGGAGAAACTCCCTTCTCTTTTCGAACAGTACCGTGGGATCTTTAACTCCCACCTTAACAGGCGGACAGGAACTCGATTTAATGTCGCTCTTAATACCGCAGCCTTGCATCTCAACAACAACGCACTTTCTGGGCTGTGTTAGCCATAGAGTGTCTATACAATCTGTTCCAAAACTTTCCCTGACAAAAACATCATCAGCAGCTTCGAAACGCTGTGAACCAAAGGCCTTTGTTTTCGGGAAGAACAATAAAGTCACTGAGGAGCTGTGGAGAGAGCAGGACTTGAAGAGCTTGCTGTGACATGACCCAGAGGATCGTCAGGAACTGCTTAGTACAGGAATACTCCTTCGGAGCAGAGCATTGCATCCCTACTCGCTTTTATTCCATTGCAATCTTTTTGTGTCTCCAACAAACAAAAATATTTTTTGGGGGGGGGCTGGGTGTGTGGGGGGGAGGGGGAAAAGAAAGAAGAGGAAGAATAAATTAAACAACAACAAATTACACTTGTATAGCGCCTTTCACACCAGGACGACGTCCAAAGGTGCTGGAAATTAAAGGGCCAAGAATTTAAGTTGTTGGGAGACACGTGAGGAAGTCTCACCGTTTGGTACATGCTTTGAACACGTGATCGATCGGTGTGTCTTTCCATCTCTGCCTGGAGAACACCGAGTGTTGCGACACGCGTGGCAAAACCGTTCAAAATGGAGGGGACTAAGCATTTGTCTCCCTGTGGACAGGACCATCCATTGGGAGGCTTGGCTCGCGGCTCTCACCTGCTTGCTGAGTCCGACTCCGAATCGGCGTGCTTCTGGGTCCATCACCAGCTGCGTTGAAGGCAGACACGCTGATCAGGTAGGTGGTGTATCCAGTCAGATTCTTTAGCTTCACGTTGGTTTCGGGGAGGAACAGGGTCTTTAGCTTCTCGGTCTCATTTTGCCGCTGGAACTCCCAGTAATAAATCTGGAGAGAAAGAGAGAGAGAGAGAGAGGAAAAAAAACCCTTAATTTACGCATTCTCAAAAGGCATAAAACATATTGAGAGAGGCAGAGAGTTCGTCTCCTGCTTTGGGAGTCCATTTTCTTGACATTTCTGAGACTGGGCTGATGGATAGCTGTGGGGCAAATGGGTGCAGAATTACCGTACAAAAACGGGGAACAGAAGTATTCCCTATCCCACGGAGATTTTAATGTATTTTAATGAAGTTTTCTATTGAAAACAGATCCCACATACCTGCTGCAGAGTAATGCAAAGCAGATACTGCTAATGAAAAGCTTGCATTCACTACTGACTTCTCCCTAGACTGTGGAGCTGGTCAGTGACACTGCATGTGGTGATGCTGGCATTTAATATTGGGCGTCCAAAGCTCACTACTTCTCACAACTGGCGAATTGTTGATCCACAAATTCACAGTCACTAAACTTTACAATAAATCCTGTGAAGAGCTTTGAGACATATCGACGACTTAGTCAAGTGCGAGGATTATTATTATTAATATCCATAAACCTTTCTTTCTGTTCTCCTGGATGGGAAATCTCATTATTATAATGAGTCAACTCAACAGATGGCCTTGGAATACGCAAAAATTGTAAAGTAAGCCTTGCATTTGACATTGCGCTTATAATGTTGAACCGTCTGAAAGTGCTTCATCTTGATGACTGTAAAGTGTACCAACTGTGTACATATGTAGCTGAATGTGGGAACCAATTTGCGCCTAGAAGTTTTCCCTCCCAGCAGCCAAGAGGTGAATGACCAATTTATTTGGATGATTGTTGCCAGGAAACAGGGTGAAAGCCCCTTCTCTTTCTGAATAGTCCCGCAGTATCTTTAAGATTCACCCGAACAGACAGAAGTTCAAGGATACACCATTGAATTCAGATGGCAGGAATGGAGTTGATTACAGCACTGGGCATAACATCTTCCGAAGCATTATACAACACAAATGTACAACCTTTTCACTCAGATTTGGACTGATGCCAACTTTTAAGAACACAGTTAAACAAAACAAGCAGTTGAGACACGGCAATGTACAGTCAAAATACGTCTTCAAAAATCAGTCTACAAAACCTCTTTCACTGTAACTATCCCTCTGAACATATTTAATTACTGTCCCCATAACCATAACTCTCATTTTGAACAGTACTTGCTTGGATTATTCCCCCCCTATCTTCTTATAGGCCGCCTTGTTGGATATTTAGTTCAAAGTTTCCAAACCAGCCAACAGGCTGTGTGTGACCAACACCCCAGTTACAACCAAACATTGCATTCTGAAATATTCACTCGGTTCTGGTTCAAACATCCCAAAAAGCCCAGTCGTGTATGTTAAGTACTATAATTTCCTCAAGGTTCAAAGATAATCTTTGCTGTTCCTGGTGGAATTCAGGAAAAATACGATGAATTATTATAATCAAAACTAATCAGAGGGTTTTAGAGTCTACGTCTCTTCAGTTGGAACAGACTACAAACCCGTGCGAGTGAAAGCGAGCCAAGGCCCTGGGGACTTATACTATCTGACCTGCGTAACATACACTTAACTATTTTCGTCCTTGTTGTGTTCGCTTTGAAATCTTCCTTGGCTCTTTGCGACTGCGCTCAACTGTGACAAAGAAAAGCTCTCTTACAAAATGGCCTCGTTAATGTTAACGCAAAGCGGATGAGTTTCTATGAAAAAACGCAAAACAAATGACGTTATGTTGGCAGACGTTGAGACAGCACAAAAGACATCTCACAGCTCCTGTCAGCCTTGGGCGCTACATTTCTTTTCCACTTATGTCAGTGAGCGTTCAATCCCTGCAGGAAAGATGGTCGTAAATAATGAATAAATAATCCTTGCTTTCGACACAACGCCTTTCACCCCTGACGCTTCACAGGACTTAGTGCGAAACGTAGTGACTGTGGATTTTGTAGACGGGTTAAAAGTGGCAACCAGGGGGTTTCGACACACAGATACCCGACTCAAAGGCGAGAGAGAGAGAGATAGAGTCACCAACTGAGCCAGGCTGACACCTAATCCTGTGAAATTTGAATGTTGTGAAAGGGTTTTGTGTTTCAGACGATTGATAATAATAATAATAATCCTTGATTGATCTGCAAATGCCCAGGTACATCTGAATGCGGGAGCATTGGCCTCCAGAGAGTCAGTGCATACACTTCAAGGACCAGCCAGTGAATGTGTTGGAGGCTTAGGTTGATGAGAAAAGAAACCTTTTCTCTACTCTGCCCTTCCTTCTCCCGAAGCCGCCACATGCTCAGGCGTTCTCGAAAGGGTTAGGAAACAATGTAACACACAAACCGAGCCAGATACCAACAAAGAGCAGATTGTCAGCTCCGTGTATGCAAACTAAACTTTAGATCCAATAGAATCTGATTCGGTGGGTTATAGTAATGTCTCGAACTTTCCATGGTGCGAAGAACGCTATCGAGCAGTAAATAGCTTCTGTGCATTGATCTCTTCAAGACTCAAGACAGAGAGTTAATGTAAGAGTTAATGTTGCCAAGTGCCTTTCAGTGCTTTGGTCTAATCAGAGGCCGTACATTTCAACAAAGCATCGTTTCCCAGGCCATTAGCTTTAGCTGTAATGAATAGGAATTTCCAAAACAAATAGATCTTACGACATTATTTCTGTTTTGAATCAGGCTTTCTATCAGGATATTAAAATGGGCATTTCAATGGATTCCGTTGGTCAATCATGGCACCACTTGACTCCCCAGATGGTAGCAGAGGCAACATATTTATTTACTGTGTCTTTACTTATTAAGAACAACTAATGCAATTCAGGCTGTAAATATCTCATTGAAGGATGTAACCATAATGTGGAACAAAGGTCAAACCCTTCCCCCTTTCATTCACCCAACCCCAAACAAGAGATACTATTGTCTTTGCAAAATAAATCTCACTTGAAGGATGCATAACATTGATTTATCCTGATGTGATGTGAGCGTGTCACTTTGCCTGCTTTAAGATTATAATTGACTGTTGTTCATCATGAGCCTTAAACACACCAGGTTTGGAGCGGATCATTGAGTCACTTCAATCCTTCTGATCTTGTGTCTGTCTTGATGTCTGCGCTCCCTCTCATTGCTGTGCCAGGTCTAATTTGAAGCAAGCGTGCGGGGCAGGGCGTTGAGGCATGGGGGCGTGACAGGTAAAGCAGATTAAAGGTTGGAAAATATTAAGCAAAGTATTGATAGCTGCAGGGGGAAATCCATGAAGTCAACCTCACCTGACGTGCCATTATAAAGAATTAGGCATCTCCCCAAATCTCAAATACTTTGTAGGTAGGTCGGTCATCATCAGCCCTGAACTCCCACCTAGTCTGAACCTCCATTGCTCAGCAAGCACAGGCCTGATGGCCCCCATCCCCCACCACACTGCTTCCCACCAACATCACTGCAGCCCTAACCTTTGGAACTCACTGCCTCAGTGCTTCCATTTTGCCCCCTCTTTTATCTTTATTTAAATCCCAAGTTAAGACCTACTTTACCGCCTGCACCTATGCTCACCTCCCGCTTCTCCCTTGCTTGATGTCCAACCACTGTGTGGCGCTCTGAGACGCTATCCTGTGTGAAGGGCGCTATATAAATGCTAGGTATCGTTGTATGATCGCTTTGCCTTAGAACAGTTTAATATCTCGCAGAATTGTGGAAATTCCTTAAACTCAGCCTCTACTTCGGGAGATCGAATTTAGACATTTTCCGCAAAATTCTGGCGCGATCTTTGATTTTTAAAATAAAACAGTTTTATGGGCTTAAGGTGGAATTTGAGGCTGAACTAAGCTATTCAACTGCAAGTGAAAACAAGTTAGATGCACACACTAATTGGATATTTGCAGTGAGCACACACATCTCCCTATCTTTATTATCCACTTTCCAGTCGGTGCCCACATTGATGAGAACATCAAATAGTGATAACCTTCATCCCTGCTTCGAACGGCAGATGGTAAAAAAAAATGCAGTGTTGATTTGATACAGTTGTGTACTCACTGGGGGAGAATCTCAACGCGTCTGCATGCGCATTCACTCGGGGAAATGTATAATGAGCTAATGATTGACATTGGATCTGGACTCCGCACCCACTCTGTTTCCTCCCCCCTGCGCTGCTCACATTCCTTCCTCCTGGATTAAACAAGCATTTGTTTATTTATTTATTGCACACAAAAGTCGAGATTTTCTCCAACCTTATCCTGTTTTATATTCTCTTCTTCTCCAAAACTCATCCCCCCACCCAAAATAAATTCTAATTGATTGGCAACTCATCTCAATGCTATTTGTAATCTGTTGATGGTGCAAATTAGCTGCTGTGTTTGCCTCGGTGATATTCACTTTATTTCTAAATAATCTAAAGTGCTTTGAGAGGTTTCTTTCACTTCTCTCTTTATCTATTTAGAACGTGGAAATCTTAACGTTTAAATATTGTTTGATTCTTACAGTGGAAATTACCTGCGGCAGTAAAATAACTGTTTACCATTGATACGTTCAGTGTATTGTGAATGAAATAATGTCTCCATAAGACCTATGAGAGTTAAGCAGAACATTAAGCCTGGAAAAGAAAAAAAATGGTCCATGCATCTCCACAAACTTGCATTTGTATTGGGTCTTTTAGGTTTGAAACGTCTCAAAGTGCTTCAGAGCAACAAACGGAAAGACACACTGAATACACTGATCATTCACTGACATGAAAAACCTCATAAGCCTTTTAACCTTTCTAAAAGAAGCAGAGTCTGCAAGCATCAGACTTGTGTTCCCCACTGTATGGATCCCAGAATTGGGACCAGCTGTTTTTTCGATCTCAGGGTCATTATGAAGTACAGTGCAACATATGACTTATAACAAAAGACTTAACACTTGAGACAGCTTGGTTCCACTTCTGGGGGAAGAGGAATGATGGAATAGAATGAATAGCTTTTTTTAAAATCATCAATATAATTAAACTCTATTCCACTTAACGCTGCAATATGGGAAAGTACAGTAACCAGAAATAAAACTTATATTTTGATGGTCTGAGTTGTATTTAACATTGCAGTCTTATCAGCATAAGTGTACAATCTTCATAGTGAAATCATTTTAGCCCTGAATATTTCCTTGTTCTCACTATGGAATGCCATTGTTCTTGGAACACAATAAAATAATCTTTGCGTTTGATGTAGCGTCTTGCATATCGGGAGGACATCTCCAAGTGCTTCACAGGATTGACTGCAAACGACTACAACAAATTGCATTTTCCAGAGTGCCTTTCAAGTTGGGTGGACTCCCCAAGGTGCTGGGAAAAGTGGAGTGACCGTAAATGTTAGAGGTGAACTTTTCAGTTCATTGAGCACTCCTCAGTACTGCGGTTTGGTGTCAGACTTGTACCTTGTATCCCTGCATGTCTCCGTTCTGTGCCTCTGCAGGTGGAGGCTCCCAGGTCAGGTCCAGTTGTGTTGCTGTTGCGCTTTGGACCTGCACGTTTTGGGCTGGAGCAGTTGGAACTAAATGGGGAGAAAGAAAGGGAACTGTAAGGATTAGGAAATCTAAAACACTGTGTGAAAAGACACCGAGGTGGCTTACATATACGAGTCAACTACAACGGCAATAATAATAATCCTTGTATCTGATTTAGCGCCTTATCAATCATTGAAATATCTCAAAGCGTTGACAAGATTTTTATTGGAAAGTATAGTGACTGTATTTCTAAGCGCCAGCAGCATCTAATTTGCAATAGCCCACACGCTTTCCGGGAGCTACTTAAGTTGGAATTAGAATACTGTAAGTGAAACCAGTCCGGTCGAAAGCTTTGCTGCGGCCCACCGAATCCACTTTATTTTGTAACTAAATCTTGTGTAGATTTCTGGCTCTGGCTGTGTTGTCCATTTGTTAAATCACAACTAACTGCTGACACAATGAGTTCCCATTTGTGCTGAGGTATTCAGTGAAAGTGTTGAATGGAGGCCAAGTGACTGAGAGGGAACATGTCACCCCACACTGCAATTGCTCTTAGCCACGGCGAGGAGGAACAGAGAGAAGCAGAGCATCAGGTCACCTACCTCCTCTGCCCCTCTCTCCCCCCCTCCTCCACCCCCCCACCCCACCCCGACACCCCCAACTAGCCCCCCTCTGTAGAATGTTGGAGGTTGCAAGTACGCTTAATAACAAGCGTTAAGGGGAAAATAATAAGAATCTTAAGAATCTTTCACCACAGGAGCCGTCGATGGAGTTTCGCTGATTGTCAACTATTGGAGGGAGAACTGAATCTATCATCAGGCTGACAAATACAGATGCAGAGATTAGCTGTGTAGCTGTGTATGTGTATGCGGCTGTGTGTGTTCGCAAGTGTGTGTGGTCATGAGTGTGTTAGTGTGTGTGTGTGTGTGTTTATGAGTGTTTGTGTGTGTTCATGAGTGTGTTTGTGTGTGTGTGCTCATGAGTGTGTCGGTGTGTGTGTGTGTGCTCATGAGTGTGTTAGTGTGTGTGTGTCCTACACTCCTTCGGTGTGACACTGCACAGTGACAGGGAGGATAGAGCTCATATCTATTGCACCAGTTCCCCCATGGCTAAGGGGCAGGAAGCGAGGAGAACTTTGTTAGGGGACAAATTCCACAACCCTAAACACACAATCAAGTCGATCTGCAGTGGAAAAGTGCCAGGAGGAAAGGAAATGGTTGGAAATCACCAACAAAACATAAAAGCATACAGGCTCCTAACAGGGAAAATCGTTTGCTTAAGTTTCAATAAATCGTTTCAAAATACTCTTTTTTTATGGGAAGACACAACACTGAGATGCCACAATGAGTGGCTTGGTGCGATTCTGAGGGCTTGTTTCATTCAATCTGCGCTCTTGCAAAATAGTCTCGCTCTGCGCTCTCTGAAGATTCTGCTCCTGATAACGCCCGGAATTTGGCAGCTGCAGCGATCAAGGGACAAACAGTTACAGCATAAAAGATACAAGATACGTTATGGCGATGCTGGATGTCAGATGTGTAGCAATCCATGCTCTCTCTCTCACACACACACACACACAAATATGTGAGAGATTGTTGTATTTCCATCTGAATTTTTAATTTCAACAAAAGTAGATTAACTGGCCATTTCAAATTCCTCAGGGACCCCAACTGCCCAACGAATGCCCCGAATACCCAGTTATTGCCCTCGGCCCAACCCTTAAACGCCCGGGAAACGTACCTGCTTCACCCACAAAGACTTCTTGAGGTGGGCCGGTCGGCCCCTCCCCCACGGCATTGTACACACTCATTCTGATCTCGTAACGTCTGTGTTTGCTCAGATCTGTGGGAGTCAGGAAGCAAAGGCATTGAATCACAATGGGCGATCCGTCAATCGCATTGGTTTCACGCCACACTGAGAATGGAAAGTGTCAACAGTCAGTAACAGTGAACAGGTTTCGCTCACCCTTTGATTGTGGGGGTTGGGGTGGAGGGGCAGGCGTGCGGGGTTGAAACATGCTACGAGAATAAAGAGTAAAAAGCATTTTTGAAGAAATACGTTGCCTCAAAGCAGAACACAAGAGAGGCTTGAAGGAAGAAGGTCCTTCAGCCAATCATTGCCCTCATCGCCCCATAAATACTAACGTACCATATTCCCAATAAAGTGCCAACCTGCTTCTTTGACGATTCCAGTCCCCTGGTCTGGTCTCCACCACCCTTCCCAGTGGAATTACTCTACAAAGAAAATCTATCCTAAACTTGTCATGTGCAACCCAAAACCCTGTGCCTATTCTCTGCTGCCTAAGTTCACCTAAAAGCATTGCTATGGCTTTACTTTTTCCATAAAGCATCCAGTTAATCTCTTAAGGGATATCTCCTTTGAGATAGCTCTTCCAGGCAGAAGAGCCCCAGTTTATCTGGTCATTCCTCGTAGCTCACAGATAGCGCTGAGTCGTGTTTGTACCCTGTGAACGTTCCTAAAACTTCTGGGTAAATGAATTAGTCTCGCCGCCTTAAACAGTGGAAGGCCTGGGTATAGTGAATCATACAACATACAACAAAGAATTCCACATAATTCATTCGGGCTTTGTGGCAGGACGCTGAGTAAAGTAGAATTTAAGGTGGATTTAAAAGAGACAAGTGCTTACTTAACAAACCCTTTATTTGGGAATGAAATTCTTTCCGTGTTTGTGAAAAAAAACGCAAATGCAGTTCACCCAGAAATCAATCCAGATGTCAGCATCGGAAGAGTTACTTAACTTCTAAAAGAATTGGGCTAATTCTGTGCCAATTAATCGGCTGCCAAGAACATTAATTCCCAATAAGAAGTTAAAGGTTTTTGTTTCTCTCCAAAAATGCTACTATTGCATAAAACGGTAAACGATCAAATGCGTTGACGTTATTTGGTGCAATTACTTATTGGAGACGACACCAGCATGTAAATCATACACAGAAGTTAAATGAGGAATACTTAACATTGCACAGGCTGATGATGGATTAACAGGCAGAGCTGTGAGCATCAAGGATTTGGTTTGGATTTCACTTGCTTTTCAATATTTTTTACAATCTTTCGACCCGCTTTTCTTTCCCCCCCACCCCAAAAAGAGGCTGCGTGTTCAAAACTATGTTATTTTGATGGATTCAACCTTCAGGCTGTGAATGTGATCTGAGGAGGGAACGCACCCAATTTCCCCTTTCCCACCTCGTCTCCATTTATTGTTGTGCCTGACAACCTGCTAACGACTGTGTTCGAAAGAAACCGGGTGATAGGATCCAACTCTGACCCTCCCACGCTAAGCGGGGTTACTGGAAGACATTGCAAATGCAGCATAAACTGCCCTCTCAGCAGTTATCTGCAGGGAATCTTGCCCTCTGTGTGTGGGAGTGTGTAAAGTATTTCCTCCCTTGGTGTGTGAGGCACCATCAGTGGCTGAGAGGCAGGAAGCACCATGCTATGGAGTCTCCAACCTGGACCACTTTGAACGGGTTAAGCTGGGGAGAAGTTACGAGCAAGCCAGGAACGACTCGCTTTCCATCCTCATTCTTCCCTTCTCCCTACGGGGAAGTGTCTCCTCTCCCCTCGGTGCTTCATCTTGGAATTTGAAACGCGGGTGTTTCAGGGATTCTTAAGAATATAATAATAACTCCCAAAAAACGTGAGAACAATCTTTGCCTATGACATAGCGCTTTTCAGATCAGGTGTGCTGTCTCAAAGCTCTTCACAGGTTTTCACTGCTGAATGCAGCAAACGTGACAGCCATTTGTATGAACTTTGGACAAGCCATGGTGCAGTCATGGGTAGTGCTGGATCGCTCTTTCCCCTCAAGATTAATTTTCAGAATGCCATTAACTCGAAAAAAGGAAAACGGGCCACAAGATGGGAAGGAACGACACTGAATTATCGGTGAACTAACCAAAACCCACACGGACTAGTTGGGTCGAAATGGCCTGTTTCCGTGCCGTATCATTCTATCACTCTCAGTGACCAGCCAAATCCAAACCAAAATGCCTTTGACGCAGCACTGTACTAGTACCTGGCTGTTAGCCCGATACTGAATCGATTATGAGCTACCGTTAGTGATGAGAATTGAAAATTGACTTACTGTCCAGTTCATATTGGGCGAGTGTAGAGTCACTCAGGTTCCGGACATTATACACTGCTAAAGCACGTGACAGCGTGAAGAGATAGGTTACAATGATCAGTGAACATTAGTGCACATAACGACAACAATCAAGTACCGGTCATGTAAGCAGAATGAAGGGGAAAAAAACATCAATTAATAACAGTGCAGTGGGAGCAAGAAAAGTGCTATTGAGGGCACAGCTCAAAAGTTATGGAAAGTAAACAAGCGACACATTGGAAGTTACAAACATAAGGAGGACGAGCGTAATATTGCACTGTTTACAACGGCTGATTAAAGCAGATTAAGCAACTACAACAACCCACCATGCTGTTCATTCTATGGTCATTGTTCTTGTTGACTACAAACGATATTCGATGGTATGTGTAGTGGAGTCCACAGGTTGCCAATTCCTAATATTACTGTATTCTTTTTATTACACACATGCACTAAGTTTACCTAACTGGTGTGCTAGAGACAGTAACTAAACAGGAATATACTGATGTCCAGGGGGCACAGGAAGGTGTACTTAAATGTCCTGAAACAATTAGAGTTTGTAATATGCTAAATCCTATTACACGAGAAACAGAGAGCTGTAATAACCGTGAATAATTTGAGGCTTGGTTTTGCACTGACAATACACATGAATTAGTTTTCCAGCTCATTTGAAATAAATCTTCTGGAGAAGTGCCAATGTAACTTCTGGAGGTTTACCTGCTACCTCAACATTTCCTATAGAAACATCTCTTATTTTAGTGTCCGTGCAAGTGTTGAGTAGTAACTTAGAGCATTGTCCTTTCACCTTTGAGATCTCAATAGTGATGGACCTCACTTGTGTTCCCAGTGGGATAGAGAGCAGTGCCCACAATTCAGCACTCTTTGATAGGCACTGGTTGTCTTTAGAGAAACCACACATTGCTTAGTATGGAGAATGGCTATTGGTGATGCAGTCGGAGACAAAATCCACGGTTGAGGCTGAGAGGAGAGAGAGCTTTCGTCCACATAATCTAGGTTATGTCTGGGACTAGTAGAAAGGTGTGAAAGTTCTCATCTTGTTGAGCAAAGATTCATTAAAACATGCAGCGTTGCCGCAGTGACTCAAGATTGAGGCAATTACTTGTCCCGTTCAATCATTTACTTTTACGGTAACGGGGAGATTTATTTCAGCCCCAGAATAACCATCACAAGGAGATGACTGCCATCATCATCATCATTATTATTATTATTATCATCATCTGTCCTAGTGTCCCGAAAAGTGAAAGGTCAGTGTTCCAACTTGGTGTGTCGTCCAGTTCCCTCAATGACACGTTAATAACAGACTACTATATATGCTTATGTAGGGTTATTAAATATTGGTCTAAAAGTCCTGGGTTGACGTACATGAAACAGTATGTTGCCCTGAGGTACAATTAGTGCACACAGGGGAGAGCACGGCAAGTGCTTTGGGACAAAAAAAACAAGACTTACGGGTCAGCTCAGACCATTTTGCTTTGGGATTGGCCACGCTGCGAAGGGTAAAGCTTCTGAAACTGTCATAAACGAGCTCTCGGTAGTGAATGCGGTAACCTAGGAGGATCCCATTAATTTTCTCCTCTGCCGGCGGCTGTGGGGGAAGGAAACAAAGTGAGACTCGAGGGACTCAAATTCCAGGACACACATTTCACAAGGGTCTGGGCTTGATTCTTGGGCAGGGCGAAACCTTCGGCAAGTTTCCTTACTCCACACCCCTCTGCTTATCCAGCAAGTAAGTAGGAACCCAGTTGTTAGTAGATTGGCGGATTGCTTTCTGGGTGTTAATAATCCCTTCAAAAAATAATAATAACTTGGTCACTCAATCCACGACTGTTTGTGGGACGCTGCTGTGCGAATTTGACAGCTGCATTTTGCCCACAAAATATTCACTTTACAGTATATTCAGTGAAGCGCTTTGAGATTCAACGACGCGATAAGGTGTTGTATCAGATGCAAGGAATATTACTATTTGATGCAGTAGCTCTTCAGTTTATTTTTTAAAAATCATGGAAAATAATTTTACCAGGAGGATCGTACAGTTCGATTTCACAATGAACAATGGAAATGAGTGACACGTCGGCTATATAGTATATAATGTCACTTATAACGTGAAATTACGGAGCTGTAAAATGGGAATTAATAAAATGGGAATCTTATTGGAAGCAACTTTGAACACCCATCGAACCAGGAACCTACCTGCCAACAAATCATGACTGAGGTTGTGGTATGGGGTGTAACGGAAAGAATTTCAGGTGGCTCGTCTGGTGCTGAAACACAAAACAAAATGCTGGTTTAAAGCCTGGGGTTAGTGTTATTGTGTGTTACTCACAGTCTATCTGTGTGAAAGCATCGCAGGTGACACGGATTAGCGCAGTGTGTGTATAGCCTCGAGTGCCTGCCACCTATTCTCCTTATTCAGACAAAGTGGAAGCTGAATTTCCTCAGCATGCTGTCAAGACGAGAGTTCCCATCTATGTTTACGGCTTTGTCATATGCTGTGCTTTAGTGAAGCCTGAGCTGTCTCAACACAGCTTCTGTGCTGTAAAAATCAGCACACCAGTTGTGCTTGTGTCCTCTGCACATACTCCGTCCGATAAGCACGTACAACTGTTCATCACTAGGGAGATGGTTCTATGTTTGGTTATTGTAGGGCGAGGCAATTGTTTGAACCTTCTCCTTTTAAAACGTATGAGGAGAATTTCCACCTGGTTCTAGATTTACTCTACTTGTCTAGCACTTTAGAGCGTCCAGAATTTGACAAGTTCAGGCCTACTTTGGAAGTTGGTTTTCTGTAATTTCTGAAAAGAAGTTCCTGAAAAAATGGCTTCATAATTAAGACTGCATTTGAGAATTTGGCAGATGCTGGATGCTCCAAAATGCTATATAGAGTAAATCCCAGACCCAGGATGGAAAATCTACGGAATGATTAGGTATTAACCCTGGAAACAATCCCAAGCTTCAAGAAGCCCTGGCCTGCAGTCTGAAGACTCTGCTGGGTTTTATAGCCAAGAACTTGTAATGTGAATTGAACTACACTATTTCCCTTTTGCCAGGTAAAAAGACCAGAATGCGCACTGCCTAAAGCAAGTCTAAAACAAACCAGGTAAAATGTGCCGCAAATCACTCGTACAAACTCACAAATGATTTGTGAAGCATGGGTCTGTGAATTCCCTCTTTACTCGCTCTCTCTCTCTCTCTCTCTCTCAGCCACACATACTTTCACAATTGCTATTTCCTTTCTGCTCTGAGTTCACTCAGGAAGTGTGTTTTCAATTTACTTTTCCTTCCTCTCTCTAACGCTGCTCTCACCTCTGCTCTGTTCTGTGCCCCTTCCAGATGGCTCCATTCAAACTGGAAACCTGCCGTGTAGGGAGCTGGGCAGAGGGAGGCTGGGAGGAGGGAATGCGGGGGGAATGCCACATATTACAAGTTGTATATTGCACTGTCGGCAAAATCCACCAACACTGAAACTGTGTCAATCAACGTGTCAATCAATACGGTGGGGCCAAAATCCACTGAAAGAACGAGCAATCTCATTCGTCTTGCTTGATATTCTTGGCAATTTCAGTGGAAGCTGAGGCCAGCTGGGCACATTCAGCGATGAGGTTACCCAGGGGCTGCTGATTGTGGAAATCCCAAGCTTGAAATATCCCAAGCTGAAACCTATTAAATGGATTCTGGGGTCATTCTTAATCAAACCAGAAATGACCCTTAGGTATTGAATATGACAGGACAATGGCTGGTAAAGAAAGGCTTGAGGTAAATATGAGTCACTGAATGGGTCAGGCAGGGTGAATTGGATGAAGCGCTGGATTTGCATACAATCCTTTCACCTCCGGGATGAGTTCAAATCCAGCTCAGACTAATAGGATAAAAGACTTCCCTCCACTGATTGGAAGGCACCTTTGAGTTGAGGGCTGTCTGAAATGAGTGGAAGACAGTCCCCAACCTGGTTCCGAGCCACTGTGGACAAGACGCTCAGAGATGGGACAAAAGGCAGCTGATGTGGGAAATGGAGCAGGAGTTGAATTGATACAATTCAATTTACATTTAAGTAGCACCCTTTATACCAGCAAGACTTTTCAAAGTGCTTTACAGTGGAGTGAGAGGGGAAGCTGAACAGGGCTGGAGGGGGAACCGAACTTCAAGGGCATACAACAGCAACTTATATAGCGCCCTTCGGGCGAGGTAGTGTCATGGAGAGCTTCAAGATATGGCTTGAAACAGGCTTTGAAAGTGGGGAGGGAAGTGGCGAGCTGGAGGAACTCACAGGATGGTGAAGGGGTTTGAATGTAAGGACCGAGGATTGAACTAAGGCACGTAATTGGGCCACACTGTAGTGTTTGATGCCAACAACAGTGGCTAAAATCCAGGCTGACTGACATTTCTTGAGGTATTTATTGACAATGACAACCTGAAATGGGTTTCCCTGTTATACTCACGCACTCACTAGAAAATGATATAAATCAATCTTAAATTCGGAAGCCAGATCTCATATCTTCCTCTACTGAAATTCCTTCCATTATTTTTTAAGGGAACGTGATACACAATCAGAATGGACACATTTTCTACCATACACCACAAAAAATTCTGTTCATATTCACCTCCACATGCCAGATTGACAGCGTTCAAAACAAGGCAGCAATGGCAATAACTTCTCACACTGAATTGTAACACAGTTGGGGAATGAGCAGGGCAGAATCCTTCCCAGTTCAGGGTTAACTGAATTTTTTTCAGAACAATACACAGGCAAACAGCAATCTTGTTTCTGCCATACATTTGGATTCATGAACTCCCGGCACCTCTCTAGGAACGTTACTTCTCTATGACGGCCAAGAGGAAGTGTTATTTTGAAAGTGAATGACTATTCATGATCGGTGAATAGATCACTATAGCACACACTTCCGCACCATAGAATAGGATCCGACAGTGTTTTTTTTATTCACGCAATCTCAATCAAGGGAGGTTTGAATGAAGAAGGTCCTTCAAGCCAATTTGATCTGATTCGTTCAGAATAGTCAGATGACATTACAAACTTTGATACTGAGGGAGGCAATTCATTCCATTGAGTCGGTTCTGCCATATTGTTGGATAATGGCAGATCTATCTCAATATCCTTAAACACCCTAACTTCCCAAGCATCTATCTAGCTTTTAAACGCTCTCTCAAGTTCTCTGAGACTCTACCCTGCGATGAGGGGACGTTATATAAAACACAAGTTGTTGTTACATTTGCCAAAATGGATTCTGCACTTACAACCCTCTGGGCTAGATCTTTCAATCACATTTTGGAATAGAGGCAAGGCGGAAAGACATAGATATTGATCTCAAAGCAATTCTCCCCTCAGTTTGCCATTTGGGTGGACTTTCCACTCTATCTGTATCACCGAGTTAGCCCACAACAGAGCCGAACGCTTTGTGTGATGGTGATTGGCAGAAACAGAATATGGGCGAAGTGTACAACAGGTGGATTTCTCATCCATGTTCAGAACTTGTCCCTGGCCACCCGCTAGGGCAATTTAGGCCATGTTCCTCCTCACCTTTCAATTGGGAGAAAGCGCTAGAGAGCTCATCGTGAATTACAGGTTCCACTATTCGTGAACAATAGAAGCACTTCACTGCCCTGAACGACACTCCCAAAGAAATCATGAGAGCTAAATCCAACCTCAGGTAAGCAATGAGAACAAAGAGGGGTGAGGTTTTCGACAATCTGAGGTAGAAAAAACGCACACTTATTGTCATGACAACAGTGCAGGTGATAGCGATGATGCCCACTGATGTGATTATATGATTACAAGGTGTATTTGGTAACCAAATGGAACAACAAAAGCAGGTTTGCCAAATTCTATTAGTTTCTGGGATTAGAACTATGATGGCATGCAAACTGTTATTTAAAAAGAAACCTTAAAAAATGTATGCGTTTCATTATGGGATTCTTTTAATAGGAAATCATGTGAACTTGCGGGAACTCCACTCTGGCCGACGATTGGGACAGATCAGTGTGAATAACTTCTGGTTGCCCCAAAGAAGTTTTTTTTAAAAAAAAGAACCGGCTTCCAAATTAAAGCCGAGTTTTAAGAATTTTTCCCAGTTCTTAAATTTAAGACAAAAACAACCTCATGGGCTTAGACTTGGTGGAATGTCAGGACGATGATGGTAACATCTTGATATCCAATCCGAAATTTTTCTGGGGCAAGTCTTGGTCAACCATAACAAAGTAACAACCAACACACGGTAATCAATCCCCCCACTTGACAAAGCAGGAATTTGAGTGTGTTTAGGATCTATCTGTGTCTGAAGCTTCCTCACTCATAACATTTCACTCAGAAGAAAGTCCCCCCCCACTCCGCTTCAAATCGGTGGTCAGAAGTGCTGTAAAGGATTGCAAGAAAGATATTTTGGTCTTAGCACTGACCTGTCACACCCTAGAGTTTGCGATTTAGACTCTAGACTCACCTGCCTGCAGCGTTGTGATAGAATCAGACTCTTCACTGTATTCACTGTCGCCAATGTCATTTGTTGCCTTCACGCGGAATTTGTACGAGGTGAAAGGCTTCAGCCTGGAAAACAGTATTTGTCCAATGAAAATAGAGCTTAACAGCGACAGCTCTCAAAATGGCGAGGTCTGAGGCAACGGGACGATTGCATGATAGTCTGAGCACTGGATTTGGGAGAAAAAAGCTTTTTTCAAAACAGCCAAGATCAAAGATTGACAACAATATACAGGACTTGTACAGCTCCCAAACCTCAACTTGGGTGCCAAGCCATAATTGATGAACACCCTGGGACATCCTCCTGACATGAAAGGGCTCTGTACAGATGTAAATTTATATTGCATTGTACTTCCCTGATATTTGTCGGATAACAGAACCTAGATTTTAGTGCTCCAAGAAAGAACTGTCGATCTCATCTTATTACTGCTTCGAAGTCAGTTATTCCCTTCAAACCTAGAATTTACAACAGCCAGAATTACTGGAAGACCCAGATGATTGGGTGCAGCTGTTTGAGTGGAAATCTAGAATTAATCCTATTTGTTAAGAAACGCACTAATTAGTTATCCCGGTCTTGTAACTGTCTGGATTCAGTAAATGTAGGTAAATCTGGATTTAATCATTGCTAGGGATTTACCAAATTAACCATTTTCAGCCTTGGTAGGTTTCATCAGAAAAAATTAGGCTTTAAATTAAAAAAAAATTTGAAACGTAAACTGAGATTTCCAACCAGCTATAATTCCGACGTGAGCTAACAGACAAGAATAAAATTATTTAATAAGGAACTTCATTGTGTTGTAAATCTTAAAATGTGGATCTTTACTACCATGATTCAGAAAGGGAACAAGCCAGGAACGTAATGAAAAAAACATTTCAAAATAAAATAATGGGGACAGGTTGGGTTATTTTTCGGTAAATTTATCCAGGTCTTTTATTTTTTGTTTATTGGTGGGAAACGACTCTGACGATAGATTTTGTGCATTTAAAACAATGACAAATACGAGTTTGACAGCAAAGCTCACTGTCCCCTACAAAAAATTGAAATCACAGACGTTGTCCCAAACCTCATGCAGGTTCCTTCTCATCACTAGCTGTCATGCAATTGATTTAGTAGAAACTTAACCGAGTACCTGGAATGGGCTGTTTTTTTAATAGGCTGTGTGGCTGCTCTTAGAAACAATTACAAAAAGTCTTTAATTAACCTTCTTGGTTTTAATAGGTTTAATGGGTTTTAATGAACTCTGCACAGTTCTTTGATGCAAGAAAAGATTTGGGGGGCAATGTGGGAGGGGAGGGTTTCTGGGCTGTCTGGAAAATAATTAGCGTAACTAAGGGGTTACTGTCCGTGATTGCCATCTCAGTGTTGTATCCTCTGTGTAATTGGGGGGAGGGTGGGGAGGGTAGTGGGAGATAGGAGCCTTGAGGCCGATCCCATATGTTTTGCCCATATGGTGTAGATAATAATAATGACAGTTCAGCGTCTGCTAAAAAGCTTAATAAAGCAGGTATTTTTTTCTGGACTCTCTGGAACGAATGTAGTAGTTATTGGAGCAGAAACTCCACCGGGGTCTAGATTTACTCTATTTTCTTAGTATTTCAGAGCATCTGGAATTTGGCAAATAATCAAAGCACGCGTCTAAATTCCGAAGGCGATTTTCGGGTAAAGCTGTGGTAAGGAACTGCAGAAAAGAGCCTTCAAAGAAAGAAGGCTGAAATCAACAAGGTGGCAAGTTCTGCACACTTCGAAAGGCTTAGAAAATGTAATAAATTTAGACCTGGGTGGAATGCTTCCCCCCCCTCCTACCGTTGGATATTGCATTTCAGCAAGTCCCTGGCATGGTCTGCGGTTGAGCACTGGGTGGACCTATTTGGAGGAGGGGAGGGGGGGAGAAGGAAGGAAGGGGAGAGGTGGACGAGGGGCAGAAACTGGTAAAGAAGTGAAGGAGGAAGGAGATAAAAACTTTCGCCAGAACTGGAGGTTATTAACCTGAAACGTTAAATCATTTTCCTCTCTCCATAGATGCTGCCTGACCTGCTGCCTGTTCCCAGCCACTTTGGTTTTATTTCAGATTTCCAGCATCAGCAGTATTTTGTCTTTTGAAGGAGGAAGGAGGGCTAGTTGACCAGTGACCCACTCCCCCTCCCCGGGCTGGTCAGCAGGAGGAAGTTTTGGGGACCCCGAGGGAATGCAGGAAGAAAGAAAAGGGCAGCAAGGTAAGAACAAGGAAAGATACTCATCTCCTCCCGTGAGGATAGGTACATTTGCATTGAGTAATTAACTAGAATTGGCAGGAAATGAAGGGAGGATTTGGTTTGAGGCTGCAGCATTTCTGCCGTCAATGGGATGGTCTCAAGGATGATGTTTCAAATGCGGTCAGTGTTTCCATTGGCTTCTGACACAGTGAGGTTATACTTTTCTCTCTCTCTGGACATACCTCACGAGGTATTCACTGATGGGCTCAGTGCAACAGTGAGTCTGCAAATTCAGCACTACCTGCCCTGTTACTGAGCTCATTCTGGTAACTCCCTAAAGGATTGCTGTAAGTGTTGTGCATTAGAGGTTTCTCCATAGATGGAAGTAGGACCGGTGGCTTGCTGGCCTTGAGTTTGTCACTGCCCTGTTCAAGGGGGAACATTAAAGATCCCATGGTGCTATTCAAAAAGAGGAGTTTTTCCCTCGTGTCTTGGCCAACAATTCCCCAGATAAAATTGGTCATTCACCTCGTGGCTGTTTGTGGGACATTGCCATGTGCAAATTGGCTGCCGTGATTGCCTACAAATACACAGTAATTCTAAATTCCTGTGAAATTCTTAGAGAAATCTAGACGAGGTGATAAGGCTTGAACGCAATGATTAACTGTTCATTATTATCACCATTACCCAAATGCAGGACCTTGTACACTACATCTGTAACGAGCCCTGGGATTTTCTATTGGTCTCTGTGTGAACACAGTCACTTACCGATCCACAAGGAAGGTGGTAGAGTCGTGGCTGACAGACGCAGAATGCAGGGACCAGTTGCCACTGGGTATCTCCAGGGTTTGGATCGTGTAGTACCTGACAGGAGACAGCCCATCACTCCCCGGGTCCCATGACAATAGCACAGCCCGGGCTTGCACATCCTGTTGTCGGATGGCAGGCTTACTGGGAGGTTGGGGGTGAGCTGAGGAACGAAGCAACAGCCATCAGAGAACATAGAAATCATAGAATTATACAGCATGGAAGGAGGCCATTCGGCTCATTGTGGCTGTGCCGGCTCCTTGAAAGAGCTGTCCGAACTTAGTCCCCCCATATCCCTGCAAATTTGTTCTCCCCAAATATCTACCTACAGGTTGATCTTTTCTTTGCAATCCCGTTTCCAAAATCTACTCTGACATCCAAGTATTTGGCATCCGAGTAGAGTTCAAGAGGGAAAGTCATGGCACATCTGGCATCTATTATTTACCGGTACGTTTGCAGAACCTGCAGCGTGTACAGTAACTTGCTCTTATTTTTTTTAAGAAGAAAAAGAAAGCGAATCATATTCGCAAGCGAGAGACCTGGGTTCGAATCCCAGGTAGGGCGAAACGTCGGGCAAGTTTCCTTACTCCACACACATCTGTTTACCTAGCAGTAAGTAGGAACCCCCTTGTTAGTTGATTGGCGGATTGCTTTTCAGGGAGTAATAATCCTTTCATTAATAAATAAATAACAATTATAAATTGGTCACTCACTCCACGACTGTTGGTGGGATGCCGCTGTGCGCAATTGGCTGCTGTATTTCGCCCACAAAATATACAGTCAATTCACTTTACAGTATGTTCTGTGAAGCGCTTTGAGACGACTCGAAGACGCTCTATCAAATGCAAGGATTATTATTATTATTATTATTAATTATTATCATATGCAATGTGTTCCTACCTCTCTTTTCTGTTGTCACCACCAAGGCCTCCGCTGCCTCTCCCCAGCCTTTGCGAGTCTGGGCTGTTATGCGGAACACGTAACTGCGTTCTCTTTTCAGTCCGGGCACTGTGTACTGTCGAGCGCTGGGGTTCAGCACGTCCACCGTGGCAGTGTTTGTGCTGCTCGTGTTCAGACGATACGTTATCTGATAAGCTGAGAGGGAAAAAACAAATGTTCCATTTTAATATAACATCAGTCAGTTACGTTAACCTGAGCTGCAGCTCGTCCGATCAGGTGGACGTTAAAGATCCCACGCCACTATATCAAAGAGACTTTCTCCCTGTGGCCTGGCTAAGAATCCCCAGATAAAATTGGTCATTCCCTTCATGGCTGTGCCAACGTTTGCTGCTGCATTCGGTCACAAATACGAAGTCCCTAACATTTTACAGGAAATCCTGTGAAGCAAGCACTTTAGGATGATTTGCCAACATGATAAGGTGCTTTACCAAATTCAAGGATTATTTTATTATACTTCAGTCTTGCTTTATCATGCTTATATGCACCTTAGTTCTCACCTGCGTTGTCTGTCAATTATTCTTATATAGGGAAATAATCTGAAACCCTTCTCTCTGATTTACCCCTCGCTATAGACTCCTGGGTGTAATGCAGCTTCTGATATAATGTGAGGTATATTAACAGAGCAACTGGAAAACAAGCTCTCAATATAGGATGCCTTTGCATGACTTCCAAAAGCAATGAGTGTAAAGCGAGGCTGTTGTCTATAATTCTTCCAGGTGCACAGTCAACTTTGTGTGAAACTCTGTAGTGATATATTTGGTCTCTGGTTCCACCCCTACTGGTTAACTTGGAAATATTCTCTTTTTCGGGCTGTAGCCTATCCTAATCCAAATTTTGGAAATTTCTCACCTACCTAGGATGATCCCGTTAGGTTCCGTTGGAGGCTGCCAGACTAGTCGCACAGATGTGGCTCGCACCTCTGGAAACAGGATTCCCACAGGAGGTCCAGGGACTGAAACAAATGAACAAACCAGCAGACGCAGATTTTTAACCCTTTCATCCACCAGGTAAAATGCCAACACAGGTTTCAGGTCGGTGACATTACACAAACCTGGTTTATATGAGCTAATGTGAGGTCAAACTTCATGCCAGATATGTCTTAACCCTGGAGGTTAAGGTGGCCATTTACACGAGAGCGCTTTCCAGCAGCCAAATCTGTTGTAGTAGTTTATAGTATAAGATGGGACTTGCGATCTCTTATCGAGCCTTACTCAGCTTTCTAATAAAGGGGCCTACTCACCATCATCTAATGTTCTCTCAAGAATGGGTGGGGAGCTGGGCCTTCCATCTCCGATCCTGGTGAAAGCGAGGACTTGGATTTCATACAGGACATACTTCCCTAACTCTGTAAGTTGAGCTGTGTACGTGGTGTTGCCTTCAATGGTCAAGAGCTGCACAGGGGCCTCCAGGTCTTTCTCCTTATACAGGACCTACGTCCAGACAGACAATGTGAATGTGGGAAAGCAGAGAAAACACAAGAAACGTTCTGTAGCAATACAAACATCAAAGCTTGCTTCAGAAGAGGTAATAGAATCAATGCTCCTACGTTCTAACTTGGTTTCAGAACCCGTTATTTCAAGCCTAAAATCCTTTTCATTTTTCACGAGTTTGTAAATATCGAAACGCATTACTTGACCTAACAGTGATGGATTGTCCAAGGTGTGAGAAGATTACAGGCCCACTGTCTTCTTTTAAATGAAATTATGTTCGCAGAACTAAAATGTATGTGTGTGTGCTTATTCCTCATAAATGTTCTGTGTGAATTCAGATGCTTATCCAAGTTAATTAAGGTGGTCATGGCCGGGATTGAAAGTTTACAGTTCTGCAACCAAATCTCAGCATCTTGCTATTCTACGCTAAGTGCATCACTTAGAACGGTGCAGAGAAAAATTCCTTTTATTGTAATACAAGAGACTTAACCCTGGCACTCTGAACAGCTCTCGATCACCCAAGGCTGAATTACCACGCTGTCAATCTCTCTAGTTTCTGCTGAGCGAGAGTACTAATTAGTGTTGTGGATCATGTCCGCTGAGAACTGGGTGGAGACTGACGAGACTAGTTTTAATAAGTATCCTCACTGCCAACCGAGAGGAAAAAACCTTCCTCCTGCCAGTCTATCCGAGGCCAGGTCCCAAAGTGACAGAACAGCCAACGTTCTGACCTACTATGCCATCCAGTCCCCCTGTTGCTTGAAGTTTCCATGTGTAATTTAGACTCGTAATGATCTACAAAACCACTATTGCTCAAAATATGGCTGTGGTGTCATCTCCTGCTGCCTTTGAATTTGCAAGTGAGTGCTTCATTTACAAACTCGAATGTCCTGCTAATAACTTAGATTACTGATCATAATAACTTAAGTGATATAAAGTGATTATCATATGTTTCTTCTCACTCTCAAACTGCATGAATGTAACAGTCTAATATCCTGCAATAGCCACACTTGCAGTTTGATTCAGTGAAATTGCCTCCTTGATATCAAACCCTAAGCAAGTCAACATTACTGGTGCAGGTCCACTAAAAACTGGATCGGGATTGACAAAACATAACTTCACTGAAGCTGCTTAGCAAAGGAGAAGTCATTTCCATCTAGCCTGGATTTGAACTCAAGTCACAGATTAAAATTAAGAGTATTACTTCCCGCTTAGCCAACCTAGCCTCAATTGCCATGCGAATCGCTTCACCATTTAGGTAGGCGTAGCTCTTGTAGAAAATGAATAATAAATCACCTAATCATATGCTTGACAATTACTTTGAAACTGGAATACAAAACACTTCGCTCTAATATAATTTTCTGTGCCATGCATCAACTTGCCTTATAGCCAAGGACAAGCCCATTGCGATCTTGTTCCGGGACCTCATTCCACTTGACTAAGATGCTGCTTGAGTTAATAGCCAGTGCAGAGATATTCGTTGGTCCAGAAGAAGGGACTGAATGAAAGAAAAATATAAAAGGACCGTAACTCATTGTGCATGGGTCATGTAATTATAGATATAGTTTCTGATTCATCTGCAACTGCAGTGGAGATCGCTATCTCAATATGATCAAGACTGGTACCAATGAGATGAAACTAAGCAGCTAATACCAAACCAATTCCCTGATCGGTTCTTCAGGTGCAGCCAGCATGCATTTGGTATTGTAACTGCAAGGAACTCTCATCTACACTTGCATGATTGTAAGCCAGGAAATTTGCTGGGATCTATTTTGAAATTGTATTCTATAACGATTGGCTGCTGTGTTTCGCCCACAAAGTAGACAGTTGATGCACTTTACAGTACAGTCTGTGAACTGCTTTGAGGAGTCTCGAAGACCTGATAAGGCGCTAAATCAAATGCAAGGATTATTATTACAGAGCGTTGGCCTTTGAATCTCACCCATCCACAGACCTGCCCACGTTGAAATGCTAAGCAAATGCGAAGCAGCTGGGTCACCCACTTGAATTTGCTACGGTCGAGTGAACTCATTCTGAAGATGTTCATCCATTCACTGAAGCACCTGAGGGCAGAGCGTTGTACAATGGGGTGTGGGGGTGGGTGGAGAAACTGAGATGGAATGCTGACTCCATAAATGTATCTGCTCAGTCGATCGCTGATCAGCCTTTCATGGCAATCTGAAGGAAGCCTGATGTGGAGTCCTGTAGCTCAGTGGTTAGAGCACTTGCTTTGCAAGCAAGACACCTGGGTTCAATTCCAGGCAGGGCGAAACCTTGGGCAAGTTTCCTTACTCCACACGCCTAATAATAATCCCTCCAAAAAACCCAAAACAATAATAAATTGGTCATTTTCAATCTACGACTGTTTGTGGGACATTGCTGTGCGCAATTGGCTGCCGCGTTCGCCCACAAATATACAGTCAATTCACTTTACAGTATATTCTGTGAAGCGCTTTGGGACGTCCTCCCGACGTGAAAAGCGCTATATCAAATGCAAGGATTATTATTATTATTATTATTATGTGCGGAGTGGAAGCTGGGCAGTTAATTGGGAACAGTTTTTGGGACACTGCTGTGCGCAATTGGCTGCCGGGTTTCACCCACAAATACAGTCAATTCACTTTACAGTATATTCTGTGAAGTGCTTTGAGACGTCTCGAAGATATAGACGTCTCGGCGCTATATCAAATGCGAGGATTATTACTATTTATTTTATTGTAACAGTTGAATATGAGAGCAACCATCCCTCTCTTGTTACATGTCAGCTATTTGCAAATCATTCTTAAAGCAGAAGATAGTAAACAAGATGTCTTCATTGCTCTCTCTGATCTTGTTCAGCAGGATTCCGCTACGGATCACCGAAGTCAAACATGATTAACAAGCTCCTCAAAACAAGATCTGGAATCGAATACTATTCTTTTACTTGTGTTTCATGCCAGGCATTAACAACTGAGCCGTAGGGGGAGCTGCCCTTTCAAGTCTTTTTGATGCAAATAAAGCGAGAATCGCATTTTTAACTAGGGCTTACCATCTACAATATGCTGGTGTCTGCATTTTCACCTGCTTGTTAAATAGCATTGATCAACAGTTTGTCCCCCAGCACCAGGAACCAGTTCAGAACAAACTTACCGTGTCTCACTCCTTCCCCCCAGCCCACCCCTCTAGGTTCGCACTCACTAAAAAAAGCAAAGACACCAATTCGCCTCATCAACCTGCCACACATACTATAGAATTATTGTTACGAGAGGTACGAGCGTAGGAATTAGGAGGGATTGAGGCTCCTGTGTGGACTATAAACACCGTCACGGGCTAGTTGGGCCGAATGGTCCATTTTCATGCTGTGCAGTCTGTGTCATTCTATGTAACTTTGTGCCTGATGAGAAATACATTTGCTCGAAGTAGCCAGATATCTCTGCCTGTGTGCCCTAATGTGAATGACTCCTTTGCCCTGTCGATGGCCGGAATCCTGTACTTGGAGGTAACCCATTCAATGCCATGCTTAAAACCATTGTCCCTTCCCTCACCATCCTCCCAAGTTTTCTGACAACGTCCCTGCTTTCATTAGAAGATGTAATTATACCAGATGGTATTGGAAATATTGGAAAGATCAGCTACCAGGCTGGAACTTAAACTTTTAATCACCCTGACACCAGGCTAATCCTTTATATTGGTCTGAATTAAAAGCTTCGGAATGGGGTCAAGTTATAATTCCATTTGCGGTGTCATCTGGTTTTATACGTTTAATTAAAAAAGATGTCTGCGCAGCATTATTAGAGTAGAAGTCACCAAAATAAATGCATTTTCATGGAGGATGACAGCAACTCGAATCTTGGTGCCAAGTTGTGGTGAGGCTAGTAACTTATACTAATCACGTCATGATGGATTAGTCGCTATTGTTAAGATGACAATGATGTAAGTCCTCCCAGTTTCAGTCTGTTTGGCACTTACGATGCAGGATACCGGAGGAAACAAACAAAAATAATTCAGGACTTTTAATTTATCTAGACGTGGACAAGTGGAAGCTAGCATTAATTTGGAGTTGCACCTGGTGTCCTGGCCAACAAACCCCCGGAAAAAAGAATTTGCAGTATTAAATGCAAGGATTGCCATCGTCATGATAATAATAATAATAATAATCCTTGCATTTGATAGAGCGCTTTTCACGTCGGGAGGACGTCCCAAAGCGCTTCACAGAACACACTGTAAAATGAATTGACTGTATAATTGTGGATTATAGATCCACTCCCCTTCCTGATGTTCCTCAAATTTGGATCAAATTGACAGCTGCTGCTCAGAATCCAGTGTGCAATTGAAGGATGGCAGCAATTAATTCCGATCAAAGAGATTCCAACCTGTGCTGATGCTCCCATGCAAAAACACCTGAAGAAAATTCCCCTCAATTAATTATCAGGTTTTAATCATTTGAGGTACCCCAGCAAAGCAAAGCAGATTCACACTATGTAGCAAAATGCATGAAATATGATAACGCCTTAACAAACATGTTTGTGAAATAATACTTCACTGCCACTACACTGCTCCCAGCTATAGGGTATCATGAACTAATGCTACTTTTTAGCTTTGTTCCTTTGATCTCCTCTGCTGCTGGAAGATCAAAAGGAAAATTGGTAAAAATGAGCAGGCTCCCACCTCCCCCGCACATCGGTGATGCCTTTCAGAGATTCTGAACCTGCGGTGCATGTCCTCAGATCACACTGAATTCTTTCTCTTTCTGGCCACGATCTTTCTAACAAGCTGCCAGAGGCTCAGTCATTCATGTCTATCTCTACACAGGCCGTGAGCAGCAGTGTTGCCTTTGAAAGGTGTGAACACTTGTGTTTGAGTGGAGTATAAACAACAACAACTTGCATTTATATAGTGCCCCTCACTGGTGGGGTGGGTGGGGGGGTGTATTTATTTTAGCAGATTAGGGATATTATTGATACATCAATCTGAAATCCCGCCCACCCTTTCTGGTGGACGTTAAAGATCTCAGGACAGGATTCAAAAAGAGACGGAGTCCAGCCAACAATCTTCCAGATAAATTTATCATTCACTCCACGACTGTTTGCGATACCCACTGCTAACATCTGCCCACAAATAGTCTCTATATTTGACAATTGCCTGTGAAGTGCTTTGACACATTAGGTGCTATAACAAATGCAAAGGGTTGTTATAATTACAGTATGAATTGCTTAAGCAGAAATCCAGAGCGTGTTAAATAATGACTGCAAATTGATTTCAGTTTGTACTTCTTCAATTCCAAACCCAGTGATAGTTCAACAAAAGAGAGTCTCTTTAATGTGCTCCTGTTCTGCCCAATAACTCAGTCCCTTATTTGCATTTAAATAGGGTCGGAAAATCCCCAAAGGACTGTTCTGCTACGAGTAAACAATACGAAAACTGTTACGTCATTTGGTTTTCATATATAAATAAAGAAATCAATCTGTTGCTCGGCAACCATTTCCTGTAGTAAATTATCCGCCATTATTTCTGCATGATTTCCCCAAAGCAGAGATACGAGGGGAAGATGGGGGGGGGGGGGGGGGGTGGGGGGGAAGCAATCAATTAAATCCACGTGTTCAGTTTGTGGCTTCTGGATCACAAGGTTGTGGGTTCAAGCTACACATCAGGACTTGAGCTCACAGACTGGGGTTCACACTGCAGTGAGAAATGATGAGATAAATGTTGAAAGATCCTGTGATGCTATGGTAAAGCAGAAGGGAGTTTCTCCTGGTAGCCTGGCCAAGAATACTACAAGTTAATCGACCATTCACTTTGTAGGCTGTTTCTGGGACTTCGCAGGCAGAATTACTTGTCTATAAAAACAGTCACCACGTGTGACAGTAATTGTTTTAATGTGGCAAGCTGCTGTAAAAATTCAAGAGCTCTTTCTCTGATAAATTTGTATTTACTCCACTCGGTCGTCGGAGAAGATTAATGACAATGTGGCGATTCACTGACCTTACAAGAGGCTTCTTCACACAAAGACAAACATCAAATTGGCTAGCGCTTGCCTACAAAACACACAGTCACTACGCTTTACAGCATATCCCCGTGGAAGTGCTTTGAAATGTCCTCCTGATGTGAAAGGCGCTTTACCAAGGATGATTATTATTTACACTGCCATGTGTGGAGCGACAGACTTGGCAGATAGGATAATCAGACATAGCGGCAATGTGACGAGGGGCAATGATCATACGCATACGCTCCCCAAACATGCTGTATGATCATTGGGCGGCAGCAACCGTATGTGCCACTGGGATAAGCATCGTTTCTAAAAATACGTCACAGTCCTGTGTGGCACAGTGTAAACACAGCATGGCTTGGTATCACAGTGAAACTTTAGTGAACCCAAGTCACACGGAGTGATTGTAACTCAGTCTTTCTCTCCTTTGTGCAGCGATCAGGGGGGATGTTTGCTCACTCTATTCTTGCGACTTCGCTGCTTGTTTCCAATTATTAGCCTTTTGAAAACCTCCCTGCGGTCAAAGGATATGTTTAATTAAAGTCCAATAACTTTCAAAGACCCGATCAGCAGGATCTCAACGCTTTGTTGTCTCCGCTAAGAACTGAGGTTCACGGACTCTCTGAAGCCTCGTGGCACACTTTGATGGAATCGTAAACAGCCGGCACGTTAATGCTTTGAAGAATGATGCATCTTTTTTTTCCATTTAAATGAAAAAAAATTCAAGCATAATTTTCCTTTATGTCTTTCAAGGAACTGTCTGGGAGGAGTTCCAGTTGTGTGAAGGGTTTGAAAGGACACTTTGCTGAGCTGAATGTAATTCAGTGCTGTTTCACTGTTGGGCTCCGTAATTGTTTCTTATAATAGTAATAGTACGTGAAAGGCGAGATGCGACTGTAATTTGCTGTTGTTGTTTGTTGTTCATATGAATGATAACAATACTACTACAAATAATTATTATTAATACTACTAATACTACTGCAAATAATACAATATTCTCTTACAGGCACAAACTGAGGATTATCAGAACAAAGAGGGAGTGGTTGTACACAGGGTGTTGTGAGAATGTGAAGAGATTTAGCCCAAAATGGCTGTTCAAGTGGAGTCTGCAGCGACTTTTCAAAAGGGAATTGGATAAATACTTGAGGAAAAATAATGAAGGTTATGGGAATAAGAGCAGAGGAATGAGATTAGTGCGGACAGCTCCAGTCGGGGAAGTTAGCACCAGCACAGCCACAATGGGTCAAATAGCCTCCTGTACTGCAGTTTCTATCACACCACCTACTGAGCACACCTTTACTGCTTTGTGAACGCTGAACATGACAGCACCATCAGATGTTACGGTTGCATGAGATTGCCACAGTGAATAGGCGGGCGGGGGGGGGCCTTTAAACAGTAGCACTGCTCAGACTTGTCTACAGTTGCCTGTAGAAGATTCTGTGCACACACACCCCACACACGCAGTGTAACACAAGCTTGATAATCCACTCTGCACAGTTGTGTTATGATACACACCAGTTCAGTTCGACTGAGCAACGAGCCAAAGCAGTGGTGGGTTAACCCAATGGGCTGCTAGAGGCACTTTAGGAGGATCTTAACAGGACCGTCAACCCGACCTGAGCAAACTGTTAATCAGGCAAAGGGAGGGAAGGAGGGGAGGAGCTTACGACACAACGCACCAGACTCTCTTGTGCGACCTTTGATTTCTTGGCTCCACGGCCCAGAGCCGATAGCATTGAAGGCCTGGACCTGCACTGTGTACTCTCTCCACTCCTCCAGATCCTCGATGGTGAACTCCCGCTCGATCCGGTCGTTGATGACGTGTATGCGAGGGGGTCTATTTCCATACGTCCTCCTGTACTTCAGTTTGTACCCGACCGACTCCGGATTCCCATTGTACTCCAACTCAGGCAAAGGCTGAAACAAAGAGCGACAAGCATCCAGAATACAGCTCACAATCTTTCACTAATGAAGGGTATAATAATAGTAATAATAATGATATAGTGGTGGGGGGGGAAAGGACAAGGTAAATGGGATTGAAAGAATTGCTCTTAAAAGAGCCAGCACAGACACAATGGGCTGAATGCCCTTCTTCCGCGCTGTAAATTTCTACGGTTCTATGGGACCTTGTTTCCGGTTGTAAACGGAAGAAGCCAGGAAGAGAAACATTGGCCAGTTTGATATCTCCAACCCCGCTCTCCGGAATTTTACACCGAATCGCGGCGTCCGGAAGCAAAACAGTGAGGTTGTAACGGCGCGGGTTACGAAAACGTGGCTGACGCGTGGGTTCGTGCTGAGAATGCAGAAGCTCGGTCAGGTCTCCTTCCCTGACGGTAACGCCCGTCTGAGCTCGGCAAATTCAATTCGCTGCAGAGGAGTAAACCCCATCGAACTGGGTCCTCTAATACGTGTGAGAGTGCAGGGTCAACGCAAGTGGCTGGTACGTACCACCCAGCGTAGCCAGAGGCTCGTCTCGCTCGCAGTCCGCAGGGTCACGTTGGCCGGGGCCATGTCGGGTGACGCCTGCAGGGTCTGGATTTTGCGGGACACCTGACTTGGCTGACTTGTCCCAACTATGTTCACCTGTCTCATGCGGAACCTGTGGAAACAAAACAGACTCTGCTTTTCTTTACATGTACCCACGCAGCGGCGTAAGAACGAGCCTTCGCTTCTGCTAATAATGAGAACAACCTCCTCATTGAATGCGGCGCCATTCACGTCGGGAGGACGCGCTTCATGGGATTTCGTGCAAAGTTTCGCGACTGCGCATTTTCGTGGGCGAACGAGGCCGCTGATTTGCCCACTGCCGTGCCCCGCAACCAACCCCGCAAGTGAATGGGTTAAACCTTCACTCAAAGCTGAGGGACACGGGTTTATTTCTGGATACATCTGAATCGCATTTCTTGGTTTTCAATGGATTTTGGGAAACGTTTGAGCCCGAGCCTCTGCTCGCAAGGAGAACCCTTTCCTTTTAAGTCACTCCTCACGCTGGTGCAGACTGTACCTGTAGTAAGTGAAAGGGTTGAGGTCAGGGACCTCGAGTGACCGAGCGTCTGGCTCGTTGGGCAGCTGATGAACAAGGAGCCATTCTTCGTTCTCACCAATGACTCCGACCTGAGCAAAGAGAGCAGCAATCGTCAATCAGCAAGAGGACTCTTGGAACCTTGGAAGTTTATGATACAATAATAATATAATAATAATCAAATAGCGCCTCATCACGTCGTCGAGACGTCACCAAGCGCTTCACGGAATATATTGTAAAGTGGAAACGACTGGATATTTTGTGGGTGAAATGAGACCAATTCATGATACGACGAGAACAATCAGTCCATCAAACGATCCCTCAATCTATTAATCATAATACCCATTAATGACAACCTTAAAAGAAGAATCAATGTAAAAGTAAAAGATAGGAAACAAAGATTTTTTTTATATATTGAATTGGACTGAACAATAAAATAAATATCCAAATGGATACTCAATCACAGTAACTCCTTATCACATCAAAACTCATACTCTGTGAACCAGCACACTGGGGACATGGAATATATATGTTATTTAATTACTGAGAGCACGGGGAAGGCCTTGATAGAGGTCGCTGAACTTGTGAAGAATTTGGAATAGGTTTATGGTATAAGAAGAAGAACAGGGATGTAGAATGTACACACCAGCATGGGTGGTGGGATGAGAAACTATAACGAGTTACCAGAAAGAATCAGTGTTCGCAACTCAGAGTCACTGGTAATGCTTCTAGTTACAAATCTTTCCAAATGTAGACCCCCCCCCATTCCCACCACATTGCATGAAACAGATACAAATAACTCTAATGTGGATCGTGAACCCCATCTTGTGGTGTAACTCTAGGCTTCTGCTGAACAAGGCAACACACTATTGTTGAGATGTTCAGTGGCGCAGAGCTGAAGATGGGAGGGGTGAATCCTGCTGCATTTGGAGCAGATAATTTGCAACAGGTTCATTCCGTGTTGACGGAGTCACAGCATTCTACATTTTGCTTTTGCTCCCAAGTTATTGTCACTGTCTCGGTTTGCAATACTGCAATCGAAACACTGGCTGTCCAGCACCTTGGGACGTCCTCCCGACGTGAAAGGCGCTATACAAATGTAATCTTGTTGTTGTTGTTGTAAATGGAACTTTGCTATTCCCCTCTCTGTAGTGCCCACAGTTTAAAACGAGGCAGTTGTGGGAGAAACTGAGTTCCCACAGGTGCATTTCAATCTAGTGGCATTAGGTCTAAGTGTTGCTTTTACTTGTGAATGTATGTTCATTCACTTCAAATCCTTGTTTCAATTGATCGAACCCCTAAGAGAGGAAAAGCTCACAACATTCCTTAATCACCGTTTTACACACACTCTCTCTCACAAACTGCCCAACGCCCACAGTTTGTTGCTGCCATTGTTTGTGTCCGATCTACCTGTGCTTCCACCAGCCATCGAGATATGGAGGTTTTACCATCGTAGCCAGGCCTGAACTGAAGGGTCACTGTGCGGGGCCCGATGTTAGAGATGGCCAGGTTCGTTGGGGCACCGGGCAATTCTGATCAAGAGAAGAGGTGAGGAGAATAAACATTACTCTTTATATGATACTGCAGTGAAATCCAGTATTTAAAGCCAGCTCCCATCACTTTAACCAGGTATCTGTTAAGGAATACGGGGCAACTGGATGTGAGGTACAGATCAGCCATGGTCTTACAAATGGCGGAACAGGTTCGAGGGGCTGAATAGCCTACTCCATTTTCCATGTCTATGTATCTAGCAAAATAAAGTATATGTGTGATAACACACAACACAAGTAACACTACAACGTTACGCTACCTTCACCCTTTATCTAAAAGAACAGTACATATCAGTATCAGGTTTTGCTGAGATCTTGCTCACATAGGGAGTAAATGGACGCATCGCACTTAATGAAGCAGTGGCTCAGTACCTGGAGGAACACCTGAGGAGATGGTGGAGGAGGAGACTTGTCCTTGTCCCTTTGACGTCATGGCAGCGACCTCGATGGTGTAGGTGGTGAGTGCTGTCAGCCCAGTGACCCGGTATTCCAGCGTCATGTTGGGCAGGTAATGAGTCACTCGGGTGTTCGTCCGATTGTACTCCTCCCAGGAAATCCGGTAGCCTGGACAGAAAAAACACTTTGGGCACATCAGGTTCCTGCTAAGAATGCTTTACAAGTCACCAGTTGGGGTAGAACATTGTCTCTAGTTTTACAGGTCAATCCTGACAAAAATGAAGCAAGTTCGATCCCCAATGGCTTTGAATCCTTCACACATCATGCCGCCTGCTTTTCCCTGACACTCCATGCATCAATGGCCACAACTATGGTCTGTCTCAACTTTTGTTACAAAAGTCAACTCTAAATGATCGGATCGGTTTCTTCCTATTCAATTTATGGGTCACGGGCTACATTCATGCTTTTCATGCTCTCCATTCATGACCGGTCTATTTAAATGTTCCTATTGTGCTTTGTTAATCAGTTTTCAAGTCTGTCGCTTTGACAACTTGCTTAAAGAGGAAATGGGAACAGTTTAGATTGAGCAGCCCATTTTAATTCCATTCTAAGGCTTTGTTGCATGCTATTTGCGATGTTGCTCACATATAAACTGGATATTACCCCTTCCCCAAGCTCTTGAACAACTGACCTGTGAGAATTCCATTCTTTTCATGTGGCTCTCTCCAGCTCACTTTCAGAGACGTGTCCAAGATCTCCGTGAAGCTGAGATGTCCGATAGGACCAGGGTCTAAAGGAAACAGAAGATCACGATCATGATGGTCATGATGATGATCATGATCAGATGCCGACCTATTGCTGGGCAAACAGAGATGATTAATAGGAAGATCATGGAGACGCCGTTTTGGAAGGATGGATCAAAGGGGCCGAAGGACCTTCTTCTTCCAAACTTCATAGTGATAACTATGCCTCGCATGCTGACATGCGAAGGAGCCAACATTGCTCGTAAGCACAGTCTTGGATGGACCAAGGAGTTTTTTGTATTTAGGACTGTGCCTGTGTTTCCCACCATGGCTGTTCCCAACCTTGGTAGGACACTGCAGGATCTGCAGAGGACCAGCATGTCAGCTCTCCTCACTCACTCACCTGCTGCTGTTGCTGCAGTGGGAGGATTAAATGGCTGATTTCCTGGAAGGGGTGAGATTGTGAAATCGATTAAGAGGCACTTCTTCATACAGATCTCACTTATGGCATTAGTGGGCACTCAGGATCACAGCAGGTCACAACAACCCAACTCACCATCTAGCATCACACAAACTGTGGATGAGTTGCATTGGGGCAAGGGAGCAATAAAAAAAAAGGCACCAACAAAGGAAGACTGGCACAAAATCCCTCTTGAACCTAAACAGCAAGGGGAAATGGAAACATGAAGTGATGGGAGAGCAGGGCCTGGACAACGCACACATTTGGATGGGTCTGGGGTTTTGGAAAATACTCACAGTCTTCGTGCGTGCGTATGAGTTCTGAAGGACTCCTGGGCCCATCGCCAGGCGTAGTGAAACACAGCACTGACGTGTAGTACTCGGTGAACTTCTTCAGTCCTCGGATGTACCCGACGTGGCCCGAGTCCTGGAAATTTGGCCGCACGGTCACCATGGTAACCTCTTCAAACAGATCCGGCTCCCAGGCTAACAACTGGACATGAAACATTAATACCAATTATGAGGGGAGCGGTGCTGACTACACGGGGAAAGAACGATGATAAATTACTGCTATAAATCAACATATTTTCAGCATCTATCAATAACTTGCCGTTCGCATGCGTCATACACTGGATTACATCGAAGGAAAGTCAAAGGGATTTGGGTTCTCACCAGCCAAAGAAAAAGTTTTTTTNGATCCTTTTGATCTTTTATCCGTTTGGTAAATTCTGTACTTGGTAATTTATGAGGTTTTAGGGTCCTCTGGTGGCAGTTAAGGAACACTGCAGCTGCTTTTCTCCAATCAGACAGTTGCAAGGAGGGCACTGAATCGAACTAAGCCTTTTGTTTCGTGCGGACACTTACGTATCGCACATCTGTTTGCGTCTGGGACAGTGGATCACTGCTGTGAAACGGACACCTGCTCTGATGGCAGAGAAGGCCTGTGGAGTCCTGTAGCTCATTGGTTAGAGCACTCGCTTTGCAAGCGAGAGACCTGAGTTCAATTCCAGGCAGAGGGAGAAACCTTGGGCAAGTTTCCTTACTCCACACAGAGCCTAATAATAATCCCTCCAAAACCAAAAAACAATAATAAATTGTTCATTTTCAATCCACGACTGTTTGTGGGACACTGCTGTGCGCAATTGGCTGCCGCGTTCACCCACAAATATACAGTCAATTCACTTTACATTATATTCTGTGAAGCGCTTTGGGATGTCTAGAAGACGTGAAAAGTGCTATATCAAATGCAAGGATTATTATTATTATTATTAAGGCAGTCCTTAGAAGGGAGCAGGGAACACGCAGCAGATTCAAGTCAGGAGGGCAGAGTGTATCCGCTAGGGGATACGCTCTTTCATTCTCTCACTCTCCAGTAAAGAGAACGAGATAGAGGGAAGGCTCCCCCAGCATCCAGCGCAAACAAAAACATCCCCTTACAATGTATTCAACCCAATATTCCGGCAGGTCAACTGGGAACAGCTTTTAGGAATACAAAGTGGGAGGAGGAAAGAATGCAAATGCTGCTTTGGTTAATGCAGGTTATGTCATGTGGAGTATTATCAATTAAAATTAGTATTGCACATCAGATTGAGTTGGTTTTAAGCAATTTCCTTTGGCTGGGAGAGTTGAATCTTCTCTGTGACTGTCCCTGAGGGTCTGACACTAGTTGACTGGAAGTGTGGCTGCAAGCGGGGTGAAACAATGGTTTAATTTAAGGCTTGTCCGTTAAGAGGTGGAGATGGTACTTTGGCAGTTTTTAGGGATGAGAACGCTGATGTTATGGCCCAAACCATTAACAGGGGCGAGTCTCAACTCTGCGGCTTTTATGCCAGACCCCAATTTTTCTTTCAAAGGAACAGCCAGCAATAGTTCAGATCCTCCTAAGATTTGGCTTCAAACGAGGAACTTGTCTCTCATTATCTACCCCAGGAACATGTCACATAGTTTAGTTTTAAGATGCTGGGTACAACAGTGCTGGAAAACAGTTGATTTATAGGAGTCTATGGAAAAAAACACACACGATCAGGAAGTTAATGCTTGAGAAAGATTCTTGACAGGTATACTTGCCAACAGCTGGGATACTTATTTTTAAATGTGACATCTCACCATCTCTGTTGAAAAGGCACCAGAGAAGTGAAGCGATGAGGATTAATTTGACTTTATTGTTTAGTTGTGATGCTAGTTCAGCTTCACATTAGAAACCCTGTATCACTCACCCAGCCTACAATAGTCTACATTTCGCTGAATTGCGTTACACCGGATTAATACTAACCGTTAGCCTGGACATCTTAAGTGGACTTTGCATTGTACTGAATGTCTTTTCAGCTGCTGAAGAAGTAAAGCTGAACTTCTAATGTGCAATCTCACTTTCTTCATAAAGAAGTCAGAGACATGTTCCTCCCATTCATTTGAGTTCACTATTGATACCCGAGGAACATCTAGATAAATGTTGCTTCCTCTCATTAAATCAAAGTCATAACAGTACAACCATTTGATTGCCACTTCCTGCTAGCCTGCCTCCTGTGCTATCTGAGCAACCACTAACTGCCACTTCCAATAAATAATCAAATGGATTTTCGGCTATTCCTGATTCCATTACAGAACTACTCAAGGAAAATAGGAATGTGTCAAGGCCGGAAAAAAGACAGTGACAATCCATGTGATAGAGAGCTATGTTAGCAATTTAAATAACTTGCAAAATTCTAGATGCGCTAAAATGGCACTAAAAATAAATCTACTCCCAGATTCAATTTCTGCCCAGTCGTGTAGGAAGTAGTGATCTACAGGACCTTGGATGTGTGGATCTGGCGGCTCCTCTGGAACCATAACAACTGCCCAGAGAACGAGGCTGGATTATTCATCTTTCACAGAGACAAGTGCCTTTGCATTCCAATGTGTTTTACAGCCATACTTTGTCAAAAGCTGATTCTATTTAGCACTAAAAATGCTGCTCTACTGTAGACTGGGCGAGTCTTCTGAGCAGAAGTCGTTGGCAAGTATTCATGACGCACGGTTATTGCTTGAATAATTCAGTTTATGAGGCTGAGTGAGTGTTATTAAAACGCAGACAATAGACGGGTGCACTTTAAACTTTTAGCGCAAGTCAATAAAACCTCTGCATCCCTGGCTTTTAGGATTGTAACGAAAATTGGAATGAGAGCGGTTGAGCTTGTTCTAAGATTGGATAAGGTTTGATATGATTTAATGACAAATGTGAAGGCCACTCTTAGACTTCTGAAAACAGCCAAACTCACTTTGCAGGTTTCTCATCCAAACTTCATCAAACGGCCAAAACAGATTAAAAAAAACCAAAAATGCAGATGGTCGATTGATGAGATGGTGTGGGAAAAGGGGAAAAGGTGATGGGGGAGTGGAGGGAAAAGTGTAGAGTGACATGCAGCATTACAGTTCCCCCCCCACCCCACCACCGCAACATGCACCTATTCTTCCCCTCCCCGCACCCATTAATTGGAGGAAAAGCTACTCTCAATGAGCTAATATTGTACGACGGCAAAACCAATTAAAAGAAATAACAGTCTCTAATATACCCATGTGTACCAGAAAGCCATGGAAAGGAGAAAAGTTCTCCTTGAATGTGGCAAAACATTTTTCAAAGGCGAAGAGTTGGGGGCGTAATGGTACAATTCATGTGAAATGACTTAAAACACACCATTGTGTTATTTGCATCATTTGATGTGCTGCAGAGGAAGATTGGTTACTCTGTCTTGGCTGAAGGCAGTGAGACAGTGCATCCTTATGTTCATCAAAATCATAAACCTACAGCTTGTCCTCTGTAATGTACATACTGTTCACAATCTATTCACAGTTTGCACAACAACTTTTTTTTATGTTCCTGAATATTTTGCCTGAAAGGGCCCAGTCACTACAATTGACAGCAATCAGTCGTGAAGGGCTTTGAGAGGTTTCAACATGACCGTTGCAACATTGGCAGTCAAGGTAATTATCTGTATTTTTGATATTTTGGCAATGGGGACGTATTCAAGTCTTTTAATGAATTGATGCAGCAATATCAAATGCTTCCTTGTTTTTCCTATAAAGAATAGATTTTCTGCTCTTTCTGAAAGATGTATTCATTCACCTGTGAAATATGCATGAAACCTGAATCTCTTTCATCTTTGAGACACCACTAGATCAACAACATTTAAGGAATGGACCTCAATGCAGTTAAGGCCTGACCAAGATGGACTCAGTGATAGACCAAAGGAAAAATGGACTGAACCTTTTCACTTGCATAGGTTTTCCTCCAATATTATACTTTATCCCCCTGTGCAAGAAAACATATCCTCTTTACAGTATGTCAGTGACCCCACATTTACACAAAGGGGGTTAAGTGAGTTAGAACGAAAGGCAGGACAGGGTTAAAATACTACAAAAAAAGTGTAAAAAAAACCATTGGCTGAGCAGTCACTGTCACAGCGGCTAGTGTTTCTGTCTCATTACGTTCCCAGGCAAGAAGCTAGAGTAGAGATAGTCAGATAGCATAGGTCAATTGCACAGCAATGAAATTAGGCAGAAATAACCAATAAAGAAATAATAACTTCAATCTGTACAGTTTTTCTCATTGCTCAAATGTAAACCAACTTAGAATTAACAACTGAGAACATACAGCGAGATGGATAAGCAAAATTGGCATACATCTGCTTGTACCTCGATTCAGAAAAGCTGTTTCCATTTATTTTTATTCTCGGGATTCATTTTGCTAAATTATTGATGTGGCCATTTTCGCATTAACGCTGCTACTTCATGGTCATGTTTCCAGGCTTTTTTTTTAGAAAATAAAATAAAATGTGTGAAATTTTACCAAAATTGAGCGTTACCGTGTTAAAATTTAATTTAAAAATCATGAACAGGCATTGCTCACTCTTGTGACCTGAAACCCGTTTTCTAACTCACATTATTTCTAACCAGACAGTCCATCAGAATACAAATAAAATGTGCTTGCGAATATTTCTCTGCAGCACTTAATCTCTGTTTATAATTGCTTCAACGTTGTGGATTTGCTGAGCTTGATTCAATTTTCACATGCTGTTGAGACATACGTACTGCGGAGTATTGAAATAGTCAACAGGAGTAGAAACCCTGGCCAATTTACTGCCTTTATGATCTAGGGATATCCAGGTCACTTTTAGCTCCTTGCTTCTCCCTCATTTAGAATACCTACTTAAGCACAGGCGAGGATTTAGACTGAGCATTTCGGCTGCCCGATTGAGCCAATTGTGCTGTTTTTGTCGTGGTACTGATCTGTATAAGGCAGAGGGGTCCCTAATTGGATCCAAATGCTGGTGGTTGGTTGAGCCTTGCTCGGATGACATTAGAGACATTACAATTAGCTTCAGGGTTAAGAGGTGGTTAACCTCCGCTGAGGTTTCCAATACTGATCATTAGTCAACTGTGGAAAATGTACATATGTGGATGTTGCACAAGGATACGATCACAAGCCTCAAATCCCTCCAGCACCAATTTACACTGGGGCAAAACATTGCTATGCATTTAGAAGCAGGTTAAAACCGTGACCGTTACCTTGTAGCCCTGGTTAATGCCGTTAATGAACTGAGGGCTGGGCGGTGTCCAAGTGAATCGGATGGTGGTGGAATTGATGGCTTCGGCATGCACGCTTCCCGGAGGCACTGTGGGAACTGGAGATAGCAACAGATTGGAAGTTCAGATTGGTTTACCAAAAAATGAAGAGGAAATGGTCCTTTGGGGCAAGGTATTCACAAATACGTTTCAATTGGAAAATTTCAGGTCTGTGGGATCCCTAATTTGATCTATTGCATTCCTGACAATAAAAGACATTTTAACTTTCCCAATGTTCATCCAACCTGTTGCACTTCTTACCCCCACTCTCCTGAATCGGCTCAGTTTAAAAGGAATGAGATAAGCAATTTTTCCTTTTGTTCTTCTCCCACCCCCGCCAAAAAAAATGGGAGTCTTCACTTTAATGCAACTGTCCATCTTAATAACTTTAAATGCAATTGTCCTATTTAGGGATACGAGTCGGAGTGATATGTTTGACTCTAACTCTGCGACGTGTGGCTGAGAGTCAGGCGTTCAAGTCAAGCTCTATGTAATTCTACACCAAACATATTCCATTGGATACATCGGTTCAGAACTGTTTAAGTGCCCATGTGATTTATTTTTTGCATCTCCTTGTGTTATTGTACTTGAAAGCTGGAAAAGAAAACTGAAATGGAATAAGAAGCATATCTTGAAACTTTACAATCATATCCATTCACAGACCCTCATATCGATTGAGTGCATCTCAGATCCTCTTAACTATTAAGAAGAGAAAGTGTGTGCAATCCCCATGTCTTTCGGAGCACGTGATTTGATCTAAAGTTGGTCAGTGATTAGTTTTCCAAACTGCCATGGGTAATCTTGTTAACTTCCTTCCTTACTCTCCTTTCCCCCCTCAGCCCACCCTCAGTCAGCCACAGTACCCACCCCCTTGCAGGGTCCACTCGGTGACAGTGGGGCTGTACACCCCCAAACCAGCCCCGTTATAGGATGCAACTGCAATCTCGTAGTTGGTCCAGATTATGAGATCCTCGAGCAGGAAGTTGTTGACTTCAGAACTGGTGATGTTCTTATATTGGTGGTCGACTGGTAAACCTGCCAAGCAATATCTGTAGAGATCAAAGAAAGAAAGAAAAAAAGAAAGAAATCGCTTCAATGTCCAACTAACGTAATATTATTCCTCGCCACTTGTAAAGAGTGCAAGTCACAGCATATGTAAAGGTTGCGTCTGTCTGGTGCAAAGCGCATTCATTTGGTAAGAACGATGCTCTGCTACAAAATGCCAATACCTTATAATGTAACCCTTCATGGGCCCGTTCTGTTGGTTCTCCAGAGGTGGCTGCCACTGAATCATAATGGATTGGTTGGTTCTGCCACTTGCTATGACATTTTGTGGGGGAGCGCTGGGAGGCTCCTCGGGAAGTGATAACCTACAAGAGTTTGTGCAATTTGATACGGAGAGAAAGTTTAGTTAAAGGCAACCTTCATTTTTAATGAGCAAATGATAGTGCACTTTTGACTAACAAACATGAGTCGTGCTCATACTGCAACCCCATCCTTTACAATATAAAATCCCAAATTCTACTGTTTTCCGGGTTTTATTGCCCACGTTTCATGCACCTTTTTCCCTGATTCATTTGCAAAATAATGGTGGAGGAAGTTGAATGCTGTGTCTGAATAAAGACTGGTTTGCTCCTGGCCTTTTGCTCATTTTGCTAATTGTTTTCAGCTTGCGAAGCATAATAATAATAATTCTTGCATTTGATATAGCGCCTTAACAAGTTTTTGAGATGGCTCTAAGCGCTTCATAGAATATACTGCAAACAACAACAACAACAAGATTTCATTTATAGAGCACCTTTCACGTCGGGAGGACGTTCCAAAGCGCTGGACAGTTGGATCAGGACCCGAGCAGGGGGGAAATGGTCAGGGTGAGGGGAGGGAAGGGAGGGAGCGAGGAGGGAGTAGAGAGTCGAGAGGAGAGCTGAAGGCACAGTCAAAGAAAAAGGTCTTGAGACCGGCCTTGAAGGAGGAAAGGGAGGAAGCGGCGAAGGCACTGGGGGATGGAGTTCCAGAGCCTCGGGGCTGAGAGGCTGAAGGCCCGACCACCGATGGTAGGGCGGTTGGGGCGGGGGATGTGGAGCAGACCGGAGTCAGAGGAACGGAGGGTACAGGCAGGTAAATAGGGGGATAGTAGGTCGGAGAGGTAGGAGGGAGCGAGGCCGTGAATGGCCTCGTAGGTGAGGATGAGGATCTTGAATTCGAATTGACTGTATATTTGTGGGCGAAACCTGGCAGCCAATTGCGCACAGCAGTGTCCCACAAACAGTCGTTGATTTGGTGACCAAATTATTATTATTATTTTTTTTGATGGTTTTTTTTGAAGGAATGTGATGGATCCCAATTCATTTGAAGCAAGCTCCACTGTGGCCCATGCCTGGTCCTTACCTCTCAGTCTCTTTACTGAACTGCCCCTTTCCGACATCGTTCACGGCACAGATCCGGAACTGATAGGATCTGGCCGGTATAAGTCCCCTAACCATCAGTCCCGAAAACTCAGGATTAACATTCGACAGATGAACATTCCAGGGCGAGTCTACAATAACGAGAAATATTTATTGAAAACATTTTTTTTTGGCCGAAGTTTTCGCCAATGTTCTTCCGCGCCAACCTTACAGAATGGAAAAGGACTCAGAAACAATTCGAGTCGGAACCCATTGCCAGTCAACCAAAAGGTTGGCGGGATGGAGCTTTGGCAAAAAAACAGCTTAAATATCTGCACAGTTGGGTGTGGACAGTAGCAGTGCTCAGCTGGTAAGGTTAGCCACACTGCCTTAAGATGATCCCTGGAAGGTCACCTGCTACAGGTGGCCTGGAATTAGGTGAGCAGGGTGCGTCCCTCCAGGGAGAAAGTGTGCATTGAATTCCAGACTTGGGGAAATTTCCACGTGCAGGTGGCACGAATATGTGGAATGCTCAGCATGATTTGGATACTCGTAAGCACAGTGACAGGTTTCCACTTGTTTCAGACACTCAGCTGAGAAGAGTGTCAGAGGCCAGGAGATGCAACTGTATATCGGGCAACTTTGCTCCTCTGGAGGCAAACTCGTCGTATGAACCCGAGAACCCAATTAACACAGCAACAAAAGCTTTCAAATATCTGGTTGATTGCTGTGGCCCCTGTGATGTGCCAGGCTGGAATGTGAACTGATAATTACTTCATGTCACTGGCTGCCTTAATAGATTACAGAATACTGAAAAAAATTAGGTAAAAATATCTTCGTGACTTTGGCTGAATTGTGCTTTATGATCGTATTCCTGCAATTTGCAACGTTCCCATTACGAATGCAAACCATCATATCTCAGTTGAGATGGTTCCAGACAGGTCTTCGTATGCAGATTTAAGTCTGAGTCAGTAATTTTGTTTTGGACTGGAATTAAACTCTGTGATAGACAGCTTAACCTCGCAGTGGCGCTGTTTCAACTCAAATATTTGCACAGGTTAGTAACAGATACATAATGTGAGGTGTTTCCATTGAACTCATTTGGAAATCCAATGCAATTAATAGATTAGCATTTATAAAGGCGTGAATGGTACAATTAATCTGCTATTCAAATATACTTTGTGATAAGGGGCGCCAATTATGCAAGTGAATGGAATATTTTATGACGTGAATAAGAACACAGAGGTAAGATTAATTAAGTGGCCATTCATAAACACAATATTGACTGCTCAATCCCGGGACTTTAATGGTAGACCACAACCACAATTTACATTTGTATAATGCCTTGCATGCAAGGGGGGAGGGGGGAGGAGAGAGAGGGGGGAAGGGAGGGGGAGGAGGGGGAAGGGGAAACCTCTCAAAGTGCTTCACAGGATGTAATGTAAAGTGTAGTGACTGTGTGTTTTGTGGGTGATCATGGGTTGCTAGTGTGCTGCAGCATTACTTACTGTTCTCAGAAACCTCTAGTATGTAATGAATCAGGGGGCTGTTTCCATCGAATGGTTTTGCCCAGGTCAGTGAGATGGCTCTCTTCTCACTAGAACTCAGCTGAGCCACTAAATTCTCCGGAGCGTGTGGGAGTTGCCTGCACAGCGACGACGTTCAATTGGGAAGAAAGAAAAGTCAGCGAGAATGATATTTTTAACAAAAACGTGAAATTTTCTATGGACTTTTTTTTAAACAAAACATTTGACTTAAGATGTGAATTCAGCGCCCCAAACCTGCCTGCACCTCGCCCTAGTAGTTATTGTGTGTGACTGCCTGCTCACCTGACTTTGAGGTGGGCATTCCGAGAGTCATTGCCTCCGACTGAGATGACTTTACATGTGTAGACTCCGATGTCTCCTGACCAAGTCTGGGAAATGTGCAACGTTCCTTCTTCATCGAGTTGCATTCGTGGGATGGTGTCTAATTTCATGACAGATTTGTCTTTCTCCCACACATAGCTAATTAAGAGCAAGGGAAGGAAAGTCACAGGGCGGAATGATCACAGAATCTATCAATGGAGAATTAAAACAAAATAAGCTTCGGTTGTTGCTTTTTCCTGTCACGGATGCTCAGTAGTTGGGATCGATCTCTACCACATATAGTGATGACGTTCTTTTCACGAGGAAAGGGGAGATTTCATAGCAGAGCAAGCCAGTGAATGGATTGAGTGAGGGTACAGTAAATGGTCTGGCACAAGAAGTATATAGAGTATCCTCACAACCAGTATGAAGCACTGGTTAAGTTTACCATTAATTATCTAGTTAAGACCATCCTACATGTTAGGGCTTTGCTTACAAAGTTGAGGGAATGTCCATGCTCCCAAATGTCATTGAACAGCCAATGCCTTGGCTACCTATACCTGTCTGACTTTGCCAGCCATGTCCTCAAAGCTAGTTCAGACCCAGTGAGATGCTGCTGACCTGCCCTCCAAGCAGGAGAACTTAATCAACCTCACAAGGATGAAGGGCTGAGTGAACTTGAGTGGCATTCAAACCTAGAATCTTTTACTTCCAAGTCCAGTGCTCAACCGATCACGTCACCCAGGACTGCTGACACGAGGATCACTTCAGTAAGTCTTTACAGACATCTCAGTAAACACTTTACCTGATTGCAACATTAGGATCACGGGTCACGCCACACGTCAGCATTGCCACCGTCCCTTTGATAACACTCTGATCTTGTGGAGGAGTTGTGATACGGGTGCGAGCTGCAAAAACAAGTTTACAGAAGTCTGTCCTTTGTCCATCAATTGCATTCATCTTCGGTTCTCTATCTATTCTCTATTTCTCTATTTCTCTGAACAGCTTTGTTCTCAGATTGTCCGGATCTCAGACTCGTCTCTCAATAGGGGTAGTTCAGGACGATTTGTTTTTACATCCACCGGCAAACAGCTCCACCTCCCCAACTGGGTGAAATTTACGTTCAGCGCTTATAATAGGAAATCCCATAAATTGCCAACCTTGCCTAGAAGCAAGGTGCGTAACCCTGAACAGAATTTTTACTCTAATGTGCCTCCCCCCACAGCCTGTCCCCACAACTGATTGAAGAGATGGTAGATCAAACATCTTAACAGCTTTACAAAAGACATCCTTTCTTTCCCAAACCCCATCACAGGGATATACTGCCACCATCACTCTCTGTCACTCTACATGAGTTCCAATAGTAGTCCACGTGGTTATCAAAGTATCTCTCCTGATTTCTATGGGAGTCAGTGCCTTCTACCAGCCACAGCTACAAAACCCTAGAACTCTCACTACAGGCTAAGGGTAGTAGCTCCTCTTTATTTTGGAACAATTCCAGAATGGCCCAGAGACTGGACTGACGCCCTGGTTCCAATTGGATTTAATGGGCTTGCTCTTGGAAGCTTGGTGGGCTGCTCCTAAAATCGACAGCCTTGGAAGGAGGCGGAGAGGAGGTGAGACCTGAAGTAAAAGAGGCGGCGAGACTGAAAATGAAACCTGATGTTTTTAATCTGGATCTGCAAAAAATACATGAAAGCTGATAAACCTGCATCGGAAGCGAACAGACACCTACCTACTAAAGCACTCCTACCCTACACTAGAGGGCATTCTAACATTTCGATTGCTTGCGTAGAGTTTTTTTTGATCAGCCGGGTGTCTGCCACATGCAGAAACCCAGCACTCTGTTTAGGCGTATCGAAAACAGACTGACCCTTCCACACACTTAGAGATTAGAAGCAAACCCTGTTCCTGAACTTGTACCAGCCATGTTACAGGTCATGCTCTTTGAAGCAAAATCAGTAAAGTACCCAATGTGTTTGCCCTCTCGTTGCTTACCCCACACAACGAGGTCTGAGGAAGCTTCGTCCACTCCCCGCGAGTTTGTGGCCAGGCAGGTGTAACCTCCTGCGTCGGAGATGTGAGAGGGGCTGATGAGGAGGCTGCCAGACTCCAGCAGCGTGAAGCGAGGCAACTGGACTGAGCCGCTTGCCAGGACCTTCTCGCCTGGGAAATAAAAATAATAATAAATGGATCACTTCAACCCACGGCTGTGTGTGGGACGCCGCTGTGCGCAATTGGCTGCCGCGTTTCGCCCACAAAATATACAGTCAATTCACTTTACAGTATAGTCTGCGAAGCGCTTTGATAAGGCGCTGTATGAAATGCAAGGGTTATTATTATTATTATAAAGAAGGGACCAATTGGTGACTGCAGTCCACCGGCTTGAATCGGGAAAACTTCTTCAGGGACCATTTACGGAATAATGCACAAATCAACATCGCTCGTGTGCGTGCGGAAATAATGTGAAGTGCGCCCGGTTGTTTTTGCGTACCAATCACAGCCGTTTTAAAGGCTTTTCTTCCAGAGGACAGGAGCGGTGAAATATTATTCCATTCCTTTACCTTTCTGCCAAGTGATTGCAGGTCGTGGCGCCCCTGATGTTTCGCAAGAAAGGATGACTGACAGCCCATCAATCACGGAGCTGTCTGATGGTCCTTTGGTGATATTGGGAGGAATGCCTGAAAATTGCAGTAAATAAATGGAGCGGGTAAACCAAAATGTTTCTTGTTTTCAATCCATCAACTCACGGTGCGCAGAGTAAAATTCTTCCAACATTTATTTTCTGACGTTTATTAGTTCTAATTAGGAAGACTCTTGGCCTTAACCTAGCCTGAGAGCGAACAAAACTATCGTGTGAATGTTCCGACGTTCGGATGAAACCAACCTTTCTTTCACTCTGCCAGCTTTACCCTTCCTCCTGTTCCCTGAAGGGATTTTGACTCAATTTTTCCTTCTATTGGGACATGGTTCTTCAGGCGCCTTGCACAAGTGACCATTACTCAAGTGTGACAGCAGATGTCGCTAGGATTGTGTGGGGGAATAGCACAGCTGAGCCTAAACCTGTATTATTCGAAGTCCCCAAATGTACACCTCGCAGCAGGAGTATCTGGACAGTGATCAGAAGGATGGGAACAATCGTTTTTATTTACCCCTTCACTAACCCAGGGACACTGAGGCCACTTGCGCCCCAATTGCTGCTCAGATCAGCTAACTCAGGAATTCGAACTTCCAATCTTCTACGGTCCAGTCCTGCTCTGGTCTGTGACTTTTTATCCATTAAGAAAGACCGACTGTTATGGGCACGAGTCACAACAACTTGTACCTCTCTAGCGCCTTTTGCATAGGCTGTCCTACACGAAAGGGAATTGATCACACCCTGATCATTAAAAGGAAGATCAGCGTGTAATAGACCCCAAAATCTCACTCGGTTCATGACGCACGGCGCTTTGTTGCCTTTTCTGCCTGAATTCCTGAGATTGTTTTACGGGTTCGCGCCGAGAAAGTGCACTGTTCCAACAAGAATGATAACGATAAAACGATCCGTATTTTACAGAGGGGTGGGGGCAATGCTGGGCCCTGAAATGAATGGCGGAACAAAGTTGTCAATGTGGTAACAATGCACATGTGTGCATCAGTTTTACCTTTCACTCGTGTGAATTATCACTCCGCTGAGCAGTGAAATGATCCTCTTACATTGCTACGGCATAATTCAGTTTTACGCACTGATAGTCGGTTAGGGAGCTCGCCACGAGCTCCACAACCAATGGGCTCATTGATGGAGAACGACACGGTTTGTAAAATGACAGGAAGTTTCACATCCTTCACAGAGACAAAACAGCCGAGACAACAGCCCAGCTTTACCTGACTGCAGAAACCCAGAGTCTCGAGATCCCCGAGGGTGGATGGGGATCACAGCCTCATTAAAATTCTTCCCGCAAACACAAGGAATAGCGGGAAAGAGCTCGGAGATTTCAGCCAATTAAGAAAGAAGACCGAAAAGGAGGGTGTCCCCGTGCCTCCGATCTGTTCTTAAACTTGTGCCAGGAGAATAATTTCATTTTAACTCAGAAAATGTGCACGAGGCGTAATGGAGACTAATTACGAAATGTCAATAATGTGTGAAGGTAGTAATAAACTTCCAGGTGTGTGTTTTTCTAGGTCTCAGGAATTACCATCGTCTCGACTCCGTTCCCAACGCGCTGAAAGAAAATGCGAACTATGCAGATTTCTTATCGGCTGCTTTACTGTGTGTTGCCGTTGTTTAAGAAGCACCGTAAATATCACAGAAATAAACTTCATATTATAGAAAAATATGAAATACATCACCATCCCCCCACCCCGATTCTCCCGACATTTGCCTGCCTAACGTAGAGGAAAATGAAAGGGTTTTGAATGATTTTTACAAGTGCTTCCCTCCCCATCCTGGGCAGAGGTAAAGCAAAGCTCATCAGCGAGAAGCAACGATGCAGGTAGGCACTCATGAAGTTAACAGCTTCTGTTTATGAAGTGCATGTCATATTGAAAGCAAGGCTTGGCAAATGTAATGGTGCAGGACCAAGTGAGGAAGTAAGAGATTTCAGAACACCGACCAAAGCAACAGCAAAGAGGGGTGGGTTTTTTTGAGGTTTTAGAATGCTCAGCTGGAAAAAGGTACTTGGGAGCAAGCAATGGGTAGCAATTGGACGAACAGAGGATGCTTTCTTGTTATTCCAACCTTCCTTGCTGTTTGGTTACATGAAACGGGATAAGGTAGTGAAGGGTAGCTTTCCCCCTCCTGAGCAGAACCGGCAAGAAAGGTCTGACAGCCTGGACCGCAGTCTACCTCCCTACCCCACCCTTACCCCATGCTCGAGTCCTGACCCCTGACTGTCCAATGCCTTGGGACGTCCTCCCGACGTGAAAGGCGCTCTTTTAATGTAATGTTGTTGTTGTAAGCCATCCGAGACTACATCCCGTGTGAAGGGAGATACGTGACTGCAAGTCGCTGATGTTGTTGGTGTAGGAGCTGAGAGATTCTGTCTCCCCATTCATTGCTATTTCAGTTCTGAAAATTTGACCATCGTTCACGAGACCAACAATCCAAAGGACAATTCACTTACTGGTGACAGCGAGGTATGTGAACGTCTGCACCTCGCCAGCTGGGTTTCGAGCAAAGCATTGAAACATGCCCGTGTCGTCCGGGATCAGCCCATTGATTTGCAGGCTGCCGCTATTCATTAGGCTGTATCTGGGCACTTCTAACTGGGTGACCGGCACTGCATCTTTGTACCAATGTATAGTTGGCGATGGAATACCTGCAATTGCAGAAATCATTTAAATGCTCCATCAATCAGCATTGCCCTTTGTCAATTACAAGTCATGCAAATTGCAAGCATTTCCCATTTTCAAAGGACTTTGGAGCCTGAGCTCTGAGAGGAACGGCAGCAATGATGGGAATTATCCTGGCGCGATAGAAAACTGCATTAAATCCAAAACGGAGTTTGTCTTAGGGTAAAATAATAACCCCTTGAGGTACATGGTTAGGGGGCGATTGGCATGTACATGTAACCACTCTCAAATATCTTTGTGCCCAAATTATAGTCCACGGGTTTCAGAGGGCAACTCTGGTAACACTTGGAACCTTAATCAGTGATTTGTTAACGTTGCTGAGCAATAATTGCATTTTTATACAGATGTCTCGCAGAGCCACTAAGCACATAATACCCGAGAGGAAGTGTCTTATTTGTCAAATGCTCTGTCTCTGAGGGCAGACATCCAGGGACAATGTTGTGCTAAACTCTGGAAATATGCCAGGGAACTTTGGAATTGATTCTAGCTCATTGCAAGGTATTTACAAAGCTTCTCAAATCAATGGAAATCTATATTATGTAGGCATCAGAACAGAGAGGAAGGAAAGGGTGACATTTACTGCACCGCCTGTCACCTATTTATCTTGATAATAAGTCCAAAGGGCAGTGAGCTTACCTCTTGCCCGACATGGAATTTCCACCACTTTCTCTATTTCGGCTGTAATGTGCCGCTCTGGTTCCTGAACGAGCTGTGGATGCTCTGTAGGATGACAATGAAATGTCTGTCAGTGGAACAAGTCCTCTTTCCAATAATGCTCCCTCTGTTCTCTTTCTTGCTCAAATTAGTCACAGAAGGTAAAGGGCGCCGTTTTAACGACGGAATATCGCGTCCTTTTGTAAGAATTGCCTGATAAACATTGTGAAGATTTAATCAATCTCAAAATCTATGGGCTTCATCTTATACATGTTATCACACCAAAGAAGATTGTTCCTTTGTAATCCTTGTGCAATTCTATCTGCTGCTTGTTAGTGGTGCTACAGAGTACAGTCTCGAAACTGAGAATAAAATATCTTACACATAAAATAACCTACACTCGCAACCCTTTACAGAAATGCATTCAAGATCTATTCATGAACGAGGATTCCCTTGAAACCCATTAGTGAGTGTCCAGTTCAGAAATGAGATGATCTTGATGGATATTTTTGGAGTCTGAGAATTTTCTTTTACACACAGAGGATTATTAGGACACGGATGGTTAGAAATTCCAGCTGGGTCTACATTTATTCTATTCAATGTAGCATTTCAGAGCGTGCAGAATGTAACAAATTGCTGCATTCAGCTTTAACTTTAACTAGTCTGTCTTCTTTACTTCTCAAAGGAATTTCTAGAAAACTGGATCGAAAATAAAAGGCAATTTAAGAACCCGACAAATTTAGAACATTCCGAAATGCTACTTTGCGAGAGTAAATCTGGACCCAGAAATGTCCAATCGAAAGTGACAGACGAAGCAGATTCCATAACAGCTTTTAAAAGAAATTTAGAGCAATGTCTGAAGAAGAAAGATATGAAGAGTATGGTGGACGGGTGGACGGGTGGGTTTGCTGGATGGAGATCTTTCACAAGAACCAGCACAGGCACAATGGGGTCAAATGGCCTCCTTCTGTGCCAAACTATTCTGTGATTTGATTTAAACTATGCCACATGAGCACTTGTATCTATCTGTCTGACTGGGATGGCAAGATGAGATTAGGAAAATGAATGGGGAACTATTGAAACAAATCTGGGCAGACGAGGAAACAGCAGCCATAAAAAAACAGAGATGACAAGAAGATGCCTTGTTACCTTGAAGGCAACAAGTCTCTTAAATGTTATTACCAGGCAGTTAGTAATAAATTGGGACTCTGGACTTAGGAATATTCTGTGACTGGAGCTGCAGAATGTTTCACGAACTGTGATTCTGTTACTGTTCATTACAGAACCGGGAAATTCTCAGGCACTCACCCAGCACAGACAGGAAGGCCCCCGCACTGACTGAAGGAATACTACTGCTTCGTAGAATGGCTTCACATTCATAGTATCCAGCATCACTCACTTTTGGGTTTAGGATAGTCAGTCTCCGGTTGTAATCGCTAAATCCACTCCTCAGCGGTACCCCATCCTTCTTCCAAATAATGCTGAGTTTAATCAGCGGCCTGGAAGAAAAGAAAAGAAAAATAAATAAATAGCACACGTGTTTTAAACAAACAAGTTAAAAACGTTTGCGCAGTTTTACCAGGTCGCAAACCAGACTCGAGATTAAAGATCGTTTGAGAACTTGAGAAATTCTCAAATGCTCTGAAGTGCTATTGTTGATAAATGTAAATCTGGACACAGGTGGAATGTCTCCCCAAGAAAGTTCGACCACAAATAGTAGTTGTGACAGAATCCATATCACCTTTCCATGTTATGTACGCTTGACTTGAATGTATGCAATTTTCTCGTCAGTAGAAAGTCTATTAGATTCTGCCACGTGCTCATGATTAAGATTTACACTGGATTTTTAAAAAAATTCTTCTTGGGATGTGGGTGACTCTGGTTTTCATGGCCCAACTGCTGTTGACATTGGTGCTGATGGGCAACAATACAAAACATCCAGAGAGCAATGGTTTCGTGGAAAGATGGTGAGTTTTCTGGCAGCCATCACCTTCACCGCAATTCCCAATTCTCAGAGACTGGAGCTCGCAGTCTGTGCTTAAAAGGTGCATGTGCATATAATAATAATAATAATAATAATAATGATCCTTGCATTTGATATACCACCTTTCACGTTGTCGAGATGTCTCAAAGAGCTTCACAGGATATACTACAAAATGGATTAACTGCTTGCACTCTTATCCAAAATGCCCCTCTTTTCTAACTGCATGGCACATTACAACAGGGTGGTAGTGCCTTCAAAGTGATGGACAGGAGAAGAACAACAGAGAAAAGACTTTCATTGCCCCTGGCAGGGCTGGAAGAAAACAGCTGGTCTCAGAGGTTAAAAGACAATAGGAGACAATGATTCTGATGGGTTAAGATATGGCAGTCTGAAACCATGAGCCCCTGTAGGAAAACACAACTCCATATTCATGGGAATTACTGATAGAAAATTAATAACCTACCACACATCAGCTGCAAAATGGTAATCACAAATTTAAACAAAATTAGATTTCAAATTTCAAGAGAACAATTCATGACAGTTTTGAAACCCTTGCTTATTCATGTGTTTGGAAGATTATTGCAAGTCCTGGGAGACTGATCGAAACCTCGTGACAAGCACAGTGCAGTCAGACATTAACATACTTGGAATGAATACTGAATGAGGTGCAATTGTATGGTGTCCAGTGATCTGGTGCATCAGCCAAAGGTACAAGCCCAGTTGCTTTGATAAATTGTTTTCATTTCTGGAACACAGATTTTAGAAAGGCTGATAATAATAATAATGCTTATATTTGATATAGCTCCTTATCACGTTGAAATGCCTCAATCCACTTCACAGACTTTATCTCTAAAGTCTAGTGACTGTCTGTTTGCAGATGAATGCCAATTTGTGCAGAGCAATGTCCTGCAAATTCGCTTCTCTTTTCGAATAGTGCCATGGGATCTTTAACACCCGAACAGACAGATGCGACAGTTTAACATTTCATCCAAGAAGGATGGTGCCTCTGACAATTCAGCAATCTCCCAGCACTGCAGTGGAGTGTCAGTCCAAACAATGAACTCCCAATGTGGGACTTGAACCCTCAACCTTTTGTCTCAGAGATAGGCATACTACAAACCTGAATTACACCAGGGAGAATTCATCCCTTTGGAAATGTCACCTCATCCATTGTCTTGCTCCGTTTCCATTTATTAAAGCTAACAATGAAAGTCTCCAATGTTATCACATTTGCCACACTCTCCTTCTCTCATTTACCTTCCCTTCTCCAGTTTAATTGCAACTTTCTTAAGTCAAGACTTAAAAGTCAAGAAAGGGATAGATGTTCCATGACCATTGCGATTGATTTCTTTCTTCTCCACTGCTTGTTCGGTGCACTTCAGATCAAGTCCAACTCCTGGCAGGGAACAGGAGTAATCAAGTCGGACTCCTGCCAGGAACTGCCAAGGCTCACTCAGTGAGAGTGGGAAGTGGGGTTGGCAGTCAAGACCACTTCACAATTTGCAATCCCCTGTTGAAGAATCCATTCATTCAATGCTAAAACTGACAGAGCGATTTAGTTCAGAAGGAACGGAATAAGACATCTGACAACTGTGGGATATCAAAGCATCCAATTTTCAAGTAATACCAATTCTGATTTGATTGCAAATGGAGTGAATGTACCTCATTGATGGGGTGAACATGGTATGAACGTTTGTTTGAACTATTTTGACTGATTGCTTTGGATTCTCACGACCACGTGTTCTCGATCTTACTACCCACCGCATGCTCATCTTCTTGTTCTTTTAAGAATTTTTTGGGGAATAAAATAATTCAAGTTGAGGCCTGCACTGCCTTCAATTTTTTTTAAAAAAAGCGTAATTTAAAAAATCCAACAATTCCAAACCACGCTGTTAAAATCGTACTGTTATTTTGTTAAGATCGTGTTCAGAGATAGGAATGGACTTTTACTAGGAACTGCAAATAATTATTTCTTGTGTCTGATCCACTTCCCAGCAAAACTGAATCTTGCTTCCAGCTCCTGTGGTGCACCATAGCTTCAGGGAGTCTTCAACTGACTGAGCTGTTGCAATCTGGATTCTGTTCCTAACTCTCAAACTGCTTCCAGAACTGTTGCTGCTAGGTGCCCATCACTGGCGAGAGAGTAATTTTGATGTGCACACTCATCTCTCTACCAGCACATCTCAAGGCTCCAGCTTTTGCCTTGCCATTTGAAGCTCGGAGGAAGCACTGCAGCATTACAGGTGTTGAAAGGATGATGAGAAAGGCTGTCGGTAATCCTTTGGTGCATTTGCCTCGGGCGCTGTTGTTTTCATCATAAAACATTTCTGGGCATCTGCCAACATCATCAGCTCTAGACTTGCATCCCCGCCTTATTGAAGTGGAATCTATCGTTTCCTTTAAAGGTAACAATCTCATCAGCGATGCCGACAGTGGCTGTTCAGCTGATGATGTTTTTTTGGGAACCACTTTAATAGAAAGCTAATCCTGGATCGGTACGAAAGCTGAGCAATTTTCATAGACGCTGCTGCCTTGGGAGGAATATATTCAAAATGCTTCAAAAACATTTTAATTGCAGTAAAACAAAATGATGGGATTCTTGCGACTCTGCTTAACCCGTCTTTCCCTCCTTCATCCCGAATCGGTTCTCTGTTTGCAACGATCGGTTTATGTCTGGCAAGAAGGAATCTTGCAGCCACATTCTACCAATTGTCCCTTTGCATGAATAAGAAAGACGCAACGTTGAACCACTAACCTGGCGTTGGCCACACATTCCATTGTAACGTAAGGCAAACCGGACACTGCACTTGTGTTCTTTGGCGTGACGATTATAGCTGGAGCTATTGGATCTGCGGGGCCACCTGTATCTTTAACACAAAAGGACAAAAGATCATCCCTTAAAGGACCTGGTTGTGAAAGAGGCTGCACACGTTCTGTTTGAAAGCACCCTTGTTTTTTTTCCACAAAAAAAAGGAAAAGTAAATTCTTTGAAAAGTCAAATGAATGCTGCCAATTTTTTTGTGTGCATGAAATGGGAAGTCGTCAAATAAAAATGTCTTCAACATGTCACTAACACTCTTCATCCTGTTGCTGTAGAGAGCCAGGAAGACCAATGTGATCCATGACCAATGACCCATGATCACGAAATTAACAAGTCGTGCTGAATTAGTTGTGTTGCACAATATTGCTTCCTCTTCCCCTCCTCGAGGGGACAATGCAGAAAGTTTAATACAGGTGAATTGTACGTGCAGAACTATAGGAACACTGTGTATTTTCGAGAGATCAGACTTGTCATGTGTGCTGCTAGTGTTAGGTACATTTAAGAAAGAGACTGGAGGTGCGGTTTGTAACAAACAAATTGAGAATATATTGCACTCAGCTCAGAATAAAATCTTAAACCTGGGCAATGACTTCTACACTAGAAATGGATAGGAAGTATTTGGTAAATTGATTGGAATTCTGTGCTTGGCTCAAGTTTGCATTTAGTTAGTCAGGTGTGCTGCAGGACTGAATGCATCAAAGTGAAAGGCATCAAAGAATATGGTTACAAAGAGATGGAGACTGAAAGATCCCTTGATGGGAAACAGTACCAACCAGTTAACCCATTTGTGGACGAAATTGATTTAGATTTCAGCTTTCAAAATCTGCCCCTTTGGTTGAGCAAACCTCAGAGAAAAACAATTGTCTGGATATTTTCAAACCGCGAGCATTGCAAGAAGAATTGAGAAACTAGCAGAAGATTTCAAAGCTCATATTATTGTAATACATACACCATTGCTTTTTGGTGTAGAAATACTATTATTGTCCTCTAACGGGTTAAAAATACAATATTCGACTCAACTATGAATTCTTGTGCAAATGGATATTAACAACAATGTAGTTCATAGTGGACTAGAAATGTCAGTGCAATTGCAGCCCTCATTATAATAATACTAATAATTATAACCTTGTTTATGTTGAACATGCTCAGCAGCTCCTGCGAAGCGAAAGATTTGGAGATTGTTAACATTTTGTTTTGATAATATTCACCAGAAAATTGAGTCAGCATCTGGAGAATCTGGTTATTTGAATATTACAATTTTGACCCTGCAGGTGACCATTCATATTAGCCAGGCTTTAATCTGCTTTAATCTGTTTTGTGGAGCCAAAACAGTGTGAAAGTCTTCGGCTATTAAGTTTGGGTTCAGTTGGAGCATGGATTACACCTCAGATTCTGGCTGCGTTCATAGAATCATAGGATTTTTACAGCATAGAAGGAGACCATTCGGCTCTTTGAAAGAGCTACCAACTAGTCCCACTCCTGGGCATTTTCCAAACTTACATTTCAATGCCAATGGATACCAAAACCACTGAGGCTGGAGTTATCAATGGAATGTCTAACACAGGATAATGACCTGAATTCCATCAAATATGATAATAGCATTAAAAGAGGTTAGTTATTGTTCTTCTTCTCTTAGGGACAGTTGTGATTTAATGTCCTCCTTCAGCTGCGGATGGGGAAATTTCGAAATTGTTGGCATCAATATTATAGTTCTGTGAGCCTTCCCAGGGGAATACGAGATCTCTGCTCGTGCAGAGTGTTCTCATTGTGCTTCATAATATCAGAGCTAAAGTTAGAGATAAAGTTTATCATCCCTGTACATATTGTACGAGACGTGTATGCAGTATTTTGAAAAAGGATCTTTCGGGGCTATAAAGGAGGCCAAATTGTTCCTGCCTGATTCTTGACATATGGTGATGGGAAGGGTTAGTGAGGATTGAGGGTAATACAGTTTCACGCTACAGGCCCTTACCAGCAAATGCTCTTTCACCTTCATAAGCTGAGAGAAATTGAGAGGAAAAAAGAGGAAACAGTCAGAGGAAAATCAATGGAAACAAATAAAGGGTACAAGAGAGTGAAAGTTAGCACGTACAGAGGAACTCCTGCCCCCAGGACCGCACAGACATTGAAACTGTCCAGTAGAACAGAGATTTCTGGCTTCAAGATGTCCTCCCGATATGAAAGGCGCTTTACAAATGTAATTTTTATTGTATTCTGGTGCTATACATTGCCTGTAGTCAGACATTACACACTCCTGAAGAGAGAGGAGCAGGTTCTGGCGATGTCAATTGCTTGAAAGGTAAAACTTACATCAATTCTGTACCCACCATAGAAACATCATATACTGAGGCTTCACCCTGTTTTATCAAATGTATTGATCACATCTTTGGCTCTCCATATAAGATTTCTGGATTATAGATATTTCTCTACTGAAAACTACTCCAAAACAGTCTATAGAAGGTTCTCTTGACAATCTTTACATTTCTACAGCTATGCAGTTCAATTGCTTAAAATGTCGATTGATTTTTGCCAGGGCCTAAGTGTGGTGTGTGAATCAGCATGTATCAAAGGAGGCAGATGTGGGCATTTTTCAGGTTTGACGCTAGTTTTAACCCATTAATGAATACAGAGGTTAAAGCAGACTTGACTCCATATCAATGTCAGATGCCACATAATTGACCTATTTGCACTTACATTTGACAAGATACTATTGATCTCAAGGCAAAAATAGTGTCTGTCTTCAGCATGGAAGCAATGTACCGTCGTGTTAATAATGTTTGTTTTCCCTGGACCAACACTGAAAGACTGGAACATAACGTCAACTCTTGCCTGTATGGAACCTGTACACTGGCTTAGTAAAACGACAGGTGTTTTTGCTGGAACTGATAGGGTTAAGAAAGGATCTAATAAAATTCTTCAACATGCTGAAAAGTTTTGGTAGGATAAGTTGGTGAATGATTATTTTGTTAGTTGGTGAATTAGTAATAAGGGGACATAAGCTCAGGATTGTCGCTGGGAGAGTTTACAAGCAGTTTAGAGAAAGCTTTCATGCAGAGGGTTGCTTAGTATATGGAATGCTTTGCTACAAGAAAGCGACCATGACAATATTTTTAAAAAGGAAATTTTATAAACGGGAACAATATAATAGGTGGACTGACAAGTGGTCTCGCTGTGGACAGCTTAAGCGAATCATTCACGTTGTGCATTTTTAATAAAAAAATCAACCCAGCTTTATATTTGGAAATACATTAAGCACCAAATCAATAGTGGAAAGTAGCAATTATATTTGAGTGATTTCTTTCTTAACTGCATCAAGTTTGCTGAAAAACCCACTCAGAAAAAATGTGTATGCAATTCTGTTCAAACGCAGATATGCTCAAAACAACATTATGATCCACTCCATGGTGCAATATTTTTGTTAGGTTTTGTCACATCCCCTGCCTTTACACAATGCACTGATTCTGTGGTGATGGGGAGGGTGGGGGTGAGGGGGGGGAGATGCAAAGCGTTTGCCCGTAAAGGGATATAATTGCTTTGGCAAGTGACGGAATGAGTTCAGTGGTGAGCACTCACTTCCAGAACAGTTTTGACATGGGCTGATGGCTTTTGAGGTAAGAATGGTTTTTAGACTTGCCATCTCTCCTCTCCCCTTGGATCCTCTGAAAAATAGTATCAGAGAGGCAGTGAAACCCTCAGTGTGACTTTAGCCAGTGACGTTTTAGCTCTCTGTACAGGCCAGTCCTTGTTGACGCAGTTCTGCAAGTGGGTTGTTATAAATTATAAATGTAATCTTGTCTGTCAGTTGGTGAGAGGCTATATTGGAGGAAAATTTGCGCACTTAATAGAAAGAGTTACACCTGCGGTACCTGATCATTTTTGACCGTTGCCCAAGCACTGTCACGCCTATTTAACGCTCTCTTACACAGGTCATAGTTCAGGGTGGTTCTGCACTCGTCGTTAAATTTCAGCACAGCTTATTTGTGCTCTGTTTATCGATAAATTGACCCTGGCTGGTGTGAGTTTATAATGGGAACAATTCGTTAAAAGCCTGCACTACCATTGTCAGCCCACTTCTCAGGAATTGGAGAATCAAACCTGATATCTCCCAAAAATGGTAAGTCTGGTTCGGGGTGGAGATGGAGGGGTTATTACACAACATACTCATTATAATCCCATGTCAGTATCACATGAATATCAATTTGGAGCAGAAATGATTCTGGAATCGGTTTGCAACCAAATATAACCCACAAATGTTATGGTGTTCAGTAGCAGGATGAGGTGATTGCAATGGGGATGATGTACATGCACTCATGGGCTAAGATCAGCACCTTCAGAAGACGGTAGAGCAGGTTTCCAGGCAGAAAAAAGACTAAATATTCCTTCACTGCTGCTTACTACATCGATCACAAAGGTGTCACTCGCTTTTGCAATTTCCACCAAGGCAAGGCTCTGCCAAGGGAAACCTTGCGCATGCAGTAGGACTGCTTTCAGGAAGCCCCTTACGACGACTGTGTTGCTAAGGTCAGTCTTTAGGTTATATGTAATGAGGGTAAGGAACAGCTTAAATTGGGTATCAGGAAAGGTGGAAGAAGCTAGGAGGCTGGACTCAAGAAGGGAAGACGGCAGTGTGGATATTCTGTAAGGATGAAACGGTTTAAATCGCCTTCATCTGAACCTGCCTTGTGATCTTCATACTCCTCTTGATCTTTAAATGGGATGCCCTGCTTTTAGGTAATGAACCCTGCAACAGCCTCAATTGAATTGTGAATAACACAATCATAGAAATAGCAGCCATTCGAGCTACCGAGCCTTTGTGTGTCATCATGAAGAAACCCCATTTGCATTTAGTAAACAAAATTATTTCACCGTGAACATAGCCGGGATAATAATGTTTATTAAATCTGAGCAAATATAAAACAATTTCAGCAAACAAATCACTCATTCAACATGAGATTTCAGATGGGGATTTTTGCATTATTTATTAAATGAAGGTTGGCATCGTGAATGAGGGAATGCTGGTAACGAAAAAGGTTAATAATTTAATAC